TCTTAAAAAAGTTCACCTTCGCATTAACAAACTCCACCGCCAAATCCCTCTCCTTGAACTCATCCCACTCCACCTGTGTATGCGTGACGAGCCTTGCGTGTCTCTTTCTACACGCATTCGATGTCTTGCCCTCGAAAAGGGGTGATATCTCTACCCATTTCTTCCCCAAAGACTTTGAACTAAGCAGGAGCTCATCATCTGCGGCAGACCAAGCTACTGCGGGGGGAAGGGCAGAGGCGGACGTATTAGGTGTGCTGGCTATGCCTCGCATGTAGGGTTTTGACGGGAAGTGAGAGCTGGATGTAGAGGGGGCTCTAGTCTTGGGTCGGGTGGATTTAGGCATTGCTTTTGATTTAGTAGCTTTGGAGGTGAGGCCTGTAGAGGTGAACGATGGTGAGAGTGGCCTTCAGGGGAACATGGAGGGTATTGTGTATTTATCAATTGTGGTGGTGTTTGCTTCCATTGAACCGGAGGACGCAGGGAGCCAGTAGTTGCTAAACCTTATTTTTTCTTCGAGGTATTGCAATTGTCGTGAGATCGTATCTACCTACATGTATGTACACACTAGATGTTCTAGCGTTGATAGACATGTATGTGCTTGTGATCATTACTACATGTACCCACAGCCAAGAATAGCAAAGGTACAGCACATATCACAGAAAGACATATCTTCCACCTAGTATCTGGTCACACGAGTCAATTACAATGTAAAGTACTTCGTCGTAAGTCTCGAGACATTGTCCCTCCTACGTATGTATAATACGCACCACTGCAGCAAACTTGGTGCCAATGATTTAAAATACGGTTGCACACCTATGTGCGGGGCCGTGGTACGTGGTTGGTGTAATAATTGCTACATATATGTTGTTAGCACCAATAATAGCTCACGAACAAAATGAAATTCTTTATAGTTGTTGGGTTGGACGGGAGTGCAAACATCTGATATATTACTATGATTCTGATATCTGGTTTCAGATTCATGACCTGTCATTGAGTGATTAGATTACCTTGGCGTGTATAACCCCCCGCCCATCTAGATGCGGCGGGACGCCGAACTATAGATTAGTGCTATACGGCAAGTTTGCCCCCGAGGCGTCAAAATAAACCTTTCTGATCGGAGTAACCGCTCGAGTTTAGCCTATACAGTACATGTAGCTCTTGTGGTCCGAGCCCCCTATGTTTGGGCGACTATATGTAATCACAGAACAGAGATTGATTGACTGCTTGATTGAATTGACGTTAATGTGGCGTGGAAGTTTACCGAGGAGCACAAAGTGATTTATGATAATATCGGGACCTGCAGTGGACGCGCAGGGATAGAGTTCTGTGGCATGCACGTGCGGGAAGGTGCTTAAACGCGAGTCACGACAGACGGCCCAATCTAAGTTACGTGTAGTCATGTACATGTTGTAGGTACATATGTACACATCAATTAAATTTTCAACATCCTCTGGCTTTGTATCTCATCTTCGAGCCAGCTCATCGACCATCCATCCGCCATCCATCATCCATCTACCTTGCAGGATAACAGCACAGCCTTCCACAATCATCTGTTCAAGCAGCACCAGCTGGCCAGGCGCCGCGTCCTATGACGTCGCCACGTGATTACGTGGTGTTTACTAAATACAGACAGCATTATTGAACTCTGCAGCAGCGCTGCTACAGACTGTCAGTGTTTCCTCTATTCATGATTTGACGCCATCGGTGAGCAGATCCTGTCTCATTAAAATGCCCCTGCATGATCGTGCTGCTAAGAGCGAACTTCCAGAGTGCTATTATGTCGGTGGATCTTGTCTCAAATGGGACCTGCGTCCCGATCTAAGTCATGGGAGGGAGGAATCTGAAGTTCCAGAATGCTATTCTATTTCTGCCCTTGAGCTGTCAAGGTCTATCATGCATCGATATCTGCAGACTATGGGATTCAAGAAAGAAAGAAAGAAAACGGCATATCGCCGCATCGCCGAGCGCTTCCATTGGCGCCGAGTGATGTTAGATGATGGACGCTAACTAACTAGACGATGGATTCCAGCGGCCGTTTTGGGGTTTGCAAGACAACGATGGTTTCCAGATGCAGCCACTTACATGACCTCAGAGCGCTAAAAGGAATTATGATCTTTCGGCTCTTTTCTGTTCTTGATCTGAATTCGCACAAAGAAGGGAAAGGCTGGAAGATTATTTAGAGCCTCAACGGTCGCTAGCGGGTTGTTACAGGATAAAATTAGCCACGCGCGTCTCGACCCTCGAACGAAAGAGGGAGAGTAAGGAAAAGGAAATTAGCACAGACCAACATAACCAATGATCGCACACTCTAGCGAGCCGTCTACCATTCTTTGCCCCTGTTTGATCCCCAGGCAACAGTAAGGCACGAAAAAGATATCATGAGAAAATCATACATGCCGTAGGGAGCCGTGGGTGAATACCATCATACCCTGGCTACTGATCCTGCCCCATGTATCATTTCGGCTGCAATTGTGCTGTAAGGTACTTCGATCCGCGCCGCTATCCCATATAAATCCGATCCGAACATGGTTCCGGGCGCTTCGTGGGCAAGCATACAGCTGTAAACAACGCCTTCGAAACCCTTGAACGAACAACAAAAATAAGTTTCACCCCACAAAACGCCCGCCTATAGGCTGCGTGACCAGGATGGCAGGGTCTAAACGTGATCGTGATGGTTGGCTGATTGGTGATATATAAGATTACGGCCTCATCTCCTCTACGCTTTTCTACTTTCCCATTGTTCAGCAGCAAAGCGGCAGTAATCTCCCTTCTTACCTCACCTTCCTTCCGCCTCCCTCCGCCTCCCATCCCCTCATTCTTTTCCCCAAACACCACCCCACACCCCACCTTCACTTGCAACGACTACGACTACATACGACATTCGACGTTTCTTCAGCTGAGGTGGTGTTTCCATTACTTTCTTTTTTTCTTTCATTACTGCTTATTATTTATCTACTATTGGTCGACGATATATTATTACCACTCTTATTGTTTCATTCATTCGACAAATCTTTTAGACTATATATTGCACTTCATTTATCCTATCTCATCGATTGGTTTTTGATCTGCATCGTGCCTGGTTGCGCGTTCTACTACAATCTTTAATTCAGCTTGTTCTTTAATATTTTCCTTTCTTTCACTTCCATTACTTTAATCGATCGACACTACTACTGCGATCTCTGCCATCACTATCACTACCGTTCAACGTCTCCACTAGACAGTATCTTCCATAGCTCGGAATTCAGCGTTTTCCATTCGAACATTCCAATTCTTATCAGACCAACTACCCACCACTCAATTGCACTACTACAACTATCACATACCACATACTACCACTAATACCAAACCATGCATCAATCAACCCTCAACGACGCGGCCCTAGCCCTCTCCCGCATCCTCTCCTTCAACAAAATCAAGCACGGCTTCTTCGGCGGCTGGTCCGTCCTCGCCTGCAGCCCCCACGCCGCCTACCGCGAATCCAAAGACATCGACGTGCTCGTGGCGGCCACCAAACCCACTATCCAGCGCATCCTCTCACAGAAGCGGGGCTGGCTCGAGATCCCGCAGTGCCGCGAGGACTACGTCGCCTTCTTCTGGCACGACGCCGAGGACTCGCAGAGCATGGTGCTCGTCGAGATGTTTGTGGGCCACGACGAGATGGCGCGCGACCAGTTCCCCGTCTCGAGGAACCAGGTGCTCAGCGGGCCGCGCATGGGGACGAGCTATGTGCCCATCCTGAAGGAGGAGTTTCTGTTCCGCGGGAAGCTGAGTGCGTGTGCGACGAGGACGAAGAGTAGTGATGTGGCAGATGTGGACTACTTGGTGAGGAACTATGGCAAGGAGCTGAAGATGGCGGCGAAGAAGATGGATAAGAAGACGGTGGGGATGGCGGTGAGGAGACACCCGGAGCTCAGGAAGGTGCTGGGGGAGCTGGGTGTGCACACGAGGGGTGCGGTGTGGGGTGTGAGGAAGGCGAGGTTGGACGGACAGGTCCAGCCACAGATGTGGGATGTGCAGAGGGGGCTTGGGATCTGTTGCTAGAGCCGTCATCATCATTGGCATCATACAAACATTACTTACTAACTATGTACTACTACATGTACCACCACTACTGCGTCGCATACTATTCACGATTGCACCCTAATTACACTGATTGTTTTCATTTGTTTTATTTTCATTTGTTTTACATCTCATTTGTTTTTGTCTTTCTTATTGACCTGGATAATGGTATGGAGCAGCATTTAAGGACACATAAAAAGCTAAAGGGATAAATGGGGGGATACGGGGAAAAAAAAGGTTGCATATTTGGGGGGAAGCGTGATATACAGGATTCATTTTTGTTTTTGTTTAGCGTTGCATATCTTTTCCTTTGTTGCCTGCATTTTGTTATTTTTTTTGTCTGATTGGTTGGTTGGGTTTTATTACTTAGTAGATGGGGTTTGGTTTGGTTTGGTTGGGTTAGTTAGCACACGAACCGTTAATTGAAGTCACGCATGCAATTTACTACGCATCCAGTCAAGTCAAGTCACCAGTGATCACCCGTCTACGCTTTTTACCAATTATCCTCACTGCTTTATATTACTCCAACTACTTTGCTGATACTGCATATTTAGAGAGGCGACGGGATATATCTTGATGCTGCCCTCCTCCACTTGTGTTAGCCACAGGCACTCTGTTGTCGGCTATTTGAAACGGAAGAAAGGCCCCCCGAGCGAAAACCCTTGTGTCGATCATTGCAATAATGCTGTAAATAGAGCTGCTCTTCATCTCTTGCACTTTGCATCTGGCATCTCGCTTTCTCTTGGGTTAATTCCTGTGACACAAACTCTTAATTAGCTATCTACATACCCTATTCTCTCTTCCCCCCCGCAGCTGCTGATCAGCCACAAACAACGTTAGCAGTAAACAATAGACAAATATATATAGCCGTACATAGAGACCCCCATACATACCATCATTACCTGTGCCCCATCCCCATCCATCAAACCTCCACGCCCGCCATGCCGCGCCGCCGCCGCCTCACCCTCCCCTCCCTCCCAAAGGTCTTCAGCGACCGCCTCTTCTCCCCGCTCTTCTCCCCGCGCCTGCCCCCCACGCCAACATACCCCCAAACGCACTTCCAAATCATGTCCGACCTGCACCTCGAATTCCTGCCCCCACCCCCACCTCCCGCCTCCCCCTCCACGCACTACCTCGCATTCCCCATCCCGCCGAAAGCACCCTACCTCGTCCTCGCCGGCGACATCGGCCTCCTCGTCCCGCACTACGAGCGCTACCTCGCCTTCCTCCGCCACCAGACCGCAGCCTTCACACACGTCTTCCTCGTCCTCGGGAACCACGAGTTCTACCGCGCATCCCGCGCGGACGGCCTCCGCGCCGCGCAGCAAATGGAGGATGAGCTCCCCGGACTAACCGTCCTCCACCGCAAGCGCGTGGATCTCCCCTGCGGCGTTACGATCCTCGGCGCGACGCTGCATTCAAGAATCGCCGCGGAGGCGAGAGAGGTGGTGGCAAGGTCGTTGAGTGATTTCCGCGCGATCGAGGGGTGGACGGTGGACGCGCATAATGCGGAGCACGAGGCGGACGTTGCGTGGTTGAAGGCGTCGCTGGCGGAGCTTGAGGCGGAGGGGGAGGAGGAGGGGCACGTGGGAGGAGGAGGAGGGCCGCCGAAGAGGGTGTTGGTGGTGACGCATCATGCGCCGACGTTCCGGGGGACGTGTGCGCCGGAGCATGAGGGGAGTGAGGTGGGGAGTGGGTTCTGCACGGAGGTTGTGGGCGGGGTGAGGGGCGGGGTGGGCGGCGGGCTGGTGAGGGTTTGGGTGTATGGGCATACACATTGGACGGCGGATGCGGTGAGGGGCGGGGTGAGGATTGTAAGTAATCAGAAGGGGTATTGGGGTGAGAAGGGGTTTGATGTCGAGAGGGTTGTGGGTGTGTAGGGGGGGGGGGGGGTGGTTCTTTTCTCTTTTTCTCTTTCTTTTCTTTGGTTTCCCTTTTCCTTGTGATTATTGCGCTGCGCTTTAGCTTGCGGGTTTCTTTGCGGTTTTTTGTTTATTTCCTTTTTGGTTCTTGTTTATAGGCCCTACCTATGGCCCTTATTTTCTTTTTAGGGGTGGGATATCTTAATTCTGGCCCCCATCTCAGCCTTAACTGCCCTGTGCCGGAAGGGGAGGATATAATGACGAAAGTCTATGCTATGACGATGACGATCATGAAAAAAATACCTGATATCGGAGAGGGAGTAATAAGAAATTTCGGCAGTTGTATATATGCACCGAGGGACGAGTTTTTTCTTTCTTTTTTCCGTTTCTTTTCCCTTGACCCTCGGCGGGGATCCCCCTGGCTGCGCACTGACTAGCTAGTCAGACTAACTGTATGGTAGCCCTCTCCCAGCACCCGGACAAGAGGAACATTCTGGAAAAGGTATTTAGCTGGTCAGCTAGCTAGCCATAGACCCGGCCGGAGATCACTGCGTATCCCTTCTGCAATCTTGTTCTTGTTCGTTTTGTTTGCCGGCCAGCCAGGAAGATGGTTGCAAGATATGTACCAATGCATGTAGAGCTAGAGCTAGAACTACGGTACATAAGAAAGTACTAAGCTTTAGAATTCAACTAGCTAGCTAGCTAGCTAGTAGAGCTCGGGTTGTTTCGGAGGCATGGGCACCGCTTTGGCCCCCCTGTAGCTGGCCGGCATGGCTGTGACAACCATTTCACTTTAGGATTGAGCTGAGTGACATGAGTGTGACATCGTGAAGCTGTCCGAGCGAGCGAGCGGACATTAGTTGTGGTGTGGTGTGGTGTAGTGCCCCAATTGGAAGGGGTTTTGCATGCAGTAGTACGTCTGGTAGCTAGCACTACTCTACCATGTCGTGCGTGGTAGGGCAGCATCATCATAACAGCGGTGTCATGAGCGATAACAACGCACGCACCGGGTGGTAGAGTGTGTGGTAGTAGTACTCTACTCTAGTACCTACATGTAGTAGTAGGTAGCGTGGCCGTTATCACTTGCAGTATTACTGCTCTACTACTATTGTCCAAAACCGTAACCCCAGTCCCAGCGCCCCAGGGTAACATTCCAGAACTTAACACCTCACTCAGCACCCGCTTCAACGTATATACCAACCCCTTAACGTCTCAGAAAGCCTCAATCATGTACTTTAAGATTCTCAAACACCTAACCAGCCAGCCTTATGCCTGGATGAGTCTGTCTGTCCGTCTCTCCATTCGTCCGTCCGTCCGTCCGTCGGCGATATATATCGATAATATAATTACACTGTAGGAGTTAATTATGTTACCTGGATTCATGATTCAAGCAACCAAGGCAAGGTTTTTTTGACAGCTAGCTACAGGGAGGGAGGTGGCTATGCGGCTGTGTATCAAACACTGACAGGTCGCAGCAGCATGGATGGATGATACTCATGTTACTCCGGAACCGCATACCCGTAACGGAACGTTATGAAACATGATTCGATGGGGTGCGCATTTGGCGTTTATGACTGACCTGACCACAACCTCCTGGGGGCAGGAGTTTTGTGTTGGGAGTACTCCATGTCTTGGCGTATTGTGCTAAGTGCGGGTAATACTAGCGCGGAAGGGTTACTCGCTAGCCGGCACTAGTTAGGCGCGCTGTAGTGTGGGTGACAGTTTTTCCTACTAAATGATCATTGACACTGTCACTAGCACTAGTGCCCAGAATGTAAATATTAATACTCAACACCACAACATAATCACAGAGACTCGAGTCTGATGATAAAAAATGTTTATTTATATAATGTTTAAGCTATTGAAGGACATCTAACTACATGCACCTGCAAAGAAAAGAAACAGTACAATCGATCCCCTACTAAAAATATCCTCCGTTAATACCATGACCTGACTCTCCATACAATGACACCTAGCTATAAAGTATTTAAGAAAGATAAAAAAAAAAAAGAAAGAAAGAAACCCGCCCGTCCGCTCACCCACCAACGTACTCTAGTTCTCCTCCGTAAACTCAACTTCCTCATCATCAACCTCCTCCCTCTCCCTCGCCGCCTCCTCCTCCCAATCCATATACTCCACCTCCTCCTCCCAACCCATATACTCCGCCTCCTCCTCCCAATCTGCCTCATCCTCCCAATCTGCCTCCTCCGCCTCCTTCACCAGCTGGCTCAACCTCCAACCAAGCAAGCTCTTCTCCTCCGCGCTCACATCTGGCCACTTCCTTACATTGCACTCCCCGTCCTCCTCTCTCCTAATCACCTCCTTAACCGCGTCGACAGCATTGGCCAGCGTCTCGAGCCCCAACACACGGTCATAACACCTCTCAGAGCCGATTTTATACCGCGCCGCGGCAATATAGCGCGTCTTAATGGGCACGATGTCGGTGCCCATGGCCTCACCAGCAAAAAGGGCGCTCTTTATGGCATCGATTCCGCCGTAGCCGTTGCAGAGAACGTCTATCTCGGCGTAGAGCTTGATAGGATTGGGAGAGATGCGGATATTAACGCAGGCGATGAGTGCGGAGAGGACCTCGGGTGCGGCAAAGGTTAAGGGTTGCCAGACTTGGTCGTTCCTGGGGCGGGTTAGTATTTATTATATACCGAATATCGATAGGTTCTGGAGAGTGGGTGTATATACTTCTTGCTAGCGATAAACGCATCGTACAAGCTACCATACTTCTCGACGAGCGGCCAGCCAATATCTTCATACAGCTGTGCCACCGAGACTTCAATCTCGGTCTGGTCAGAGACGTAGCGAAGCACCCCGTCGGCGGTTACTGCTCTGTGGTATTTGTCGTCGCACTTTTTGTGCTCGTCGTCGGTGACTTGAAGTTTCGATAGCTCGATGTGGCCTACAGATAAACAAAAAATAGATATATGAATGAGCATTCAAATCAAACAAACAACCAATAACTAGGAAAGGTATACGAACCAGTCTCAGCGTTGACACTGAGAACCTTGACGACCTCGTTCTTACCCTCCCGGGCAATCACAACTTTACAGGGAGCAATATCCTCCCTGCGGATAAGGCCGTCGATTTGGCCGTATTCGAGGAGCTTAACGTGGACGCCATTCTCGGTGGTCTTTTTTTGAGTATAACTATTAGCTCCGGAAAGACATAAAAGCAACGTATATACGACTGCGAGAGAATAAGAAGAAATAAAAAAGTACCTTTCCGACAACAACCACCACGCAGTCGCCCGGCTGCGGGAACTTTTCCTTGCAGAAGCGGACATCTTCAGTGCCGTTGTCGGACATATATGGATCTATCTGTCGTTTGCAGGGGGTGGTTTGTTTGTCGTAGTGTGTATATTATTCTCACAATAGCAAAGCCTTGTCTATCGCAGAGAAGAGGAAGAAGAAGAAGAAGAAGAAGGAATTCGGAAGTAGAATAAGTGGGAAGAAGAAGAACAAGAAGCACGATGGAAAAAAAAGAATCCAGAAGAGGGGTCCAGAGGCACCCCATATATAGCCATCTCAACGTTTCGCGAAGATTTATTCTTCACCGTTGTATTTTGCTACTTGGGGCCTTCAAGTCTTTTGGCAGCGCCTGATTGGGCGTGGGCCATGCGGCTTGAAAGAATGGGACATAGAGAATGGACGAATATTTAATCGTGAAAGTAAGTTTTACACCACGAGGGTAGATAATGGGTCGAAACTATGGGGCTACGCGGGTATAATTCAATGTGAGGCGAGGGAGATGACTTGGAGATAGAAAGGATGACCGGGGACACAGTAATTGGGAGCACATCCATTCTACATGTTTTATGATATGCGACTGACATGACGTATATATAGACTTTCAATGTCGTGACAGATCTTGTATCGAGTTCTCTGTTTACCCTGCGCATGGTTGGCTTGGTAACTTAAACTTGTGTCTGCCTTGATCACTTGACATTGTGGATTTCAGAAGTAATACTATTTCTATCCCCCCCAGAGTAGCACAGCTATTAAACAACGAGAAGAAAAAAGGCAAGCAATTCCAATAATGCACCATTCCGTCTAGCTAAGTAAATTTGGTAACATTTTTACTTCCATAAAAGCAATTCAAAAGCATCCATCAATCCCATCACTCCTCAAAGAAACTCACTAAATTTCATGTCCGAACATGATGCCCTTTAGAACATCATCATAGCAGCAGCATCACTTTCTGGTTTCTTGGCTACTGGACTTCCATGACTGCATCAAGAGGCAATTAGTCTACCGGGAAAATGTGTGTTTGGGGGGGGGGGGGGGGGGGGGGCATACGCGAAAAACAGAATCTTGATTGTCAGGGCTAAAGCTGCGTGGATCGCGATAATAAGTACCAGTAGTATCTTAGCCGTCTTAGCGTCTGTCGCATTAACTACTGGTAGTAGGTTACGGAATAAGAACAGCGCGGATACACCGAACCCTACGCCGACAAAGACGTAGTTTAAGACTATCCAAAACCATCAGTTTCGTCCCAACCCAAACTCCATCTGTCTGATAACACATACTGGTAATATTTGATGCACTTGCGATAGCAACTGGCACCCAAATGAGGTTGCTATACCCGTACAATGATAAGCACTCCAGGAGGTTCGCGCTTTCGCTCCCATACCACTTCAACACACCCCACAGTGCAATGGGCACAAAAGCTGTGTAACCGTACATCAATCCCGCTGCGCCAGAGAGCAGACCAAAGTCGTAGACGTACGGTACATCCTTCATACGGGCGAAGTACTGCGCGATTGTGGAAGATAGAAATAGGATCAATACTACAGTTGTAGTTATCCAGAACGGACCTGTTGACCAGCTAGTTAGCTCACCGGCGCAAGCTCCAGTTCCTCGGGGCGCGAACCATAAAGATCCGGATTCCCGTCCAACACATCCAGAAACCTCTCCCTTGGGAATAGCGCTGCCCAGCATCGCTTCAAAACCTCGTTTGTATCCACGTCAAAGAATTGCGCGTAGAAGTCCATTGTCCACAGAAATCGCTTGCTCGAACCATCGCCGCTCCGGTTATTGGATGAACTTGAGCCGAAGAACCCGCCGGTATCTGTGATTCCTTTGTTAGCTTCCAGGCGCCTGACAACCTCTCTTCCTAGCAGTTAACGCACTTGATGCGCTCGTGGGCATCTTTCCGCTGGCTTGGTCGGCATTGTAACCTGCTCCGACACTGTCAGCGGGGATATAGAAGAGAAGCTAGAGGGGGTTGTACTGGAAGGATGGAATTCCAGGTCTGCTAGATCTGTGTGTCCGAGATCTCCTTCGTCGTCGACATCGACGACAACATCATATCCGCTGTTTGCCATGATTTGATTGCTTTGCTGATCGAGAGCTTGAGGTTGTTATTTGTAGGTTGAAAATAGGGAAATGACGATGGAGGTTTACTCGCGGTTGATTCGGTGAAGCCGCGTGTTCTGAACGAGCCGCAATTGGATCCTTGTGCTTTAGTGGGATGGGCTTGGCGGGTTTATTTTTGGTGTTGCACCGCCAGTGTGAACCACAACTCATAGAGTAGGTACATGTAGTACAACAGCAACTACATGTACCTAGTATTGCTTATGAATTTTTAGATCTACGTATACTTCGATTCGATTTCTTACAGTAGGTTGAAATTATCCCAATAACTACATTGTGCGAGTAGTTTCGAAGCTATGCAAGTACATTTACATCTACTGTTTAGGCTCTATAAAACATGACTTGGTTGCATGATTGGTCACTCGACAGGATAAACATGCACCGGCCGGAAGCTCACATAACCATCCATAGCCGTGTTCAATTCAAATCGAGTACCGAGTCCAGGTACAATAAGTACATGCACTATATGTATGTATACATACTATGTTGTACTCCATAATTACGATTCAAACCGATCATTGTACATATTCTGACTCTTAGTTACTCTTTAATATTTAAATAGTACCCTATGGTCATGACATCAATTAAATTCAAGTTTAAAGACTGAGGCCTACCATCTAAACGTAGAATTTCTAATCATATTGAAATTGCATGTAGAAATTCTATTTATGTGCATACTTGTATCCATCTACCCTTTATAGACATGCATCAAAATACACGGTACTACTTGCAAACCGCACACCGCTAATCGCAACTCACATTAAGCACTAACCGACCAATAAAGATGTGTTTTGGTAGAAACTCTTCCTCAAAGGCCCAAACCCCCTGCGCCCGCCAAGCTCACCTAAACTATCAAGCTCAACAAGCTCAACAAGCTCAACAAGCTCAACAAGCTCAACAAGCTCAACAAGCTCAACAAGCCTATCAATCTCATAAATCTCAGCAACCTCAGCAACTTCAGCAACCTCAGCAACCTCAACAAGCTCGGCAAAACTACGATACCTATCGCGTTCAAGCTGCGAAAGCTCTGCGAACTCAGCAAGATTGCCAACTTTATGATACCCACGCTCAGAAAGTCTACCAGCAAGCCCACCAGCAACGTTATCCTGCGAAACAACCTCAATATTCAACCACGACTGCAGGTTCTAAATGTCCTAAATGCAGCGAATATAAATACTTAGGCGGTGCATCAGGCATGTGCGAAGAGTGCGAAGATATAGGTAAGTAATCCGCCATATTTGTTGCTAAACAGGGCACTAATATATAGAGTGAGCTTTGTAGAGATTGAAAATATGTAGTTGACGGTTAACTATATGAGATTCATAGCGTTCAACAAGCCAGCTACCCGGCCAGAGGGTCAGTATTGAGGGGGATCATCATTCCTTTCTTTGTGGACTTATTTTCATCGAGTAATATTATGAATCATGAAGTTTTAACATAGATTTGATGTTTGTTAGAGTATCGCTTAGTTGTTGTCATGATCTGTTTTATTTTCGTTAAAAGTATTGGTGGGTTTAAACGGGCTTAAAATGTCCTAGCTACTGAATCTTTTCCTATATTATATATGTTCGTGAAGAAATCCACTTCCTCTACAATAAGTAATTAGGGTTCTTCATGATGCTTAGAAGCACCATATTTGGTCTTGACAGTAAAAGTTGACAAGGCAAAAGTCTGGCTTACAGAAAGATTAAAGATTAAGCCGACCAATATGCGCGCGGAGCTTATTTTATGGTCCAGCCGTATACCTAGATCTAGACCTATGCTGATCGGAAACCTAACCTAGTCATCCTTAATTGACTTCAGTGACTTTCAAGGGGGGTGGTTCACCGCCATTCTAAGAAATTCTTAAAATCTCCGAATTTATGTGTGACATGATCTCATTCGCAACCCGCCTAGCCCTTCGGATTTCTGTCCGATCCGGCTCTAGCTATGCTCCCCAAATAGTTTTAGATATGTCAGGGGAACCTCCAACTTCGTGGATACCCAAAGCAAATAATGGTCTTAGTCTTACCAATTTCCTGCCTGGACCTGATCTTGCTGGAGAAAGTAATCCATGGCTTTTTGGGGCGGCGCTTTGGTTGGAGTATCGAATATATATTTTCTTAATATAAATTGATGAAAGTTCTAATTCATTTATATCTTGGAAACTATGTAGGACCCCCCAGGGGGAGTTATAACAAATACGGCTTTGTCCGTAGATCTTAATCTCATTTCCTAGTTCTTAAAATTCCTATATCAGTTAACCCATTATTTGGACCTCGTAGTCTCAAGGTAGTGTCTTTAGAGTTGAAGCAGTAAGGGGAGAGGTACTCAGAATCAAAGAGGAACTTTCCAGCCAGCTCGACTCAAAACCCATAGGGAATACCAAAGTTCTCCATGCGATCTCTAAACCGGTCCATACACCCATTAGTGAGCACAATGCTATCTATTTAAGCTTTCTCGAGTATAATTCCTAGTATGCTCGACATATCTAGCCCTAAAATAACCCATGAGTTGATGTTAGGTTCATATAATATCACTCGTTTGTCCCCGGCCCTACGTTTTAATGCTAGCTCGACCTTGCTAGGCCAAACTAGGTAGTCGTAGATTATTAGTTTGTAAGCTAAGTTAAACATTACCATCCGGAACAATTCGTCTGCCCGTTGCGGCCGCATATTTAGATCTGTCGTTCGTTAGCTCGGGTTTATACAGTTTAAACATTTCGGTCTTTGAAACTATATTTGTCAGGGGCCGGTGTAGACATTAGTATTTCGTAGGTGTCGAAGATGAGCAATCTCTTTTTGTTCTCTTTTTGAGAGGAGTGGGAGGAGAGAGAGAGAGAGAAGAGATGCGGCGAGTGTGGGACGAGGGGTTGAATATCTGTATACATGGCTCTTGGCAAATTATTCGGCCGCCACGTCAGGTCAGATACCCAGGATCCTTGGAGGGTTGATTCCTATATGTATATATGCGCTGGCGCTAAAATACTGAGTGTGAGGTCTTTAATTATTACACCAACTATCTCTTCTATCGAGTAGGTAAATGAAATCACTCTAATGAATTCGTTGCCTACGTGCCCAGATCTCACTATATTCCTCTGTATAGATGAAGTAGTCTGGCGGCCCATGTCGTGCAATTGCGAGATATCAGTGTTCCGCGTAGGCCGTATACGCCAAGCTGGCACGGAATGCTTAGGTCGGGTGTCCCTACTTTGTATCATGAGATATCACTCATGGTCACATCATCAACCGACGATGTACACAGGAGGCCCATGATATTATTTTACGGCTTATGATTTACTCTATCATGAGGAATCTTCTATTGAGTAAGGCGCGGCCTAGATATAGCATCTTGTCTGCTCAAGGGTGTCTGCATTATATGTTAACTGCTGCTCACGCTCAGATCTACAGCCTAGAGAGAAGGTCTTCAAGTTGAAATCGGACTTGACTATACTAACCTACTTGTTTCATTAAATACGGATCTATTGTATTTACTGGATAAGTGACAGGGGGACTGGTGAGGGCTTATCATGATCCCACCCCGAAGGGACGATCTGAGCGGAGTCACCACAATATATGGATATGAGCTGCCAAGCACGGCCCTTCACGTTATATCCCCATGAAAGAGACCCTAGTGAGGTATCGACTTTTGCCTCCATCCCTGATCAGACGGCTGCCTGATTAAAGCAGGTTACAGATGCTCTATTTGTCTATTTACTACTACCAGTTGGTTTGTATGAAGCATCTGCAATTCCGACCCATCTCTTCATTGAGCTGATATACTCTGACAGTACGACATTTGAATGACCAAATTCGAGCCACAAAGCTAAAATAGTAGAGTTGGTTCTCGCAAGGTGTCCACTAACACGACGGCTGGGTCTGCTGTGTCAGACGGGCAATCGAATCGCATTGTTTGTAAAGTTTAAAGCCCGAACCAGTCCAGTCAAACTTCAAAATGTCATTCATAGTGCACCTCGAAACCGGATGGCACCGAGTGAGGCAAAGAGGGCTTTTGCAACATATCCCCCCATGAATTGAAGCGGCTGAGATATTTGCTGTAGAATCCCAATTCGAGGGACTACTTATCGAGTAGTCGAGCTGGAGTTGAGTGTCTACATGTATGCATGTTTAAAAATTAAAAAAAAAAGCATAATTTGTTGTGACGTAATGGTGGCTAAATCAGTCTGCGTCCATAAATGGTGAGGACTATATGGAGTTATTGAACTGTATCGTGCCTTTGATGTCCCAACAGTGTATCAGCACGGTGGCCTCAACCTCAGGATACGTAGAATGTAGGAATATTATATAGGGGTCTTTCGAGACAACCTGGCCACCAGCCCCGCCCAGCGGGTTTATCATCGCCAGCCTATATATTCGGATTTGATCGTGAGCGATTAGCCTCAGGCAATAGCCAGTTCTTTAGCCAATTCCAGGATTCGCCCTGTAATTGAACTGATCGAGAGACGATTGAAAGAACTGCTGTCACGGGCGTAAGAATTGGACATGGATGTTCCATTCCTCGGCCCGTCAGTACGTAAGGCTGTTACAGGACGATCGATCGAGTGATTTCTGGGGTGAAGTAACTAGCCTGGGCAAATTGTTTGGCCTGGATGTTTCCATCTACCGACTGATAGTAAAGTAGAGAAACACCTCCATTCTCAGCATAGACAATCCAGCTCCTTTAAGAGTCACCAGAAAAAAGGGCTTTTCAAACTCTTGCACACATACATGGTGCATAGCTACTGGTCATCGATCGCTCGATCCCATGTCTTCATGCAGCCCTCAAAACCCATTGGTCAACCCATCCGCCCAAGACACCCCGCAATCCCTCCACACCAACTCATTGGTTGTGTGGCGCGAAATGTGCTCGGTGCAAGAGAGCGCTTGGATCCTCTCATCGTCTGAGATGAAGCAGATAAACCCTCAGCAGCAGCCGGTTTTTCTCTATTTTTACTTTTTTTCGCGTCCTGCAGATCTCATACGTGGGCTTCGTCCTGTCGCCCAATTGATGGATGATAGGTTGCAGCCAGTATATAAGTAACGCCTTGGAAGGGAAGGAAAAACCGGTTGTACTTTTCTCCGCACTAGCTAAATAGCTCAGCTGTCATAAAAGTCGTCCATATCTCCATAACCTAGTGCCCGACTTTAGCTTTTGTTCCCTGAAACATTTTGAATCTATTACTACGAATCTACTATTTACCGCTGCTTCTACACTAGCAATATGTTCTCAACACTGATATCCCCACTGCCGCTTCCACGTTCAAGGACGCCAAACCCATACCTTAATTCCTTCGTTCCGGGTAATGGTACTACTGCTACAACTTCCGAGTTCGAATCATCACCACTACAGCCTTCTACACACTCACTGCAGGAATTCGATCTAAGCGCCAACAATAATGAAAAGCGAAAATATAACCAGACATTCGCCGTCAGCGAGGACGAAGACCCACTAGCAGAGGTAGCTGTAGAAGCAAAAGCGGAAGAAGAATTCTTCAGGAACATGTACACTTATCTCGACGAGTGCGAGAAGAATAAGACGACATCTTTCCAGCTGCTGTTATTTGTGAATTCCATGCAGAAGGGGGGAACGCTGGCCATGCCGTAAGTGCAGCCTCCTTTCCCTTTCCCTCTGCCGGTCTCCTTATCGGTTGAGTAATCTATTCTGCCTGATAAGGGTGGGGGAGAAGCGACGTTTTGTTTATGTGATTTTTCTACTCATAGTGCGATACAACGGGGATTATCGAGGATGATCGGATTTTTCGGCGGGGTCGTTACTGGCGAGTGGCTTCTTCGAGCGGCGAAGAAGGGCGATTCACATTTGGATGGTGGGGTGGAGCTTGACGAGCTTGAGGAGTCAGAAGAGGAGATACACGAGAAGTAGATGTGAAAGAGTGGCGATGTGATAGGTATTCTGGCTGTTGTATTAGTATGTTTTCTCTTCCTTGTGTTCTTTTTGCAACTGGCGTGTCGGGAATGGTCTTGAGGGACTGGAGTTTTGGGAGTTTGGGTTTATGTGTTTTTTGTAAAGGCAGTGGGGGGTGGTACGGTAGCGGTACAGTAGTTAGAGATTCTTTTCATTTGTCTAGAACCGGTTTCTATGGGGAAACATGCTACTACAATTTATTACCGTTTTACTATAATAAACCTCTCGGTTTCGGTCGAGCTCGAGCGTGAAAATCTGCACCTATCAGCTTGAGGGTGAAATTCGGGTTCGGGACCAAACCACCACCATATTCTATTCGCAATTGACACAATTTCGTTTCAGCCCGAGAGTCGAGACCTGAATCAAACAGCCATTTAAAGTCTGCAATCGTTAATAACCAAATCAATCCACTCCTTACGAAGTACATTTAGATTATTGCGCACTGAAACCATTAGTTCTGCAATCCATAAATCATAAACCAAGTGGCTCAAAGACTTAGTTTGTCCAAACAAATCCTATTAGAGCATATTTGCCAACCGTCAATTTCAACTAGTGACACTTCAAACTTGACAGTTTCGGGAGGTAAAATTGACAGTTCCCCTCAGTGACCAAAATCGATCTGGTTAACGGTGTGACAGAATAAACCCCGAAAACCAGACAATCCATCACGTTACCTGTGAAATACGCTGTTGGAACTGAAAATTCATACCCATGATACTAGCTTCGGTAGTAACAAAACTGGGTACTTGTGATCCTCCTGGTATATCTCACAACACGCCGCCCCACCGAAATTCAAAATTAACAGCCCCGGTTGCCATTTCGGAGCCCCACAGTTTGTAAATTCTTGAAATTGACGGTTGGCAAATACGCTCTATTGTCAGCGATAAGATTATCTATTGGTAGTACATACAAGACTAGCGCATCTATTTATAAAGAGGATCCAAGCCTTTTGATTATCATCATTCCGGTTAGGCCAGGTACATACATGCCAGTTCTGCGCAGCTAGTGTATGCATCCCTCCTCATCAACAACACCCCATCCACAGTGTCCCCAGGCAGGGAAGTGGAGTGAGTGGGCAGACAGCAGCACAGACAGAGACAGGCACCAGGTGCATAAATCCGGGGTAGCATAACAAGCAGAAGAAGAAGAAGGTATGCGAAATATCGTGACTACACATATTCCTGTACTTCCTGTACATACATACCTACTGGAATGTTCATACCTACTAACCTATACATTCATCAGTCAGACAGCCAGTCATTCATTCATTCATTCAAGCAAGCAAGCAAGCAACACAGACAATCCGCAATGTCGCTCCTCGCCCTCCCAAACGAGCTCCTCCTCTGCATCAGCGCCCACCTCTCCATGAAAGAACTTTCGTATCTCCTCCTCACCACCCAGCGTCTCTCTCATCTCCTCACACCCTCCCTATACCAGCTGGCCCTTAAAAACTGGAGGCGCGGAACCTCCGCCCTCTATTCCGCTGCCACCCACGGAAACCACACCACTGTCTCTCTCCTCCTTAAGAATGGCGCCAATACCCTCGGCCTCAAAAAGCACGGACGCACGGTCTTTCACCGTCTCGCCTCCAATAATGAAGCTAAAGCTCTCATGATCATGCTCGAGTACGGTGTTGACATCGACGAGCGAGACGAAAATGGGATGACAGCCCTGCACATGGCGGTGCGGTGCGAGGGGTCTGGGTCCCTGGAGGCGCTCAAGACGTTGCTGGAGTGGGGTGCTGACACAGGCGTGCATGAGCCGATCAGTGGATATACACCGCTGCACACCGCAGTTCATATGGAGTCTCCCATTGCGGTAGAGATGTTGCTACGGAAGGGGGCCCCTGTGGATGCCCGCACGCTCAAGGGGGAGACGCCATTACATGTGGCTGCGTGGAAGACACTGCATAAGCTTGGGAATAAGCCATTCGACTACATGGACCACCCGGCTTCGTGGAACTTCTACGAGAGGGGAATTACGAGAGTAGAGGCTGGGGGTATTACAAGGCATGAGGTTGTTGTTAAGTTGTTGTTGGAGTATGGCGCAGATGTCGATGCTTTGGATGAGACCAGCAGGACGCCGTTGCATTTGGCAGCCACAAGAGGCAATGAAGAGACGGCCAGGATTTTGATAAGGAGCGGAGCTGATATAGACGCTAAGGATGGCGAAGGTATCACACCGTTGCGGTACGCGGTGACAATCGGTATCCTGGCACTCCTCAGGATTTGCGTTTTCATACAGCTAACAAGAGTAGATGAGTTCTCGTTCAATGACGCGAAGGCATCGTTGCTCAAACAAGCAGCCCTGGTGAAGGATCTCGGTCGTAAGAGAATCCTAAGCCGATTTGTGACGATGACAAGACGACTAAGTACGAATGGCCCCCGCTCAAGTGAGGGTATGCCCAAAGCATTTTTGTGATACGAGACATGATTGAAAATTGGGATTTCTTATAGATATCTTATATATAGATATTATTGTGTCAGGCATTAGGTTATCCTTTAGCGCAGGTGTTGTTTCTCCGTTTCTTAATTTAGTAGGCGGTGTAGGACTATGAATGTAATGGCTGTGATGAAAACAACTGGGAAAAGGTTATGTATTATAGAACTTTTAACGAGGTAAAGATTTGGCTCCGAATTAGAAAAACTTGCAGTGTATTTCTCGAATCCTCTCCTGTATTCGCTTTAAACAACACGCTCTGGACGTCATTGCTGTTTCGAGTGATGAAATATGATGCTTTATGCAACGAAGCCTATCCGTTCTTCCAACCTAATTTCGCTAACCAGAACCTTAATATTCCTAAAGGCAGAGAGGCATATTATCAAGGATTATATTTTCAAAGCTGATAAATACTCTTCAAAGCTACAAACAAATTATCCCAGAAACAAGCATAGCTAGCCACACAACCGCATCACAGTTCACCGAACGGAAACAAAAAAGATCACATCACTATCGAGGGCATACAGAGAAGTTAAAAAAAAAGGAATAAACCTGCGCCCTTATTATCTACCTCAATGTTCCATAACCATGTCAATGCCAAGCTAACTATACCACAGAGTTAATCACAATCATAATAATCATCTTCTTAGAAAATGATATCTTCATCCTCGTTCTGGCCCAAAATATCGCCACTACCCTCGGCATTAGACTCCTCGTCCTTTGCTTCGCCAAGTAGCTTTTTCTCTTTCATGGCCTTATCCGCAGCTTCCTGGTCGCGGTGCTTCTTGCCTTGGACCTTCTTAAGTCGGTAAAACTCTTCACGGTCGAGCTCGTCGAGCTCACTATTGATATATTTGATAGTGTTTTCCGTCCTTGGGATGATAACATGTTCGATGGCATTGACACGACGGTTCACGACCTTGATCACATCATCGAGGATTACAAACGCTGTCTACTCTAATTAGCCATTACCCCGCCCCCGCAAACACCAACACAGGACAAAAACTCACCTGCAAGCTCGCTAATTCCACCAAAGTTTCCACAGCTTTCCCGTATACCTCTCTGCACTTCTGGACCTGCTGCCCACCCCTGCCCAGACCCGTAAGCGCAAAATCTGAGTTGCCCTCGACCACATAGCTCTCAAATGCCGGCAAAAGCACACCAGACACGTTCTCCTGTTTTGTCCTGACCCTGAATCTTGCTGTCTTCACTGACTCTTGTACCTGGTACCCCAGGTTACTGCCGCCACCAGTGGCATATGTGACCTCTGCGAGAGAGAATGCCGCAATCTGCATCACGCGACCCATCTTACGTTTGGCTTCGTCGATACGGCGCGTGATCTCGCGGAAACGCTTAGTGAGGGCTTCGGATTTACGTTTGAGAAGGGAGTGGCCTGTGGTGAGTTAGCTGGTGTGTAGTTCTAGGTGACTATATGGGAATTTGTGAGGTACCGATTTCAGCGCCCTTGAGTTTCCCTTTCATAACTCCTAGCGACTGACGAGTCGCAAAGACCTGTTCTCGATTCTGCAGTGTCCAAGTAAGCGTCTTTATTAGCTTTCTCACCATCGCCCATGCGTGCGGGGAGACATATGGAGCAATTGACTTACACCTGCTCCGGACATGGTTATGGATTGTGTAAAGCTCGGGGCTCAGGTTGGTATTAGAGATACGGGGAGTCAAGTGTCGAAGGTGCGGAGCTTGCTTGCTGTCACACGTCATATGCGGTCCCGGGGGAGAGGCGGCTCAAGTGGTGTTAAGATAGGGTTCGGTCGATAACGTGGCACAGGCAAGGGCTAGCGTGTACTACGCGTGGGACGAGTATATTCTAGAATGTGTTGGGTTAATCGACTGCCGATATAGAGGTCAAAAGCTACAGGGTTTCTTTCTAGCAAAGGGTAATGATCCGACCTCAATTTCTATCTGCTACATATGAGAAACATTGTCAAACACATTGTTTCAACAACAAAAAACACGCATGACACGTAAGATGAGTCCAGCACATAGGGAAGTATGTGCCTCCGGTAATCTATATTTTAGACACAACCAACGCAAGATAAAGGAAATAAGTATGAAAACATGGAACAAAGAAGTGAGAATAGATGACTAAAAAAGAATAGAGGGTACTGTGCTCTTAAAGTCTAAACAGTACCGGTATCATACCCAAGAGAAGATATTAGCCACTTGCAGGATAAATGGGCATCCATCCTGTTATCTTTCTCGGTCCATGGACCGTGAGCGAAAGGGGCGCAAGTAAAAGAAAAATAAATAGTAAAAGGAAAAAAAAAACAGCTTTTTTGTTCTTCCCAAGCAGACAATATGAAATACCGAGGTCCCAATTCGCTCAACGACACAATAATCATGACAAGAGAGAAATAAGAGAAAAACAGGATACACATCAAGTACGCATGTATACTCCAAGGCTTGACCCAAGTACAAATAGCTTCCTCACTTCGAGTGGATAGCTAATTGGTCTATAAAGTTGACTCATCAGTATCAGTAAGTTCATTCTCATTAGTGTGCCTCTAAACACCCCCGTAGCCTTCTGCCTTGCCTGGGTCTATATACCAAAAAATAAAAACCTTATGTGACGTTTATGCATCACTATTGCCGCCACCGCCTGCCTTCAACCCAACCTTTGGAGCCGCCGCTTCGTCGTCTCCAACATGGACATGTGGTCCTTCTTCACCACCACCGAGTTTTTCCTCCTTCTCCTTCAAAGCTGCGTCGATTTCTTTCTTGTCTTGTTCCCATTGATCCTTGGGACTACTCCAGGATTCTTGCATCTTCTTCTTTTTTTCGGCTTCCTCTTTTTCAGCAGCTTCCTTGGCGAGACGCTCTTCCTCCATGCGTTCCATATGTTTCAAATCGTCCGCGGAAGGTTCGTACAAATGCCAAATCGTATAATGGGGAAGTCCGACGACACTGAATTTCATCCGTTTCGCCATCTACAAAACTCATAAATTAGTCAATCGCATTGTAATTGAGATAAATATGCACTAACCTTTCCAAAACCCTCGGTCTCGGCGTGTTTCTCGAATGAGAAAGCCGGGAAGTGGACGCCAGCCCTAAAGACCTTCGCCTTGGCAAGAATACTGACACCGCCGACACCATCAATATCCATTTCCACATCCGGGTCGCCGTAAGGGTCGCGAAGATAAGCAAGATGGGGCCTCCATGTTGCATATTCGGCATAACCTTCAACAATAACAGCGTCTTCGTCAAGGGTATCTGCAAGAGCTAGTGCGGTCTCGGACTCCTGCCACGAGTTAAGATCATATGGCTGCTCACCACCGAGCCAGTCGGGAAGCGGTCGCCAAACGTCTGATTCAATTATATCGTTAGTCCCAATTGCTTGCGGCAACAAATAATGTTTATTCAATTGAGCGACGAATTAATTGGTATCATCAGATAAAAAGGTGATTATTTGTCTCATTGGGTAGATGGCCCTCTGAAGTAGCAAATACGTTTGTGTAACATCATATGATAATGTGGGGTCCGGAATAAAAAAACCTAGAAAGGAAATTAAACTTACTAGGCACAATGATATCCTTGTTGTGTCGCATAAGATCTTCCAGAATAGTTGGGGGTGCAGTTTCCACGTCTGCATCTCTCCAGTATACCCAGCTGTGGTATGGCCTCAAAGTAGCACTCAGCAACCAATTCCGCGCCTGTGCCATTGTTTTCCTTCTACTGGCCTGGGCGGCAAAACCATGTCTGTTCTCAACATCTTGCTGTACCTTTTGCCCGAAATCCTTCTCGATAACCGAGATTTCTCCAAAGTGCTGATGTGGATCCGGATCCGCCTGGAGCTTCTCGAGGTAGTCAACTAGGAGTGGTAGAGTATTGTCCTTTGAATCCGAGACCAGGAATGCCAAATCTATCAAATGATGCGGATATGTAAAGTTTCTCATGTGGGAGAAGAACATTGGCAAGTGAGGCTCGGCGTCACGGAGAGGCACACACATGAGGATTCTCTCCTCCTTCTCCCATCCTCGAGCGCTGCCCTGTACATTTGACAAATCATAATGCCGTATTGTGGGGATGTGTGAATCGTCGCTAAGGAACGAGGACATCCCAATCGAGGGAAGAAGGATTAATCGGAACGAAGGAAATATGAGCAGCAGGATCACGGCGGAGATTCCTGCCATTAAACATATCTTGATGATTATCTGTCTTCGCCAGCGCAGAGCTGGTTGTGTGCGAGGCTGGAATCTGTTGGGGGAGGAGCTTCGGTGAGTATATTGCAAAGAGGTAGTTGTGGTCAAACGGTGAGCTTTTTTGTTACCTATGAGGAGATATGGAGAATGTATTGCTTGGCCCATACGAGGCATGGCCATTCGAATAAGCGTGGGAGTGCCTGGGCATCATGGCAGGCGAGGATACATGCGGCGATGTAACTGATGGCCGATAGGTGAAAACGGGAGGAGCGACAGTAGTGATGGAAGTACTTCTGGGGAGGGTGTGGTTTGTTGTCGCGGTGTTGTCTTGTTGGAGAGAGAAAGAAAGAGGCTCTAGAAAGGGATGCAAAAAAGAAAGGGGATACAGGGAAAGAAGCTTCAGGGACTTCCTTCGTTCAAGACCCTGGCAACTGCCGAAGGAACAGGAATGGATTAACTGATATTTCAAAATCCAACCCTGGAAGAAAAACTGACCCCGCAAGTGAAGCGAACACTTTAGCTGAAACGGAGCACGGATCAGAGACAAGAGGATCTGTTCGGAGATGGCAAGCTGGGCGCTGCCGAGAATAGTTATTCGATTGCCCTGACGATGTCTTGTTGACACGATGCCACTCCTGATGCTGATCCCTTACCTCAATTATTTAAGGGTTTGAGTAGTGGGAAGAGAGCACTCCCGTCTGACATAAAACGGACAAAATAGAATCCTACGAGAACACAAAAAGAAAGTATCCTGTGCTACACTCCAGCTGTCGTAACCATGGCCGCTAACCTGCCGCTTGAGATACGAGATCTATATATCAAGGTGCTTATTTTTGGTTATCCTTCCGCCCCCGGAATAGACAACCCCTTTCTTTCCTGCCCATGGTTCGGACTTTCCGGGTCCTCTCATCTGAGGGATACATTGACGTCATTTGAAAACATATCAAGTTCAGCTTAATTCTCCCCCTTCTATTTTGTCTTAGCTTCCTCCAACTGTACCTACAAAGAGTCAATTTAGGCGGAGATTGGCCCGAGGTAGCTCAACCTGAAGCATATTGCCTGTTGCATGGGGCTTATAAACCGGTACTGCAATATGAAATCAGGTCTTGGAAGGGGAAGATACAGTGGGAAATCTGCATTGTATCACTGCGGAAGTGAACTTGTGGTCATTAAGGACATACGCACGCTAATTTTTTATGGCCAAGCAAAGGGACCAAACTCACGAAATCGATAAGATGCTATGGTATGTACGGATTATGTCAAGAGGCTCAAATAAAGTCGCGTCGCGAGCTTGCGCAATTCTTGACACTTGGTGTCTCGGAGTAGGTCAGTGGTCCGTGAGGTGTGTTTCCAAGACTTAGTCTGATACAGAATCCCTTATCACGATTTCTCTCCATAGATAATGTGGATTGGAGTATAGTACACACGCTATATAAAGACTTGGAATGCTCGACAGTGGCAAAGTAAAGACGTTTAGATAATGGCCGCATGGCACCGAGTAATTGCGGGTCTCTTGCCACGTGACGACTCTATCTGAGTGACGGCCTGTGACCTACATGCCAGTACTTGAAGATAAAACTCATTTGAACGACTCGAAGATTAGCTAAAGTAAGATACCTACACATACTTTCCGCAAAAAATGGTCCTTCGGGGCCGGTGTATAGTTAACGCAAACTACATGTATAAATTGTGTTTAAGAGGTGAGGATCCTGGGACAAAAGTCTTATGTACCTACATGTATGTACATATATGCATAGAGGGCCTGGCCAATGATAATTTAAACCTAAAGAGTTGTCTCGAAAAAATGAGAGCATACACAATACCATGATGTAAACCCGTCTATTCTTGGTCTATACATGTATGTAGTTATATCTCCCAGAGCGATCAATTGGTTTCATGCCAACTCATGGTCGTGCCTGAAACTTACCGTTATACCAAGAACTACAAGACCTCTACTTCAGGTACAAGTGCACATCGACTACATCTAGTACTCCTACTACAGCTCTGGAGATAGGCTGCGCTCGCCTTCATTCTCATCAATACCCGAGCATATATTCCCACCCCACGCCGTATATCCACCCCGCAACTTACAATCACCCTTCCCTTCCTCCACTTCATAATTTTGAGCCCTCTTCACCTTCCCCACGATTAACTGCGTGAGCGTAAAGAGTTCTTCCTTCTCCCACACCCCCTCCACCCTACCATCCTTCCTACACTTCTCTACCACATCCAGCGCCGCCTCCGTTGCCTCCCTACAATCCAGACACTGTCCCCTTTGCCCACATAGTACGATCACCCCCGTCCCCACGGCCACTAGGTCTGTACATAGAGAACGCGAATTCGCGTGACAGCAGACCCTGTACCCGTTCAAGCGTGCGAGGGCCTTGACTATATCGACGGTAAGTGGGCTCTCCGGCGTGGTTCTGCAGTATGTACGGGTGGTGGATTGTGGTGTAATGGTAGGAGGGCGCGTGGCGAGGTGATGCCACTGGCAGAGGGTTGGAATAAATATTTCGGAGTTTCTTTGGAGGTTTTTGATGCGGGTGGAGAGAGGGAGGGGGTAGAGGCGATTACCAGCGTCGATGGCAAGAATAAACGACAATACTAGCAACGAGAGACGGACTAGGGCCAAGGCCATGAGGATATATATTTAGTTATATTAGCACTGGTAATAATAGGTAAATATGCCTCAATAGTGCTGTAAACTCAACCGAAAGAGAGCGCAAGCTCCAATGAAGCTTTTGAATCACATTTCTGGATGTTTCATACCAGATAATTAAATGGCTCCGGCTACGTGGCTGAATATCAAGGACACGCGTCAGGAGAAGCTTCTCATAGAGCAGGAACGTATGGAAGTTCAAAAAAAAAAAAATCAAATTTCTGGCATTGGTATCCTCGCGCCTCCCAACAAACATTTTTCGTAAACGTACATACAACCTGCCAGCTCAAATAGCCAGAAAGCAAACAGAAACCCCGAATAACCGTTAACCTCAATATACCGGGACCCTTCCCCATCTTTGAGAGAAGCGTTGTAAAAGTTCATAACATGAATAATATAAACGGAGAAATGAATAAGAAAACTCCACCAAAGCTATCAAAAAGAAAAAACAAAAATCATCGGGATCTTGCTATCGTGAACGCGTAGAGGGTGTTATAGTCTGGGTGTACTTGGAGTCGAGATACCAGCGGTGTTCATACTGAATGGCGCCTATTTTAGTTGGAAGTTAGTACAAAGCTCATATCGTAAGCTATCCATCAGAAAGACACTTACCAGAACTTTCTTGGCATTGCATATCCTCCAAGCCAACTTCCGAACATTTCCATCCGCCTGGACTACCTCTGGTGCAAAGTCCACGCCGAACATTTCCTTGACAGCATAGACAACCCTCTTGGCGTACTTTTCCTCTCCAAGCCCACCGAACTCTTCATTAACGTTTGATGGTGCCAACTCTTCTTTGCGTTCAAAACACCTGATGACGACCGGCAAGAGATGCTTCTCAATATTGTCCTGCATTTCTTCGCTGTCCACAAATGCGATATCCTCATCCTCGTTGATTTCAACCTTGTCGATAACGATTTCAAAAGGCAAGCTGATAGCCATAACATTATGCTTTCCGTCGTGGTGATATCTAAACTCGTATGTACCATTACTCCAGAATGTCTTACCGCATGAGAATTCGACTTCACCCCTGAAAATCGGCTCACTGTCGTCGGCGCAAGTGCCAGGGTTGTCAGATGAAATAATACCGCTTTCGGCGTCTTCAGAGAGATCATATTCGTCTTTGCAGGTAGCGATCCACCTTCCCATAGAAGCGACTTTAGTGATGAGACGAGAGCGGTTATCCGTAATCCGGTACAATCCGATCCAGTCCTTCCTCGAGTGATTGACCGGTGCAGTCCATCCCACTCTAACTGGCTCTCCATAAGAAACGGATAGACTCTTGTGAGCATCCGAATCTTTCTGTGGCAGTGCGTTCAGAATGCTTAGGGAATATTTCTTGGAATCGTAGTTTGCAAGATCATCGGCAAGAAGGGTGATTGAAAGTCTAGCGGGATACTGAGAGAACAAGAACTGTGTGTCTTTGACCACACCCATAACACCTTGAGCTAGCTTTGGCCTGGCAGATTCCAAAAATTCCTCAACGAAATCGGTAGTTTCCGAAAGCACCTTATCAACGGATCCCTGGAAAGACTTGATATGGTTGGCAACTGGGGGTGGAATGGCGTTCTTAATGGTTCTGACAACACCGGCTTCCCGGCGAATCTTGCTACCATACAGCTTCTGCATGTGAGGTCGCTCGATAAATTGAATGAACAGAAGAGCGCAAACATGCGACAAAAGTCCCAACATGAACACAGCCGACGAAGATGCAATCAAGACAATACCCCAAATTCCGGCACAACCAATAAGACGTTCAGGGTTGTTCAAGTATCTATAAATACCGGAGTATGTCAAGCCAGGGCTAGGAAGTTCATAGAAGAAGTCTCCATAAAACCAGCCGAATTCGCCTAGGGACTCGTAGATAGAGGTAGAAGTCCAAAGTTGGAGAGCGATGAGCATAATGCCGACGGTGTGCCTGAAGAGCACTAGCTTCTCTTCTCCAGCGGGCCAGTGGTACATTTTCCAACCAGCAGCCATGAATGAAGCATGGCACATGACCAAAGAAACGTGGTACAAACTCTTCCATTGACTCCAAGCCTCCTCGCGGGTCTCGCCAAACTTCAAAAAGTGTCGGAACCAGGACTTGTTGTTACTCTGTGCGTGAAGAATTGCCCCAATACCAGCAGTGTGCCAAAGTCTCCATACAAGAGCGTGGATGACAAACGCAGCCTGGACTATAGAAGTATCGGGGGTGAGAAGAGTCAAAACAACCAAATATCCAACTAGGAGGGTGGTAAAAAGATGAGTGTTGTGGAAAAGATCGAATTTTCCAAGAAGCTTGTGATCCTTTGCTGTCTGTACTGTATCCTCCATTATAACCGAAGAAGTCCCAGTCGATGAAGATGAACTCGATCTATTCTTTCCAACAGATGAGACAGGCCTGATCATAGGAGGAGGGGCCGATCTGCGGCGTGGTGCAGGAGGGTTATAGGTTTTATCGATGTGAGGGTTTTCGACAATTGTAAGGAAAGCGAACTGGGCGGCGTGTGCAAGAAGAGAGGTGAAGAGAACGGTGTAAGATGCAGCCATTAGAGAAATACCCTACGAATGTCAACTAAACCCTTGATATATTACCTGCAAGAAGAAAAAAAACAGGAACTCACGTAGTATCCGGCATAGCCAACAGAGTACATTGGGTGAGGTGCCATTTCGAATACACCGTCAAATGTAAGATTCTGGTCAATGAGGAAAAAGAAATCACCCCAGTCTGGAAAAAGTACCTTAGTCCAAAGTTCACTCTACGGAATCTGAAATTGATGTTGAAATACTCACACCAGGCGTAATCCTTGACGACTCTGTGGGCGTCCAATTTGACCCAAAGATTGAACATGAACAGTACAATACCACCCACCCATCTCCCCATTGTTAATACCCATCCCTCGCCCTCAGGAAGAGAAGCGCAGGATATGGCAAAAAGGACATAGCTGACAAAGTCACACATCAAGATCAAATCGACCACTCTGCGGAACACGAGCCAAGTATTGTACTCAATGGGTGCATCCTCGAAAACATAGTCTCCACTCTTCACTTCATCGGGAATCTTGGCCTCAATTTCTTGCTTAACGAGCTTGCAAATTACTGGCTGACGGGAAGCATCAAAGATACCAGATTTACGAGCCCAATAGACAAGCCATTTACGGTTTGATTGGTTGTGCAAGAGGACACCGATACCGAAATTGTAAGCAGTTCTCCAAAAGAGGAACGTAGCACACAGTATGGGGGTGCGGATCGACGAAGGAAGAAAGTAAAGAAGTGCGATGTGCAATGCTAAAACGCCTAGAATAGCGATATCCGATATGTTCTTGGGCTGTGTTGGCGACAGGAGGGTAGAGACCATGTCATGCGTCTGGGGAACGACAAAAACTGGAAATCGTTGTTTCATTAGTACCAACTCACTGAAGTTAAGGTAGGAGGTAGTTGGTTTGGTTACTTTTGCCATCAGGTGTGCGACCAAAGGTCTTGCGTGGTTTTGAAGGGTCCTCTTCAACGGCGCTCAGGGTCTCCTTAGGGACCATATTCGCCGCTGGTACTTCATGTGTGCTTTTATCAGTGGGCCTATTACGAAGCTTCGTATTGATTAGCTTCGAGCCATTGGACTCCTCCGACTCCACGGCCATTGTTGAAAAAGTCTCACAACAGGCCGTTAAAGGTGTTTATCGGGGGGTAAGGTTCCTGTTGAAGGATTCACTAAAGAGATGTGAGTGAGCTGGGTAAGGTGGAAAGTGTGAGAGTAGTAGAAAAGATCGGGGAAGGGACGGAGCTCACGGGTCTATATCACTTTCTACAGTGGAACTTTGATACTGTACTCTCATAAGGTGTTCGAAGGGAAGACCTGTCATTTCGTACCGGCAATTCCGCGCCTCTTTTACCGGCAACCAATCAAGGGAGATCAGAGGTTCTGTGGATGGCCGCTGTGTTACGCAGGGCAGGGGCTGGTGCCCAACCGAGCCAACGAGCACGCGCGGGATGAAAAGGACAGCAACGTCAATAGGGAAAAAAAAAAAATGGTTAGAAAAGATACATGTAGACACTTCACCGAACACAAATATGTGACAGAAGTAAAGCAAGTACATACAGACAATTCAGGCAGACAATTCTCGTAAGTACATCCGGTTTTGGGAGAGTTAAAAAAACAAATTATGTATCTTTTCGATGCAGCACATATTGTTTCTCAATTGGGCATATTAGCAGCTGACGACTCAAGAACCTATGCTCATGTTCACCTGGTATGTACATGTATGTACCTACATTATCACATGCTCTCTCTTTAACTTGCTCTCAGCTCTCAGTCAGAACCTGGTCCCAAGGCCCCAGAGCTACTCTACTTGGACATGGTCTTAGCCCTACCGCACGCCTACGATCCATGGTTGAGAGTTTGGTGATGGAACTAGGAGAGTAAGACGCCTATCGAACATGCAATTAACCGTAACACAATCATTCTCCTACTTGCTTAATTCTAGTCAATTATCCAAGGGATTTCTTGTAACCACTAAGTAGAACGATACACAGGCAGTTATGGATCAAATCAGAGGTCCAACATCTTGACACCTCTGCAGGTTGCTGATTGAGGTTGGCATCTGCGCACCCCAATGCAGCTTAGCTACATAACGTATCGCTACTGCGCGTTCCTACATACATCTCAAGTCTGAGGCCAATTACGCTTGTGGCGGCTCGCCAGCCCCACGTTCTAAATCGCGGCGACCGGACGCGGGGTAGAGTGTGAGTCCCAACAGAAACGGGACAACAATTTTTCGCCTCACAACGTTAGACTTGTTCGTCGTCTCGAGGCCTGGTGTTGCTGGTGGTTGGCCTCTTGGCTTGTCCAGCTGCGATGACCTTGGGTCCTAGGGTTCACGCTTCCTTCAACTTATCAAAGAGAACTCAGTTGTGTTTCAAAACCCAACGTCATCAGGCTGCCTTGATTGCTTGTTTCTGCTGTGCTTCTTCTCTGGCGAGATTCAGCTTGAAATACGGACGGCCTTGTCTCGGGTAATTACGGGCTACATTTTCCGTTGGGATACTTTCACATGCAAATCTGATACATATGCCAAGAATTTTAGGTTGGCTATGGTTAGGGCTGGTCCCTGTTAGCCTGGCCAAAGCTTAGCTTAACGCTGGTTAGGTACATGTAGCTACAAGTACCCACCAGATTTCATCTTGAATTCGGGTTGTACCGAACCGGGTACCTTTTTGAGAGCGATATTATACAATCACATACAGAAATTTTTATACTAGTAGGAATAACTCCTAGCACGAGGCACGGTAACCACGATCAACTAGCGGATGAATTTCAATTGCTAGAACCTTCGAGGAGAAAATCAAGGATCCAATTAAAGACCCGAATATGGAATGCAACATTTGTTTTCTTACCTACAGAGGATAATATTATGCGTTATTCCAAATCGAGGTACATACGTTTATGCGTAACTAACACACACCAATGAGATCTTGTCACACCGCAACGATATTCATGCCATGACCTGCCATGGGCCTATAATAGCAGCCTTCCATATGGTATGATAGTAGCGCACCTCGATTACTGAACACTGCGCGTGATGCAGAGCTTGTATTTGGCTCAAAGAGGTGGTCTGCTACATCGAGATATATATACGCGGTTTCTTTTCATAGATATGGTGCCCCCAGCTTAAAGGTAACATGAGAAAACCGCCAAGTCTCGGATAACTTTTCAACCACAACAGATATTAAAAATCGGTACAGCAAAACTCTTCTACATCACGGTATCCAGCTTTTTCTTGACATATCTTTAATATCAATCGTGGTTGAAAACATAGTTATTCGAGACTTGGCGTAATTCTCATGTTACCTTTAAGGCTGGGGGCACCATATGTATGGCGGACTTTGAGTAACATAGATATTATTAAGGCGACCAACTCCTGCTCCATTAAGGCAACCAACTCCTACCATAAGCAGCCAACAATAATTTTAGATACATACATACCTACTCTACTCTTAAGTCGATCTTTCAAGCATAAGCAAGCAGGTTACATGTAGTATGCACATGTAGCCACGGTAGGGGTGAGGAACATAATGATAAATCTCGAGTTTAATTACCTAGACTTATCAATGATCCGCGAGAGAGGGGAGAGAGGGGAGGGAATAAGCTGTTATTATTATTATTATTATTATTTCACAACAGAAGACATGAACCAGGGGCTACCCATTTAGAAAGCTATTAATAAATTGTCTCCCAATGCCCCGCAAGAAGTATACCAACCCCGTATAAACTGCTGTAAATGCGTACAATTACTATTGGGGATCCCGGGTACTATATACGACTAAGAATATTGGCCGATAGCATATTAAATATGTATGTTTTGAGTCCCAGGGCAGCAGTGCAATGTGTGTAGAGATTGATACGAGTGATATATCATGATGAAACGCTAAAGCTCTTAACCACCCAAAAGGTCAAACGTCATGTTCCTGTCTGCTCACCAACGGTATACAAATCATAAGATAAGGGGACATACAACAAATCCGTGCTCTCACACTTTCCACCACCACCACCACCACCACCGGCAAAAATCCTCAGACTTGTGCTTGCATTTTGGATGGTGAAGGAGGTACCCAGAGCCGAAGCACCGATAGGTATATATAACTGAGGTAAGCCCTCTCAACAATACAGTATTTTTCTCTCCCAACCCAACGCTCTCGTTTTAACTCGAGAAGCTACATGTAGCTCTCAATATGCAAGTACTAGTACTGCTGTTACAAACCTATGATAGGAAATGTATGCGTTGCCAAACCGAACAGAAATAATGTAATAGTTATATGGCTTTTATCCCCTTTGATATACCGGACTCTAGCACTTACATATATTTATCTCTTGACTTGACCTTGACGGACATGAAAGTTACTAATATTTATTAAAATGCATGGCTATTCTTTAGAATGTCCGCAGTATAGTATACATGTATTTTTCGCTATAGCTACGTATACTTTATTCTGACCTCATCTAATAATTGCAAGAGATATACATCTTCTCTCAAAGCTAGAGTTGCACGGCATATTTGATGCCTACAGTACCAAAAAAGCTGGTGGATCCAGTACCATATCTGGCAAAATACCGTAGGGTTACGGTATTGTTACGGTATTGCTATGGTATAATAGTTAGGATTCCGATTTAATTCGGAAGTTTTGCACAATTCCGTATTGGTACAGTACCTATTACATCCTCTTTTTTCGTACTGTATATAATTTAAGAGGTCTAATTAGAACTTATAAAATTGATATAGTCTTATAATCGTAAACTCTTGGGTTTAATGTATTTTGGGCTCTTTCTAATCATCCGAGGCCGACCGGGCCGGTCGTATGGATGTTTTATGGGGTTAATTGTTATTAATATATATAAAGAATACGATGTAACGAGAGCTACTACTACTTAGTTGACACTATCCACAAACGCTGTGGCCAGCCTTATGTACTACATGTAGCTACTCTGCTTTTATTTATTATTTATGAGTGTCACGTGCCTTAGCAAAGTATCCTAATTTCATGTATTTAGCTACTTGTACATATGGCCCAGATAATAAATCTCTAAACCCTAACTCATGATACCTATTTCTAAATCTAAATATCCAGTTCAAAATGGCCTCTCAGCTTGTGGTGTGATTCTCGCCAGGTGTCTTCTGCCACCATCATCCCAGTCTAACAAAGCTGAGTGTGCAGTCACTCGATTATCCCATACCACAACAGTCTTTGGCTCCCACTTCACGCGGATCTGGAAATCGAGCCCATATGCGATGTGGTCGTAAAGGAACTTCAGGAGAGCGTCACTTTCTTCCTTTTTAAAGCCTACTATATGACGCGTGACTGGTTTTCTGTGAGTCAGTGAAATAGAGAAATGATAGAGTATAGGAAGTTGGTAGTTACATTGTGGGTTAATGAAAAGTGCTTTCTTCCCAGTAGCCTATTGAGGATCAGTGACTGATAATACTTCATCTGAGAAATACATGGGTCATACTGGGTGCGTCCGGACGATAGGATGCTCATTCGCAACAGGCTCTCTCCTGACCACACCACCCTTCCTTCTAGCCAGGTCGGCTTGCTCGTGTCCTGAGTGAATTGCTGTCAAACCTTCTAGACGTTGTTTAAACGGCTCGCTAAGCCTATTGTATGCCTCCACTTGGCTTACAAATGCCGTATCTCCTCCTGAGTAGCCGCCGTTTGTTTTCGGAATATCAAGCGCATACAAAAATGTAGTCCCAGGAGGCTGGATAAAATTCTGTCAACTATAGATATCCAGCGAGTATGTATTTTTGTAGCTACTTACCTGAACCTCATAGGTGACGTCCGAATGCCATGCGACACTACTTGTTCTACTCTCCAATACACTCGCTTCCACAGCCTCTCCCGCGCCTCTATGAACCAAGTGAATTTCCGGGTACCCTTTTGGCTGACCTGAAGAAGGGTGGATATGATGTCTTCCAAAATACCCTCCAAATTCAAGTGCTTTTTCGATGGGAAGATTTGCAAAGTCCTGATCTCTAAAAGCGACAACACCACGCTGGGCAACGAAGAGCGCAAGCTCATCTTTGCCCGCGTTAGTAAGGGAGCTTAGCTGAATCCCTCTGACTTCTGTGCCGAATTTGGGACTGAGATGGGCGAGCTCCACGTGAGTGGGGAGTAGGTTGGGGAAGGCTGGGTCTGCGGAGAGTGCGTGCTCGGTGTGCTCGAATGGCTTCAGAGGAGGGTAGCTAAGTGTTATCATGTTTAGTTACGTCTGTGTATAGCGATAGATTATGGGTTAGGGTACCTTTTATCGCCTACCCAAGTAGGGAGATAGTGAGGATACTAGAGAGGCTATTAATGAGTGCGTACCGGCAAGAGGGTTGAGGTATACATACAGCTGCTGGAGCATGCCCGTCGGCACCTTTGATTTCAACATCTTTGTTAAAAGCTTTAGGGCCGTGACTTATTTCTTTGTAGTCTCCTACGGGGACATTATCACTTGTCGCGATAGTTACTGCAGGCGCCATTGTAAATCTATGGACTATAAGATCGGAGGTTCTCTTGAGGATAAGATGGAAAGTACTTGAGCATTAAATATACATTTCTCGCCCCCTTCCCTTCCTTGTAGATTGGCTGATCAATCGGGTTTCGTGATGTGAGTGGGTCATTGTGCAATTGATACAAGAGACAGTTGCAAATGATCAACGAGACAATTGAGATAATTGGAGATAAGATGGGCGCGCTTATCGATGCTGCTCTTGCCGTCTAACCGAGGCGATTGTTTATCCCTTGGACGGATGAAAGTTGTCAAATTCGCGACCTGGACCGTGCACCACTTAGTAAGGGAATTATCTTGCTTTTTACGGTTGGCAATAACAACAGAGCCAATCAAGAATTTCGAACAATTGCCATAGTAAGCTAGTGATAGCTGAAAGAGTGTGGTCGCGAATTTGACAACTTTCATCCTTCCAAGGGATAATATGATGTAGTGTAGGTATTTGGGCTGGGGGTTATACTGGGTGTTGAGGGTAAGTGATCAGAATCTGATAAGTGAATGCTGCGGTGAATACGTGTATTTGTCTTATCAGATTCTGATCACTTTTCGCTACACCCTAGTACGTACGGAATAACAATGTTGTATCACGCAATTACCAGGGTTGTGTGCGTGTGAGCATGGGTGATTCTCTTAGATGTTACTTTATATGAATTCACATTGAACTATAACCTGACGTCTGAAGACGACGGCCTTTGGGTCCGAGGAAAAAATTGTTTATGCTGTAGAAATTAAAGATAGTATGATACTAATGATATAATAAAAATGATGATAGTATGATTGTGGGTTAGTAACTCCGACATATAATATCACTCGACCTTTCGAATGATCTGTGGTGATTGAAATATCGATTATACCCCGCGGCGCATCCAATAATATATACACGTCATGCATACCTACATTAGCAGTACATTCCCTCCCTCCCGTAGCCCGAAGACTTACGTCACACGTGCTCGTACTATCAATGGCCAGTCACGCTGGAAAGGGACTTATATGTATGTACATGTATGTATCTACTACTTACATAGTAAGTTTTGAAAGCTTTGGCAGTAGGAGTTCACTTTTCACTTATGTTGATTATACAGAAATGGGAATGTATATATGGACTCTTGTTCCATGCTGAGTTTGCACGAAATATTGGCGCCTAGTGACTGTGTTGATATGATAATCTCTGTCATGGCCGGACGTTTCACTCAAACAATAAATCCCAATCTTAAGTATTCCTCTAAAATCTTGACATAATAAAGGGAACGGGGAGTATGAGATGAACTTTTAGACCGTGTACCATACCATATATCCCTCACACCAACTAGAAAAAATATTACATAGAGTTGGATAGATCTACTTGAAAGAATCGAACTAACTACCTAGGAAGAAATGAAAAAAGAAAAGAAAGAAAAGAAAATAGCTGACATGAGGTAATACTAATGCAATCAAGGAAGCCCCAGGCAATGAAACACATCCAACTGCGTACCATTATAAGAAAAAGATATAAAAACCCCAGATCAACAAAATGAAAGAAAGGAAAAGAGAAAGAAAAACAATGCGCGCCTCGTCACTTCAAAAACCATTAAAAACCGTTATGCATCCTCCCCTGATACTCTCCTCTCTTGAAATTCTTTGGGCTTTTGGGGGTTCTACTTGTCGGCCCCCTCGACGGCGCTCTACCTGATGAGGTTTCGCCCTTGTCTCTCCCACCCTTGAACATTCTTCTCATACCTCTATCGAGTAGATTATCCAAGAGGAACGCACTTTCCGGAGTCCCTTCGCGTGATATTGGAGCTGTAGAATCACCTGGGTCCAAGTCAGAGCCGTGTAGATGATCGTATTCTTCTTCAGCTTCCGATAGGGATTCTTCTCCAGTACGACCCATCATATGCATCTGCGGCGAGGAAACGGATCTCGGAGCATACCTGCTTGACGAAGGAATAGGCGGGGCCGTGAATGCAGTCGGGGTCATAACGCCCGGCGGTTGGTCCCTTGTAACCACCGGCGTGTTTAGAGAATCTGCGAAAGATGTCTGGAAGGATGTAACACTGGGTGTTCGAGCAAGCGACCTATTCAGAATTGCGTACACTCGGTTGTCGTAGACTTGCGGGGCAGTTTCACCACTCTCCGTAAATTCAGTGTCTGTCTGTGATGGGGTTTGGTTGTGGTTAGGTGCACTATCATCTCCGCCAAAGAATGCATCCAAGTCGCCCAGTCTCAAGACGGTATCACTAAATCCACCTTCTCCTCTTCCGTCTTCGCTCAACATTGTCGCTGTCCTATCTTGCATGCTAGTGTAAGAATAATCCTCCATGTGAAACTCGACGTCCTGTGTGGGAGGCGCTTCTTCCTCCGCGGCAGCTGCCTGAGTACAAGTGTAAAAAACAGCGTGAACATTATCTCTTGTCATAACTGCATTAATTGCCGGCATGGGAATCGCCCAACCGCTCTCGTCTGGTATCCCAAATAGTGTCTGTGTTTTTTCGTATTCCTTCCGGATTGTCCTATTACCCATACTCATCCGCATCACGTGTCGATCCATGGGTCCGCCTGAAATAGTAATCATTTTGTCAAGTACCTCGAGCGCTTGCTCAACAAAATCTGTCTGTAGCAACCTTAGCAACGGTGAAATGAGATCGGCGCCCACTCCAGCAAAGGCTGGTTTCCGCATATCGATGGAAGGTAGCATTATTGTCAGCAATTCCATTGTCCTTAACTTGACCCATTTTAGCTTGTTCGAGAGGAGTCCAACTAGGAAGATCAAGGCTTGAGCCTCATAGGTGGGGAAAAATGTCTCCTTCAAAGCGTTGACAGTCTGTGATATGAAATCCTTTTTCGATCTGAACCTCTGACCGGCATAGAGCGACATTACCCTGGTTAATGATTTGTGTTCCTGGGCCTCTGCTAGCAATTTCAATCTTTCTGCACAAAGAATGACATCCTCGCTAGGCGTCCCTTCTTGAGCTTCTGAAAACCTTGGTAGATTGGCCAAGATCGCAAATAATAACCTGCTATCGCCTCCAACAAGTTCATTTGTGGGTATCATGTTGAGTTTATCGAACACTGCTAAAGTCTTTTCAAATGATACCGAGGACCGGAGTCCTTTATCGATAAGACTCTGAAGCCCCTCGAATTTGCCGAACCATTTTGGCGGGAATGCATCCATGAGATAATTAACCTTAGCTGGATCTGCCAAATCAATCTTGTCTAATAACATTTCCAACAGTGATAGGACCTCCATAAATTCACCCTCATGGACGGTGTTCAAACAAGCAACAGTTACCCAAAATAACTGAGGATATTGTAAGAGATATTCTTCGTCCATCTCTGCAATGATGGCGTTCAGTGTGATAAGAATTTCCATGGCAAATAATCGTATATCCGCAACGTCGTCCGCAATCGTATTTGACAATCTCGCAAGCATGTCCGACAGCATACCATGATCTAGTGTGGTAAGAAGACACCGGAAGACCTGAAATGATCTGCAAGCCAGATGCCGTACTGGACATGTGGTTGCCCATGAAAGCGCAACCTTACCCCAGGCAGGCTTCAATCCCGGCGACACGGTCGAGAACATTTCAAGTACGCATGTGATCATGTGACCCATCGATTTTGGAACTCGGAGGCCATTTTCCTCCGTAGAGCTGATCTCTTCGTAAGACCAGAAAGTCTTGCCATCGCGTTGTCGAACAGTCTCAATAAATTCGAGTGTTGCAATTCTCGTCGCACGGTCCTCTTCCTGGTTAAGTGCAGGAATAACCAACTCATGTATGAGATGTATCAACATCTCCTTTGCTTGCTCTTGGACTAATGGAACGTAATGGTCCCATAGAACAAATACAACTTGCAAGAGCAGTGTCAACTTCTCAGCCATTTCGGGGACAGGTCCAACGAGAAGATCGACCATCATTATCATTGCAAGGTGTCCAAAAGAGAAACCAGTCTAATTGAATTAGTGCTGGCCAACACCCAAACAAGAGGGAATAGGCTTACCGGCTTCCCGCTATTTGGGACACACTTTGACAAGTCCGCTACGTACGGAAACTGGGATGCATCTGGTGGTGGTGTAGGCTCTTTGACTGTGATTATCATTAATCTTGGCTGAAGGTATCCCATCAAAGCCTCCACCAATTTCGCCCCCGCAACGGTTTCAGATAAGAATACAATGACCTGTTTTCCAAACTCGACAAAGTTTTGTTCACGGCGTTCAAGACTCTGATTAAAAATGAAATCTAGAATGACCTGCACATTACCGAGAAACGGTGCTGTCGCAAGAGACTGCCACACAGCTTGAATTTCACTGTGGATCTTGCTGCTAAACTTAACTGTAATCTCATACAAGTTCGCAAGGACCATATATGACGAGGGGAATAGATCTCCATTGGGCTCAAGAGCCAGGTCGATGGTTTGAATCCAGGGCAGCAGGGCGTGTAGTATGTCCCTTTGAGCCTTCCCCTCTGTAAGATTGAAAAACATAGTGAGTTCGGAGAATATAAACATTGCCTGCTCAGGATGATCTATCGAGAGGCCTTTCGAAAGATGGAACTGTGCACGTTTATAAACGGCAACAGTTTTATCTGAGATGCTGACTTCAAAATCTTGAACCCTTGAAATATTCCAGGCACGTTCCTCCGTTACTCTCAGCAATTTTGCCGCCTGTAGTCTGACTTCTGCGTTCTCGTCACCCAGCTTAAATAAGCAAAGTGCCATGATTTTCCACACGCCATCCAAATAATCCGGAACCTCTCTGAGCACCTCCGAAATAACAGCGAAATAGCTTTGTGTAGCTTTTGCTGAAGAGTCAAAGCAATAACATCGTTTCATAGCATTGTTCAGTAAAACTGTTTGTTGGTTATATAATAAAATGTTTTTGAGCGCTCGTCGTCCAATGCGGTGAGTCCTATCACTTGGCGATGCGAAAATGGATTCGATCCATCGGAAAAGCTCTTCGACGTTGAATTCAAGCATAGGCGCAACATTTTGTGAGAGGTCGCCCATAACAGGGCCGGCCTATAAACCGATATTAGCCTAGCACGCACCTTAAATTGTATTCTTTTACAACTTACACAGAGTGATGCCATCGCGCTTAATGCAGCAATTTTGAGATTCCTCTTTTCAATCTCCATGGCAGCCCCTAATGTCCCTTTATCTGTTAAGTCCCGTTGGCTATCTACTATTTGCCTCATTTTTTCCTCTCTATCCTTGACGACTTGCCAATTTGGCCCATGTCCGCACCAATCCTGCATTAGAATATAAATCGATAGCCGGCCCTGGAACGGAAGCCACTGCACAGAAACACCTGCCTTTTTAAGGCCCTCAAATAACTCCTCAGTGAGCCCACAAAAGTACCTTCGAAGTTTCTGATGCTCCCAATCGGTCTGTACTTCTGGGTCCTGGAGGAACACTTTCATATCCTTTATGAAGGCTATCATTTTCTCTAAAATCCATTTATCCTTAAAAACCTCCTCTTTCTGCAGGAAGTGTGATGTAAGCTGGAATACGTGGGTCACTTCGGCTCTAAGTCGATCTTGACGTCGGTTCCGTCGGGGCGAATCGACTCGCTTTCCTTTTGTTATCAAGTCTTCAGAACTCCACTTCTGGACTGTAGGTTGAAGGCTCTCGATTAGCGTCTTGTAAAGGTTGATGTTGATATTCCCTAGTCCTGAAACTACTGCCTCCCTGATCCTCTGATTATCTAAACTCAGTAGTGGAATAACCATTTGGAACACAGATCTGGCTGAAGTGATCCGATTAAGGCGGTAGGGTGCCGGGGGGGTCTGGTTTTTCGACGGTTTTCTTGCATGTTGTGGAGTCCGTGGCCGTGATACCGATGTCTCGCCGTCTGTTGAAGTTAATGTTGAGCAGGCTACGATCAAATACAGCTTCCATTGCTCAATCATAACTTCTGGACTAGTCTGAGGTAATGCTCTCAGAATCTGCTTTGGTACACTTTCAAATCCCAAGTTCGGCGCCCTAGAAGTTTGTGCGATGGCGCATATCGATTGATGCATCTGGACCAAACGCCCGCACACCAAATCTCTACAGAGAGCTACAGTAGTTGGACACCTTTCCACACAGACCCTAATGAGGCTAGGGAATACCCTAAACCACAGAGACGAATCGTATTGATTGTCGCTTATTGCCATCTGCACCAATGCATCCTTCGACTTGGAATCCTTCAATTCTCTTTGAAGCCTACTCCGTTCCGCCACAGGCAGATTCTCATCATTCAGATTCATAACATTTAATGAATCACTCTCCAAAATGTGGATAATTCGTGGATATGCCGGAGATACTGAGGTGCGGCTGGGTTTTCTCGAATGTGCGCCTGCTTTCCCACCAATCTCTGCAGGCTCACTCAAGACCACATCGAACTCTGTTATGATTCTCAACACCATGATAGCAAATCTTCTCACCACCCTTGACTGCGAGCATAAAAAGAACAGCCCATTTGACTCAATCTCATCTACGTGGGCTTGTACGTTAGAATATTCCAGCTCCTCACTACGGTTTCCGAGTCCACGATCATCCAAAATCGAAGATGATTCTGCCGCCGCTGAAGCAGCATCCCTAGTACCTTTGACCTTTTGTTTGATCGTCTCGAGCCATATCCGTAACAGGTCAATGTAAAGTTTGAGGGTGCTTTCAATGTGACCACTGCCTAGCATTCCACCATCGGAAGTTGTGGAATAACGCTCATCAAACGCAAAGATGAACCTTGCAAAGCCAATGATAACTTGTTGAGAATTATACTGTCTAGCGATGCTTTTTAAGGCGTTCGCGGAGGCGGTAGCAACATTCTGGTCGATATGTGCTGTTCCGCTGCACAAAAGCGTAACAACTTTGTAAAAAGGGATATTGGGGGGAAGACATCGAGGGAGCGCCGTTATAGCAACGTGAAGAAGTTCGTAAAAACTTTGTCTCTGCTCTGCAGCATCTCCTCTTGTATCATCCCGGATCCCAAAGGAAAACTTGTTTTCTAGCGGTGTTTTGGGCACTGCAGCAAACCTTTCATCCAGAACTGCTTGGCCGCCAAAGTTTATGTCGCAGAGAACGATGATTTTTCCGAGCATCTCGCAGAAACGATCGTAGTATTCCTTTGCAGTCGAGCCAAGCTTTTCCACTGCAACTGCTTGTGATCTGCGATCCACTTTCACCTTGACGCCATCCTTCTTTTCCGCCTCGATTTTAGCAAGCCATGTTGAAGTAGGCGGAATCTTCTCTGGAGGATTTGAGGCAAACGTTTCCGGGAATGGTGGTAGGCCGGATTCGCCTTTCTCCAAATCTGCCATGATGGCCAGAAATGCCCTAATACCAACAACCATTCCTTCTGGTGATAACTGGTCTAGTTTCAATATATTCGCCCCCGACAACAGCTCCACGTTTAATAATGGAAATACAACAGTCCGGAAACAAAGATCCTGGTATTTAAACCCAATGAAACGAATAAGTTGAATACAAGGCTCAACCACCTGCTGCTCTGCTGTCACCAACGATTTTTCTTTCTTATCTCTTGTCAAGAGAATTTGAATTATCCTTTCTAGTTTCTTGGTGGTATTGTTCATACTTTCCGTACAGCGGAACAGATATGTCCAAGTCAACCTCGCAAGCGTTTGCACTATGGGCACTCGCATCGATCTATCTTTATCTCTCAGCTTCGGGAGATTGTTCTCGACCAGATGCATCCAAAAATTGGCGAAATAATCGTTAGGGCTTACGCAAAGCAACGTTCCCATAAGGGGAAAAGCTGTGTGCCAATGCCGAGGTTTTGCCATCATCTCGCTTAGTTTTGGATGTAGAAGATTCACAAATTCTTGCCATGTTGGATGGTTGAGTTCTGTTTTAGCGGTGGGGGCGATAGGGAGTAGAAGTTTTGAAAAGATTTCGCAGTATGCACGTTTCGCGCGGAAACCATGGGATTTGACGAAGAAATTGGCCATTGATACCATAAAATCGGCGGATTCTTGAAGTGCTATTTCGGGAAAGAACTGTTCACAACGTTGAAGAGAGAAAAATATGTGAGCTGGGGCTCTCTATAATATGGATAATAATTCCACCGCCCAAGTGGGAAAATGAGTATTCAAAATGACGGAGGATATGAACCTTTAGTTTGATATAGCTCATTCCTTTTACGACAAGTTCAACTCTTGCTTCCGTATCTTTGTTGGCAGTATTGGCCATCTTCTCCAAATCCGCAAAAAAACGGTCAGTGACCCTTTCGAAGTCAATATTACTCATGACGCCCAAAAGCTGACCGAACAATGTCCAATTTGCCATCCTTAAAGGCGAAGATAGCAATGTATCCGGGTCTGCTGATCGCAATTGATTAAATATGATATCTTCCAGCTTATCCGCCATATCTTCTGTGACGCATTCTAGGGTTGTCTGGCCTATCACTTCAATCAAGACTCGGCATAGTATATAAATCGAGATAGTTGATCGCCTGTCTGCTACCATTGAGTTTTCCCGCAGGCCAAAGCAGCTACCATCACCACCATTACCGAGCGGTTCAGTGTTTCGCCGGGGCATTCCGCGTGCTTGCTTATAAAATATCAGCGTTTAATTCGATCAAGTGATAACCTGATTATAAGGTACCTGTGACATTTCTTGTCGTGATAGAGCAGCCGCTTCACTCTTGCTTTTTCTCCAGAACATTACACTATCAATTACAGGTTTCGGCTTGTGTCGAGCAATATATCCTATGTGATCCTATGTAAGTCTACCTATCTATATCCACTAGCCCGAGTTCCATCAGAGATGCAAACCTAATGAACCAATCAGTTTATCAAAAGCTGGATCTACCCCCGCCCCGCAAATAGTTTCGATATGCGGTTCGATGTCCAAAGGATGATTCGGGGGTAAACAGGTATTAATCTTTCGTTCAGCGACTCGCACAAACTGTGTAAACAATATATGAAGTGCATATTCTGCAGGGGTTTTGGTTTCTTCATCACGGGTCCGTGGATGAGAGTTGTGATGGTGAGAGTGTGAATGATGGTGAGACCGATTTCTCGGTGGCTTCTGGAACTGTGTTGTACCGTTTTGATTAAGACCTTGCGGTATCGGGGGTGGACCTGGTGGACCTAAGCCAGCTCCCCCGCCTCCTAGACTTAAACTTGAAGACATATTGTTTCCGTCTGTCATGGGGGGTGCGCCTTGAGTGACCGGTGATGAAGGTATTTGTGGTAGTTGTATCTGCTCCCTGAGTGAGTTTGAACCGCCCGCAGGTATCATAGGTGTCATCGGTGATGGAGGTATCTGAGGTATATGGACCATATCTCTTGGCCCAATAGTCGCATGCATTACCGGTGGCGGGGACAACGGAGAAGTCGCAGGTGAGTTGACCCAAGAGCCAGATCGAGAGTGGGCGCCGGATCGATGTTGTATGCCGTTAACGATGGAAGTCTGGCGGTGGTGTGCGTGGGAGCTGTAGGAGGGCTTTCGCTCAAGTCTTCCGGTCTCGGGCCGTGGGGACTGAGACCGTGGTTGGTGGGCACCGGCCATAGCGCAGGAGTTATATTGCAGGGGAGTGGATATATGGGGGAATGGACAAACGGAGAAATCTCAACGTGGGAAAGAATTACCGCCGAGAGGCGCGCGGAAGGGAGGCAATAATTCGAAGGTCGCAGAATATGTCACAATTTGGCATGGAGAAATTCAAGCTTGGTTTCTGCGGGGGTGGAAGAAACCACAGAGTAATGGATTACTAGGGCGCACCTCTCAAGAGAAAATGCGACTTGAGGCGCTGGGACGACAGGGGAATCCAGTCAGAATCCAGGGGGGGGTTTTCCAGGTTAATAATTGAGTATCGGACTGGCTCTCTCAAACGGGGGCCAGATAACAGAGGCGGAGCATGATCACCTGGTACAAGGGCGAATTTCGATGGTGATCGTGAGGTGAGGTTAGGATAGGAGGTGGGAAGTTGGCCATAGCTCTGTTGCTGGTTGCTGCGGCATTATATGGCTTAGTAAGCGATGAAGTGCGTTTCGTGTCGCACACAGGGGATGATGGCGTTTCATGTAACGTCACCCGATGAAAACGATGGGTTGTAGGAAGTTCTAGTAGAGTGCTGGAGAAGTGGGGCCGCTCTTCAGGCGTTCTTTGTCTGAGGTTGTTTCAAGTAGTAGAGTGAGAGACTCATGACAGTATCTGTTTCTATTCGACACCAGACAAGGCTGTGGTTAAGGTTGTTTGTGTCAATTGGTTGTTGTGGGGTTGTTGGTTGTGGTGACAATTGATCTCGAGATGAACACCATCACGATCTGACATCCGTGCAGCCCAATTTGAGATCAATCAATCGATCAATCTCTCATCAACAGATTTCAAGTGCAAGAACATGTAACGCATTGTGCTCGTATTCCGGTGAGAGTATCTGAACAGTGATGTGCTCGGGGTTCTGAGAAAGGGAAATGATGAAACGTCCTCTATGATGTTGCAATGTAACTCTAGAGAGCGAAGTTAGGGATGAGAGGTAAGGTGTACATTTTACGTGTGTCGGTACTGCAATTGAAGTGTGACAGTTCTTCAGCTAGAGCGAACTACATATGCAATTATAAAGTGCTTCCTGCATGCGGGTATAGAGTACTTTATCTGTATATTAAAAAATTACGGCACCACAAATCCGTACCTTGGGCAGTATATTTTATTTCACATTCCAACCCAGGCCAGCGGGTTTCCGATCATGAATCTCTGTCACTCTAGTACCATGGTTTGTAGAGTATTTACCATGTATCTCGCATGGCATTAAAGTATATGCAGGTTAGTGTAGGCACATACATAATGTCCCAGCTAGACATGGACTTTCCACCCTCTTGGACCCTAAGTCAATGGTAACAATTATAATTCTGGAGCCGGCGCCCTTCAATTGGTTCTTGGCATATATGCACAGGCGGCGCCGACGGGGAGGCATGGTCACCGCAATTCAATCTTGTTTGACCCTAACCGTCAGGCCGCTGTCGCAAGCTTTCCGTTCCCGTTCTCTATAAATTCGTCGGCGGATACATGGTATATTGTACCTACGCATGCGCATTCCGAATACCACTTAGGTCACAGAGACACGTTGAAATATGGGGTGCCGGGTCTCCGAAAACGACATGTAGCTTCTATCGCCCAGTCAAATTAGATGAGGCTACATTTATAATTACAGAAGTTCAAATATAGCCGTTTTCATTTCATCGTGATGGTTTTTTGGATAGGCAATTTCCAAACTAAAGAAACCATCAATCATTTGGCCATATATAACATACACAAAATGGCATCCCGGCATATACATCATTCTCCGGATAAGATGTCTATCCGCTACTCTAGTCCCGAACAACCTAATCTTCTACCTCAAATGAAACTCTCCAAAGTCAAATCTCTCGCGGTAACAGCCCCCCAAAGTTTCGCCGCCAACTGACGAGCTGGAAAAGAAGCTCCACTACTTAAGCAGGCGCACGAAAAATGCAACGATTGGGGGAAACTCAGAGGGGGTGTAATGCAGATTCTAAAGGATATAGAAGAACGAAACGAGACTATTCAATTCATGAGAAACACCTTGGATCTCCTAGATTTTCAGAGAAAGGGGGCACGATCTGCCTCACCTCAAAAGCGAAGTACTTGATCCAATGTTACTAAAACTCCCCTTTCTCACGTCAGATGTATGTACTGAAATCCGCACGGGGATGGATATGTGAGTGCTGACTACCCCTAGCTAGGCCAAGCGATATTTATTAGAGAGGCAAGCTCTACTTAGTACTCCAAGTACCTGTAGACAAAAACTTTGTAGGACACTGCCTAGTACCCTGCATGGGCCGTTAAGAATTGAGCTGGTGATGCAACGGTATAAATGACTCTGGATCGATGATATCTGTTACAGTCGCCTTACATCTCTCTCTGGTAGTAATAGAGCAATTGGTTTTTTTGTTTGTTTTTTTGTTTTCGTTTCGATTCTCTATCAACCCAAAAGTTCATGTGCTTTGCTTCCCAGGCTATCACTCGTTCGTAACCCCTGTCAACCAGGACCCTTCACCGACTTTGTAACAACTTCCGGGGGAGCTAACTAGGGAGTCGAAAGCAAAGCTTACTTTGACGCGCACTGATGGCAAGTAAGTACACAAACTCTAGGCTTGATCCCAATGTTCCCTGATGGTTTTGCTACGCTCACGAGACTACATGCTACATTACAATTAAACTAATAGTTATGGACTACCACACGTATAGTTAAGCTTGGGTAGCATTATAGATGAGTCATGTAGCTAGAGTACATTTATTGCCTGTCTTTCTGTCACATCAGCTTCCTGATGTAGGTACATAATGAGCGAAATGTCGTTACTGCTTCCCAAAAGCTAAGAAGGAAATATAGTGCCGGTGGCTGGCTATGACTCTAACTGATAAGGCTCGATAAGGCATCCCTGCAAAGGGATCGCAAATATATCTACCCCTATATATCTGGCTCGCAATTCAAATGTCGCGCACGAGTCGAAAGATATTTTTTCTCTTTAAAATTTGCCCAGATATCCTTTAGAAAATTAACTGATCGGCCAATAAATCATGCCTGCGCTTTCTGGATGCTCTATTTCTGTATGCGGAAAGTTCCCCGGTTACACCCAAGGTAAGTTCACGATCACTTACTCCCAATAATACTTGCATTTCAGTGCTTAGAGCTTACTTGTGTGTGTAGCAAAACTCAAAGTTCTGATTACCGAAAATGGAGCGAAATTCGAGAATGGTATTTCAAGTACTTGCACGCATCTTGTCATACCGGATATCGTTATAAGTGCGAATGATAAAGGTTCGATCTCATTTACCTCTAATCTTGTTAAAATAAGTGTAAAGCGTGAAAGGAACGTTCTAACGAAGAGTGGGCTTCAGTTAATGCTGCATTGGCAAAGAAAATCCCAATTGTGAGGTTAGAATAGCTGACGGACTCCGTAAAGGAGGGCAAAAAACTTGCTGAGGACCAATATCTACATGATGAGGGGGAAGTAAGCAACGGTGAACCTATTCTATCGGACCCCAAGAAAAGAAAAGGGGACGAATCTGAGGAACCAATACCAAATACCATCAAAAAGCCAAGGGCTCGAAGTCAAAAGACAGATGCAAAAGTTAAATCACCTGTTGATCAAGATGTTCTTATGGACGAGCCAGCAGCTAAAAAGGGAAGCATCGAAGCCGAGTCCAAGTCCGAGCCTGAAACAGCTATCGACACCAAAGAAACCCCGACAAAAGAAACAGATTCAGGAAATGCACAGTTTTCTACGAGACCAGGAGAATCTCCTATAACTTTAGCGAAAACGAAGAATATACCCGTAGCTCCCTGGTGTGAAGAAAGATGTATAAACTCTACACTCCAAGCCTACAAAACCAAGCAATAAGCTAAAGAACAAATTTACTAGCTTGGTGCAGCGTATATATCGACATTTCCGGAACGCCCTATGACGCCTCTCTTAGTCAGACAAATATCGGAAATGGAAAAAATAATAACAAATACTATAATCTCCAGGTTAGTTAGACTTCCTCCAACCTTGAAATGTCTCACTAATTTTGGTAGGTTCTTAAATCTAGAGATAACTTAGACTACGCGACCTGGACTCAATGGGGTAGAGTCGGCGAAGAGGGACAGCAGTCACTCTATCATCCCAAAACTCTCGAGGAGGCCATTAAAAGAATTTGAGACAAGATTCAAAGAGAAAACAGGCCTCAAATGGCAGGATCGATATGACGCACCAAAAGTAGGAAAGTATACACTTATTGAAAAGAATTATATGGACTCAGAAGATGAGGACGACAGAACAGATGAGAAGGGCAAAAAGAAGGATGACAGCAGTGAGAAGAAACTAGTTGTGCATTCAACACTTTCACCAGAGCTACAGTCATTAATGAACCTCATTTTCAACTCACAACACATGGCTTCCTCAATGGAGGCTATGCGCTATAATGCGAACAAACTTCCTTTGGGAAAGTTGTCTAAGAGGACTCTCTCCCAAGGATTCATGGCACTGAAAGATCTTGATGAAATTTTGGCCAACATAAACTTGGCGCAGTCAAAGTATAAGCAATCTCTGTCGAAAGTGCTAGAACAGTTGACGTCGAAATACTACACTGTTATCCCTCATGATTTCGGAAGGCGTAGGCCGCCTGTCATTGATAACACGGACATATTAAAAAAAAGAAGTAGAGCTAGTTGAAGCTCTAAGTAACATGGAGATCACAAATGATATTATGAAAGATGCTGAATATCCGGTTGATGCCGATGGGAACCCTATAAATCCTTTGGACAAGCAATTCAGGTCTTTGGGTCTGGAGGAGATAACTTTGGGTGAGCTCACAGATATCCACCCATGTACCCTAATACAGTTTTTCCTATTAATGGATCGATAACTAGTTTAAAAATCGACAACCGAACACGCGGAACTCGAAGCATACTTTCACAAATCCCAACGCTCTTCTCGTGCAAATGTCATCGACATCTTTCGGATTACCCGTCCAGGTGAAGCTGAGCGCTTTGAAAAAAGCGGGTATTCAACTAAAAACGTCAAAAAAATGCACAACGTCGATGATGCCAGAAAACTACTTTGGCATGGGTCAAGGAGTACCAACTTCGGTGGTATTTTATCACAAGGATTGAGAATCGCGCCTCCAGAGGCACCAGCAAATGGTTATGCATTCGGCAAGGGTATTTACCTGGCTGATGTTTCGTCAAAATCTTGTGAATACGTGTATCCTTCAATATCCGGCGGGACTGCCCTACTTCTTCTCTGTGAAGCGCAGCTTGGTGACCCGCCATTTGGGTGTCATGATCATTGTTCTGATGCTGCGAACCAATCCAAGGCGAGCGGGTCACTCTCGACGTAGGCAATGGGTGTTAAGCAGCCAAAAGGGTGGAAGGACGCTAGCGCTATCTCCGAGGAATTTAAAGGTGTTAAAATGGTGAGTTCTATCCTATAGACCTACGTTCAGGGTATAATTGGCTAATATTATATACATAGATGGATGTCGATCAAGGTTTGTATCAACCGGTATTACCAGCGGAGGCTTGGATTCCCGATAATGAAGTGAGTCTCTTTATAAATCATTAGATGATGTTGTTGGAATTATGCTGATATTATAATCTGGATAGTATATTGTATATTCGGTTTCTCAAGTCAAACTTCGATATTTATTCAAAGTTCAATTCTCTCATTAATATTATTGAAATTCATGATAGGCACATTGATGCCTAAGTCTTCCTGGTGTCGAGTCCCGGCCCCAAAACGCCAAAACCATATGTATATAGAATTGACTCACCAAAAGTTGAAAATAATTTATCTTGTGCTACAATTTGTTTCGGAGCACTCTCAATTAAATTGTGCCCAAACCCATCCCCTACCCGGAATCATTCATGTCTATGGGAGTGTATGAGTTTCAAATCAACTATTTCCCTGGCCATAGCTCTATGACTGCTCTTTGCTACCCTCGTCCATGTGTCTATAACCTCAACAGTAGTTGGGTGATTTCCCTTGTACCACGTTCAACACCAACTTTTACCTGCTTAAACGATTTCTTAAGATATTATCCAAAATATCTAATCCTACCAACCTCCACCTGATCAATGCTCAATTAAACATTTACTCTTACCAGTTATTGTTTATAGGTGCGGGATGCGAAGATAAAATTGAAGTGTACGTTATACTGGGCATCGCAATCAATGAATTATCAATCAATCAAACACATCTGCATTCGAGTGATCTTTTATGATTCAAGAAATAACATCTCCAGTTTCAAAAGTCCTGACACTCAGGATTCAGCCCAGAAATCAACAAGTCATGTGATGTCCCAATCTGGACAAATGAGCTCATTTTATAAATTGACGTCATAGTGGTTATTCTTGCTAATTTCTTAAAGTGGCCTTAAGTGGCCTTAAGGCGCCCGCGGAAACGGTAGATTGAAAAACTCGGTATCCCGTACATAGTCCGGCGATGCTGCCCCCCCTAATAATACAGGAGTTAAATTTGTATGGGAGATCTATTATTTGATAAGAGAGATAACAAGATCTGTTAGTAAAGCCACACACAATTTGCTTTTTTTTTTGGGGGGGGGGCAGCATTTTTCGCGCCAGACGAAGGACCGTGATACCCAGAGTTGGTACGGTAATCTGCACCACCATTATATCACCACCGCCACAATTATGCACTCCGCGTGAAACGGAATGCTCTAACAAAGACTCAAGTGATCAATGAGGCCCATCCCTTAATTCGTTCATGCCCGGTTTTCACAGTAATGGTAGGCAAAAATCTAACTACGAAGAGGAGTTGGTGGTGCCAGAAAAGGGGACGAGGAGGTCACAAACGGTGACTTGTGGGCAAAAATGGTTCACGGAGTGAGGGTTAGGTAAAAGACTTCTAAACACGCAAAGTCTTTTACCGCCAAAACGACCGAAGGGATACACCCGGTGGTGGATCCGGTCTATGGCCTCTTTAGACGAGGAACTCTTTGAGGTTCTCACTAATGGCAATAGAACCGGGAAGTTGTAACGTAACTATATCCTGTAACCCTAAGCCATGCCTATAAATGGCACACTCCGTCCATCCCTAGCTAAATACATCTTGTAATAAGTATAACAAGCTTAAATATATATATGTAGAACAGTACTGATGGCTGGGTGTTCAGCTTCAATATTTTCCTATTTTATAACTCTTGAGATTCTACAGATTGACAAATCTAATAAGTATATAATTATAACCTACATATGCATGTGCATATGAAAGCTTCTGATTGGCTCATTGAGAGAGGTTTTGTTTCACTTGAAACATGTTGTGTTGGATACATACATGTACTGTATGAACATATATAGGGTATTGTGCTGAGTGGTGTTAGATTGTTAATACATAGGTTTTCTACTGGTTCTGGGAATCGATTAGTAGTTCGATTTTAGCGGCTTGGTGGCTGTTAAAGGGATATATACTTACAGCTTGAACTGGAGAAATTGTCTGACCTGTCCACTGATATATGGAGGATATCAGAAAAGGCACATATCGACCGGTAGAGCAGATATAGTGATGAACTTTGCCTGCCAGGAGGAGTCGAGGGCCGCGCAGCGGCCTGAGAGCCCCGACTGCCAGGCAAACAGAGAAAATAAGCCGCAAAGCGGCTTGCCTGTATATTGGACTGATTGATATACACGTAGTACCGGCCGAAAGCCGGAAATCACTTGTATAGAGGTAAAACATTAGCTTTTCCACATCTACTTAGTTTCCCTAACAAACGAGCCTTGGAATCTAGTACGTAAAAACTGGCCGCCAAACCTATTGCTAAGGAATTTAATATCTGTATGCGAAGTCTCTCTCGATAGGAACTCGCTGAGTAGAGAAACTGAGTAGATACTATTTGTTTAATTAACCTATAAAGTTAGGGGCCAATCCGCAAAGGCCTCGACAGGCAATAGGTAGTAGAGGATACTGAGCAGCTTATGGTGATCAGGTTATCCCTCCTAACACGGACCTTGGTGACTTGTAACTATCTATGGTTGGGGAAACCTTAACACGGAGTACCGCGACATTAATTTTACTTACTAACACATACAAATTATGTACAAAGAGTAGTCTAGGACGAAGAAAAGTACTTTTTTTAAACCATACAAGCGACATTGTCCCAGCCAAAAGATTTTTATAACTTAACAACGAAGAATGATTTTAAAAATCTGAGCAGATAGGATGATAGAGCAAATGAAACTGAGTAGATCTATCTAATAAAATTAAAAATATGTGTGGTGGTTGATGAGCTATAAGCGGTCAAACTTGAGGTGTACAAACTACTCCGTAACAAGGCTTCCCCCACCATATCTGGCAAGTATGATGGAGGCTATGGCCGCCGTTACAACGGCTTTCAGAATCGCGGCCTATTCCTTTACGCCACCAGAAAGTGTGGTTACACCCTCAAAAGTCCAAATTCTCATAATTTTCACGGGATCAGATATGGATAGAGAGGAGGAAGCCAGAGAAATGGGAATGGGCTGGGGTGGTCTGCGGGATAGCCCATAGCTCCACGAACAGTTCAGAAGTTACTTTTCTTATTTCTAAGCTATGGCTGGGGACACCTTGAACCGGAGTGGTTTCGGGAGTCAACTTCAACCGCTAATGAATTTCCCCAACCACACCCTAATTTATTTTTCTCTCTGTTATTCGATCGTTCTTCTTCTCCTCTACAACATGACAGAGCCTGATTAATTCTATCTTTCGTTGTGGTGGTGCTATGAATTTTCTAAAAGTTGGACTTTTGGTAGGGGACCCAAGCAATGTCGCACCCATAATTCCCTATTCGAGCTAGGTTAATTACCCGATTTGGAAGCTATAGTTCAAATTGGGTAGAAGTTCCTCCTCTGAGAGCGCCAAGGGATAATCTTGGCAAATTACTTGCAGTAAAATTATTAAATAATTACCCGATTGGGAAATTGATCGCCAATGTCGCGACACTCCGGTTCAAGGTGTCCCCAGCCATACTATTTCTTATTTTCAGAAGTTACTATTTCTTATATTTGCTACAGGCTACTAGCCTATTATTTTATATTTATGGTTATATTTTCTTTTCGTTTTATGTGAGAGGCGGAGGAAGTGATTGGGAAGTTCTGGGGCAGTGTGATATTGTCATAGACTACGGTCTACATACAATTAATGAATTAAACAAAAAAAAAAGATATGTATATCGTGATTTGATCACGCAGGTCTTAAGTTAAGTAGGTACACATTTAGCCTTTTCATCCGGTCGTGGAACGTTACACACCCGCGGTATCTACTTCGAGTGACAGATCATGAAGCAACCCATAACCCCACAATAATGATCGCAGCCGTCATTGCCGCTAATATTTGAGATGAGGGCTCGTATATTAGTGCCCCGTAACGAACTCAGAGCTCGAGTCAAAAACAGCGTCACGAACTCAGACTGTCATAAACAGCAGTTTTTAACTGCCAAATGTCATGAACTAACCTTGATGTCCACTCCAAATTTACCCCAAGATTACCCTAATCCACCCCAAATTTCATTTTCTAATCCAATTTTACACCTCGAATTACCCTAACCCATACAAAAATTCAGTTTACACCAATAATTAGTTCATAACCATGACACCCAGCTTTCCTCAAGCCAGTTTTTAACCAGTTTAAAACTGTCTGTCAGTAACTCAGTTTGAAACTCCCGGGTTCGTCACGGGCCCCTATCGTATATCTCATCAAATATCACAGACCTAAGGAGAAATAGCCGTCTTGGCAGTAATATCATTGATACACGCGCCGCAGGTGTTTCGGTATGCCTAGTTGGTATGCTCCTCCCGTGGCCGAGAAACAAATTGAACGTTTGCCGCATAAGCGAGCTCAGGTGATTGGGCACATGACTCTGAGTATGCGGGTTGCCGATGAACGGAAGGTCTAGATTCGGGGGAGTGGTGTTGGCGTGTGATATCATGGCTCGATTCTGGGCATGAAAGTGATGGATCTATGAAGGAAAGATTAGAATCGAGGATGAATATGATATGTACTTGGATCCGTAAAGTATGTACATAGAATGATTCTGAATTACTATTATTTTTTTTTTGCTTTTTGCGTTTTGCGTTTTCCAGGGCATGTAATATTCAAGCGGGGGTTGGAGTCTGGGGTTTGATGGACGATCATAATCGGTTTGGTGGGGGGGCTTCCAAGTAAGTACCTAGCCATGTGTTAGTTATGTACGATTCGGAGCTGAGGGACGGAGTGGGGGGACGGGGCGGGGCTGGAGCTGCGTGCGAGTTACAGTCGCTCACCTAGTGACGGCGGATCCTGTCTGATGGTTGTGTTTGCAGTAATTTCCCCTTGGCGTCCCAAAGTTAACTCAGTTATTGGCCTCAAATCTCTGACCGTCATCAGACAGGATCCGCCTTCACCCCGTGAGTGACTGTAGTACGTAACTAAGGTTTTCGATTCCGACTTTTGGAAGTTCGGAGGAGGAATCGTAGCTCTAAATACCTTTATACTCAGGGCGACTTGGTGTGCATGTGGCTATATGGATCGAAAAGTGTAAATAAGACATCTTTGGTGCTGGTGGGAAATTCCGGATATGCACATGCGAATATTTAATGGTGACACAAGGTTTTGGTACAAGGACTTCATCATGGGGGTTGATACAGCCTTCGGAGATATGACTCTCGGAGCCTCTTCGGCGCAGCTTTCAGGATCCACCGGTTGATATGTATATTTGTAGCGATATACCGCGATACTCGGACCGAATGTTTACTCGGGACTCAATAAGGAGCTGAGTTTACATAAGATGACGTTCCGGATTACATGTAATTCCGACATCAGCATTGGTACTCGGGTTTTTGTGGTAAAAAAAATGGATCCGTGTCTAGAAACTTGTCGAGTATAAGGGCTTGAAATTCCTTAAATTTGGCTAGAATAGCAGCTAGGAAACACCCCGCTGGTACTCTGATCCCGCCAAACTCTCTCTTGAGACCTCTTGAACTTGCTATAACATAATCTCATCATCACTGTCTAAATCGCTCTCAGCTCAGCTGTCGTTTGTTCCGAGGCTGAGTGATATAACAGATACTGGATTCTGAGTTCGGAGGTACTACTAGCTAGCTCGCCGTTACCTGCATTTAAGACACCTACGATACGACCAAACGTGCAAGGCCTAGCTACCGGATAAGAGTATTGATTTGGAAGCACTGGAGAGTCGTGAATCACCCGCAGAAACACATCCAGCTACATTTCTCTCCAGAGAGGCACACACCAACAGACACAATGGAAAAATTGATTCTCTTAGGAGGTTATGAAACGAGAATAAACCAGTATGTAAGTGGCGCAATTTTTATTTTTACTCCGGATTCCCACAGAATGAGCAATACGGGAGATTTTCGCTGCATCACAGCCTTGCCACATTGAGAATCACAAGTGCCCGAGGTTGCGCTGGTTGGCTACCAGACCTGTCATACACGTCGGGTCTTCTTGATGTCGTTGTTTATTTCGGCTGGCCACAGCCGAGAAGAGAGGTGCATCAAACGGGTTTAGTCCAGTTTAGGATATCTTCGTCTTCCGTTTCCCTTCCAGGGGAGTTCTTCTCGGCTTCATTGTCGTCCTTAATTCCTTTCAAAGATCTGACGGGTCTTTGATCTTCCGGAAAACCTGCGTTTTTATATTAATATTTAATTTGGGGTTCTGTGGAGTTCTTCTTTTCAACTATTCCTCTCAACTTGATTTGTACAGCTGTTCAGATCAGTTGCAGATAAGGCTACAGCCCAACGCCACACACCCCCGTCCCCCTTTCTTCCTCACCGATTTCTCTCACACCTTAAATATTTTGTCAACGTTCCAACTTCTTCCTGTCTCGAACGTCAACCCGCTAATCTTTGGGTTTACTGCTGTTCTCTGCAGAACTCCATAATCATGACGTCTCAACTCGATACCTTGGACATTATTGTCCTTACCGCACTTCTTCTCGGAACCGCCGCCTACTTCACGAAGGGCTCGCTATGGGCGGTTCAGAAGGACACGTCGCATGAAGCTTTTGCGGCGTCAAAATTGAACGGGGCCCAAGCTGGGAAAACACGTGACATCATCAAGAAGATGGACGAGTCAGACAAGAATATGATTATCTTCTATGGATCGCAAACGGGCACTGCCGAGGACTATGCTTCTAGGCTGGCTAAAGAGGGTGCTGCTAGATTCGGACTTAAGACTATGGTCGCTGATCTTGAGGAGTATGATTTTGATAATTTGGACGTCTTTCCCGAGGATAAGGTTATTGTTTTCGTTTTGGCCACCTATGGCGAAGGTGAACCCACCGATAATGCTGTCGAGTTTTACGAATTTTTCATGAACGAAGAACCTGCCTTCTCCGAAGGCGGAGATACGGACTCCAAACCTCTACAGAACTTGAAATATATCGCATTTGGTCTCGGAAACAACACCTATGAGCACTACAATTCCATGGTTCGCCGTGTCGATGCTTCCCTTACCAAACTCGGCGCCAAGAGAATCGGAACCGCCGGAGAAGGTGATGATGGTGCTGGAACTATGGAAGAGGACTTTTTGGCTTGGAAGGAGCCCATGTGGACTGCTCTCGCTGAGGATTTCGGTTTAGAAGAGAGGGAAGCTGTCTATGAACCTGTTTTTGCGGTCAAGGAGAGGGAGGACCTTTCTATCGAAGACGACACTGTATATCTCGGGGAGCCCAACAAGAACCACCTCGAAGGCAAGTCCAAGGGGCCCTACAACGCTCACAATCCGTTTATCGCACCCATCAGTAAATCAAAGGAACTCTTCACTGTTAAAGACCGTAATTGTTTGCATATGGAGATCGATCTTACCGGCTCTAACCTTTCGTACACTACCGGCGATCATATTGCTGTTTGGCCCACGAATGCCGGCAAGGAAGTTGATAGATTTATAAACACCCTTGGACTTGCGGGAAAGCGTCACTCCGTTATTGATGTCACCGGTCTTGATTCTACTGCCAAGGTTCCTTTCCCAACGCCGACCACCTACGATGCTATTGTCCGATACCATATGGAGATATGCGCGCCTGTTTCTCGTCAATTCGTTGCCTCACTTGCCCCATTCGCGCCAACTCCAGCTGCAAAAGAGCTTATGACAACTCTCGGTGGAGACAAAGGTCAGTTTCAGGAAATCATCTCTTCGCAGTACCTCAACATCGCACAAGTCCTAGAGAAGATGGCCCCTGGTGAGATTTGGTCGAATGTTCCATTCTCAATGATGATTGAAGGCTTGAACCGCGTCCAGCCCCGATACTACTCGATCTCTTCGTCGTCTTTGGTCCAGCCCAAACTTGTTTCCGTTACCGCAGTTGTTGAATCTGTCCGCGTCCCCGGGGGTGCGAATGTCTTGAAAGGTGTTACCACAAATTATCTCCTTGCCTTGAAACAGAAACAGGGCGGTGATCCGGAACCTGATCCACACGGTCTTACCTACTCCATCAATGGTCCTCGCAATAAGTATGATGGCATTCATGTACCTGTTCATATCCGTAGCTCCAATTTCAGACTCCCCAGCGATCCCTCAAAGCCTGTTATCATGATTGGACCTGGTACTGGTGTTGCTCCTTTCCGCGGGTTTGTTCAGGAACGTGCCGCACTTGCCGCGAAGGGTGAAAAGGTTGGGAAAACTTTGCTGTTTTTCGGATGCAGGAAGCAAGCTGAGGATTTCTTGTATCAAGATGAGTGGAAGGTTAGTTAAACCCTGAATACATTATGTGGGTGCATGCATTTCGCTAACTTAATCGGCAGGAATATGCGGCAAAACTCGGCGACTCATTCTCGCTCATCACTGCTTTCTCACGTGAAGGCTCTGAGAAAGTATACGTGCAGCACAGGTTGAGTGAGCATGCGAAGGAAGTAAACGCGCTTCTCGCACAGGGTGCCTACTTCTATGTTTGTGGAGACGCAGCGCACATGGCAAGGGAGGTCAATTCTACCTTGGGGAAGATCATCGCAAGTGAGCGAGGTTTGACCGAGGCCCAAGGCGAGGACATAGTCAAGAGATTAAGATCTAGCAACCTTTATCAAGTAAGTTTGCCTCCTTCTCCCAGATACTTGCATATTCGTCTATGTCTTCCCCACATATGCAAGATCTTGTATCCGTTTTTAAAACGGGTCTTTTCATCTTTCTTTCTTTATTCCATCATGCAAGATAACTGACGAATTTCCCACCTATAGGAGGATGTATGGTCTTGAACGACAAAAAAAAAAAAAAAGGAAGGCAGGACTCGTCACACCACTTCCTTTCGAAAGCTGGTTTTGATCGTTCTGTTTCATTTTCATTTCTCATCGGGTTTTAGCGGAAAAAGGAAGATCGGGGCTAGTGGTGTTGTGTTTGTATCGGTTTTTTTTAAATTTCTCTTGTTCCGATTCGATAGGGATGTTGTCCGGATAGATTACGATTATTTTATATTTGCTTTTTTTTGGCTTCGTATTTCTTCTTTTCTCCTGCAGCAGGTTCTAAGACATAACTTTGGTTGTCTTTGAGCGATAAGTTGGGTTTTGAGATATATATTTTATTTTTTCTGGCGGGGAATAGTAGGTCAGGTCACATGATAAATGATTGATTTTGTGCAGACTTTAAATCTTTCTTTTATTTCCACCATTCCTAATTTGTCATTCTATCCTTAATGGTCTTATTCCTGGGGCTCTAGGGGTCTTTGTCTTGCACATGGTGTTTTTGTCTCTAGTATTGAATGGATTGCTTCCTTTCCAGTGGGGGTTCTAGAAAAATCTCCCTTGATCCTGTTTTGCCCCAGCTGTGGTTTCGAAATTTTAATGAACTGCTCTTGATACCAATCTCACATCCACGTTGCCTGGTGACGTCTAACGTTTCCACCCCCCTACGTAAGATCTGTAAACTTCCACCAATTTACTTCTGTGTCTAAACACCACGTTCTGCAATGATCATCTCACTATCTCATTGTTTGACGCAAGGCCGCTTTCTCTTCCTATTGCATGAATTGCCCTGCCTACGCCAACTCCCTACCGACATGCCATCTACCTTTTCTGGAGAACTCCATGGGCTGCATGTTTGATCCTCCTTTGGGGTTATGGAGGGGGGGGGGGGTGTTCACACCAGAAAACTATCTCATATCAGCTCGTATTTTCAACAATAACAATTGCAACTCGGGCCTGTATATCTGTCTCTAAGTATGTGTAATTGTGTGACGTTTTTGGCAATGGCTCCCATTAACATCATTTCAGCCCGGAAGGGGGGGGATGCCGGTCATTATGACTGCATATTAACGTATGGGATATAGGAAAGGTACATACAGCAGTTGTAAGTTGGGGGTGTGATAGAGCTAGGGTACAGTCGGTGTGAGTGCCGATGTGTGCGCGTGGGATGGCTTGGTATCAAGTATCTGTATGTACAGTGGCCCTATATTCATACCGACACTCCGACACTAGAGTACCTATGTAGGTTCACATCTGTGCAAGTATACCCGATGTCATTCATGTCACCTGAAATCTTGAGAGGGAGGAGAGGGGTACTGGTGATGGATGATGGCAAAAATACTACCTACTACATGCAGTTTCGGAATCATGGTGGCATATCACATCACTTTGTGTGTAAGGCAAGAAAAAGGCTGGGAGGAGAAAACGAGAAGAAGGAGAAGGAGACGAGAGACACGCATGAAAATCAGCTTGCCCCCACCATGGTACTGCGATGACATCCCAGTCCATTATTTCGTTTCCGGTACTTTCTGACGAAAAAAGGGGTCTATGCATCCGCGAACCAAACCACCGGGAGGAGTGTTATAGGTTACGTTACATTGACAGGAGCACGCGGGGGCGGGAAAAGGAAACGGAAAAAGAAAAGAAATAAAAGGAGAACCACCATCTTTGAGCTTTGAATTCAAGCTGAAATACTGCCGCGCCGGTGATGGTGGCGGGGCGGCGCAATTCACTGATACACGCAGTTAGCTACTAGCTATGTAGCAAATATTGATAGGCTTGGGAGCTTGTTTGAGCCACCCAACTGTTTGCTTGAAGAGTAGAAGCTAGTGGTTATCTATCGTCATGATTCATAGCATCGGGACGTGTGCTCTTGTGTCACTTCGCTGATTTGGTTAATGATTAATATAGGTATCTGACTACCAAGAGAAGGATGCTGCAAACTACATCTAGATACTACTACAAGCTAGGATATGGATTGTTTGATTTCAGAAAGGGTCTATGTGTGTATGGTAGGTCATTTCAACTGATCAAGCTAGACATATGTATTCAAGGAAAACTACATGTACATATGTAGAGTGGTTTGGTAGATAACGTATTCTGCGTAATACATGCTCTACTCTAACTACACAAGTATCGAAATCAGGGACGTAAGGTAAAGGAGGAGCAGGGGCTGGGCTCACGGGAACAGTTGATGGTTGAAGGGCAGGGATAGAGGGAGGGGGGTCTGCATCTGAGACATTGATCCTCGACACCGGCCCCTCGTTCTCCCCTCATTATGGTCGTGCGTAGTGGGGGGATGGTGGTTTGGCGCAATTGTACGGCCGCGGAATTGAAGCTGAGATCGTGACTCGTTGCAACTTACCGGCACTTTGCCCATCTTGTAGGTAATGATATTGATTGCCGTTTTGCAAGCAGCCAATTAAGCTGTTCAAACCAACTAATGCTTCCGTCCCCGAAGCAGTTCCGTGCGCGAGATTTCTGGTTGTTGGGGATTTCCAACTCTAAGGTAATCTTCTTGGTATCAGGTGCATTTCCAAATAAAGAACTTGAGGTAGGGATATACATTTGTTCGGCTTGTTCCCCCACTCGTCAATACCTAGTAAGGCGGCAAACCGGTCCATGGGTAGGCCCTAGGTGGTCGTTAATCTTTCCTAATAGTAGTTTAGCATCGGCAATTGAGTTTGATGTACTAGTACTATCCAACGAAGTACCATATGCGTAAAAAAGATAGAAGTACAGGTTTGACATTGACAGACCGCAAAAAATCCCCGAGGAAGTGACATACTCCAATGATATCGCCCGCAAGGCAAAGGACTGATTTCCATAATTTTGTAACCGTAAATTCTTACGCCGTAATAATGCTCCGCATATATGTATGTACCTATATATATAATCATATTACAAGGAAGGGACTTTCCTTCGGTCACTCCGCGATCTCCGATTTCGGGCGATTCAGAAGGACCCAAGAAACTTGAAGGGATCTTAAAATTTTGATTTAAGACATTGCCAGGATTGAAGTTAGCTTCTATAGCAGTGGTGAACTCGTGATGTTTGTCTAGGTAGACTAGGTAGGTCTGTTGCGATTCCTAGTGTGCTGTGATGACGATGCACTTATTCGGCGCTCTTATTTGTTTCCATTGCTTTTTATGGCACTCCTCTCATGGGTCAGGAGGGCAGAAATTCGAAACCCAACCCGAGAAGCTGGGTAGGCAGGAAACCGTCGTGTCAAAACTGCCACTCCCGGTCCCATACTTGCGGTTTCTTTTTCCCTTCTGTTTTTCTTTCTTTTTTTCTTCTATCCGGACTGAGGATCTCTGGTGTTTGGGAACCCAGTGTTTTTTCTCGTGATACAGTATCTATTATGCCTATTTGTGGCGCCTTCCTTTTCGTTCAAAACGATCGTGGATCGGGCAGAGGCCAGAGGCGCTGGCTCGTTGAAATATTGCAAGCCCTATAGGCACTTGTATGTACTTTTGTGTGCATTATTCATAAAATCCAAGGGTCCCCACGTTATCCCTTGTGGGTTTGGATGACTGCTACCCATCGAGGCTGTGCGAGAAGTACAGTGGATATCCATCAAATAAAGTATCTCGCTAATAGAAAAAAACCTCGAAAAACTCATCCTTACCAATGCCCCTGATTTTATGAGATGAGATGCAGTTGTCCTTGGGTAACCAGTTGAAAGGCCTTGATACACGTGAACTACTCTAGGCATGCGGGGGCAACCAAATGTATCCCGGTTTGTCATTTTTTGTCCCAAAATGGGTATATAATATTCAAGGGACCTCGATCATCCCTGGTTAAGTTACCGGATGCAGCCGTCAAGAGGAGAATGTGATTGGCTCTAGGCTGTGGTTCTGGCGAGACGTGACTATGAAGGATATTATTGTAATACCAGGATCTCCAACTGGCCCATGCGGTCGGGCCGGGATCGGAGATACCAATGCCTGGGTTATGCGCACGGTCCCAGAATGCGAATAAGCGATTCCAGTCATCCACATGGTCCCAACCTCAGAATAGCCAAGTTACCGGGGATCTGTGTCTGTTTTGGATCTGTTCGTCCTGGAGCACGCCGAGCTGATGGGTTTAAGATTCACACAAATCGTCAACTCCCCCGCCCCTATCACCTTAAATAATATGATCGAGGCAAATTGGCGGCGTTGATATCTACATGTAAGTAATTAGAGCTAGGTATGCGCGGAGAGAGAAAAAAGGGGGGGGGGGGGGAGCGCATCCATAATGAGGAAGTCATCGCCCATTGCTTTTGATACATGCTCCCCTCCTCTCCTACTTTGTCTATCGTGCTTGATGGACTAAATTACTCGTGCAACAACTTCGCCTCTTCACCCAACTGTGCCTTCAACCCATGCACAAGAGAGTAAAGAACCTCGTAGGCCTTGAGAGTCTAGACTTTGTAGATCACTATTGTTGGCTTCTCAGTGCCCGTCTAGCTCTGAGGTGGAGTATTGGAGGAATTCTGCGTACTTTCTTGAAGCTTTGGGCAAGTCAGGGTTTTTCTTTCTTCGACAAACAGGTAAAGAGAGGAAGCTATTCTCTTATCATAAACCAGGAGCTGCTAGGCTCAATTAATCTATTCTTGAGCCGCCCATTGCCGCAACGTGGGGGTGTCTCTTTGAGACGTGGAGAACTAGAACTCTTCATACATACTCGCGTGGCTAGGTATTGCCGGGAAGTAGGTATAGGCACCGGTATGTACTTCACACGTAGATTACTTAGTAGGTTTGTACGTGTATACCTCCAGAATTAAACCCGGCATGATGAATCTGGCCGCGCGAGTACCTACAAGGTTTATTCGCCAGAATCGGCTTCGGTAGGATCTTGTTGCGAGCCCTCAACCTGGGTCGGTTTGATCGAGCTTTCTTCCGCTGTTCACAGGTTGTCATACCTACTTACGGTTGGTAAGGGCATAACTGCATCAAGATGGTATTCCAAATAAGGATGGAAATCCAGGTCGACTCCAGATGTGGCCGGCATATGATGTGTATGATGTAGGTAAATACAAAACCAAAACTGGAATCGTATTATGGGAATTGTGGATGTTTAGTTACCTAGAATCCCCGATTGATACATGAGGAGGCTGGTGTTAGCCATATTCTGCAGCACTGTGACGTTGTGTTATAATAAAATGCAGTTCTATAGATATGTCACAGTTACTTAGCTCGTGGGCAGGATCAAATCTTCCTTGAATAGAGTCGTATCAGTTAACTTGTCAATTCCAGGGCCGGGTACTAAGGCGCGATGCCTTGATGGTCAATTAGCGTAGCCAGTAGAGTACTTAGGAAACAACGCTAGGACGTGCTGGGACACCTAGCGCGCTTAGCAACTCAACCACAGCCCAATATCACGCCTGGATCCATGGATCTAATCGGTGTGTTTGAAACCGAAACAACAAATAATTCTCCATCAGTGGTTTTCTAATCATGAATACATGCACATGTAGTCGATGCTCATTACCTACCAAATCCTTTCTATCCCATCTGTTCTCTATGGCCACTTCGGCGACTATTTGAAGTAAGTTACAGGGACCAAATATCACTATCGATTTGCTGGCTCTAAAAAACGCTTACTTGATCGCAAAGCTTAAGATGGAGATAGCCGGGTACCTGTTTGATTCTGTTTTTTCGGTGCATGATTCTACAGGTTTTAGGTTGGGCATAGGCCAACCACAAAGATGCTTTTGCGGAGATTTCTATGATTAGAGGGCGAGCCCTTTGAACCATAGAATTCTGAGACATCATCCACCCCCCCCCCCCCCCCCCGGTTAGGATCGACGGAGGTAATGTCTTGCGATGAGAAGTTGACACCTACGCTATCGATCACACAGGCTATGCGGGGGAGCAATCAATAGTCAGTTTCAACTTTTGACCCAGCATCCGCACCACACTGGCTAGTACCATAAAGTGGTTAGAATTCAATATAAGTTGCTCGTAAAAAGGATTGTAATGTGTGTGGTTAACGGCAACTTAGGTAACTTGATATCTGGACAATCTGGATAGACAAACTTCTCTGCTGAGCAACTAAAGCATAGAAGACAAAGTAGCAGCAATCTTGAGCATCCAATCAAACCCCGTCTCTTATCCGTTTAATACATGTACATATGTACATGTATGTTTGATCTAGCTAGCTGCGTGTGATATCGGACGGAAGCAACCGACTCGGGAGATTTTTCTGGGATATCATGATCCCCGCTAGTGCGGATTTAAGCCTTCTTCAATACTGTTAACACTCTTCAAATTTGACTAGCGATTCCTGTGTCCGCTTCATACATGTAGTTATTAGACCTGTTGTTTTCTTTTCTTCAACCTATTCAAGTTGCTAGCTGCATCCAGCGCCGATGATCCCGCTGATTCCTATTTAATACCCCACCTCCCCCCGGCCGTCACCACTGTCGTCTATTCTACTTCTCTCCTCCCCTCCATCTCTCATTACCCCTCGATCCCGCTCTTCTCCCCCATTTCCCCTCCTCATCTCTTCTTCCATCATCCATCCACTTTCTCCTCCTTTTCTACCTTCCTATCTTCATCATCATCATCACTTTCCATCCTCATATTATCTCACAAGTTAGTCAAAATTTGCCTACACTCAAGTATTGCGATAAAAAAACCCTTGAGTGATTTTTTGATTGCGTCTCCGCAGCGAAAAATCACTAAAGGCACATCAATTGCAATAAATAGCTTCTCATCAACCTATCGTACTTTGTAAGTTTATTACATCCTTCAGTCGTGCATCACTACAAATGTTCTTGGCTCATCGACTAACCTTTCTCCTCTTTTCTAAAGAGAAGCAAGGGCCTTCAAAAATCTGGGTTCGGATTTCCTTAGCTTCTCATAGCTCATCAACCGTGAGTTGTGAAGATAAAATTTAAAGCTGTTGACTTAATTGATTGCTAACAGAAATTGAAGTTATCCGATGGTAATCTCTCAAAAGGCCACAGTGCCTATTTCCAACACTTCACCACAAATAAAACCCCAGTCGAATAGTACACCTTTCATGCAACATTCAAAAAACACCTATAGGCATGTTCCTGGTCATCCACAGGTAGCTATTCAACATCAATATAGCCAAGTTCCATATCATCATCATCAAATGGGTGGGCAATACTTTGCTCCTATGCCTACTCACGCTCAAAACTACGGCAATGTATACAACGCAGTTCCACCCGAGCAATTCTATTACTACCAGTGGGCCCCGGGACACATGCCAATTCAACAATACCCCCAGCAAGGGTACAACGCCTCTCCACCAAACACTCCTCCTCAATCAGGTATGCAATATGGGTATTCAATTCCTCACCATGTCGATTTGCATCACGGTGCAGCTTTGTTACCTCCAACCCCCCCACATCAGCATCAGATTTACACTGGAGTCTCACCAGTAGTTGCCTCAAACGAGTCGGACCGAAAGCCGTCATGGTCATCATCGGGTATGATCGAAAGCCCAACTACTCCATTCACAGCTGTCTCGGGTGCTAGTGGAAGTCCCCTTATTGTTGGTAACTATGTTAAACCTGTTAGCACTGATGGGATGAAAACATACGGGCTTCCTCATATCACAAGTGGGAGAGTGGAATCATTAATTAGGGGTGGACCACCTCTTCCAGAGCCTATCTCAACAGCGTTTTCGGGCGAGGCAACAAAATCCATGGGAGAAAATTTGGAAAACCCTACTCATACAACAAATGTCTATATTCGAGGGTTGCCTCCAGACACAGATGACGATAAGCTACTCGAGATGGTTCGAAGATTTGGTGCGATCATTTCACATAAAGCCATAATGGATACAGATCATGGTACTTGTAAAGGGTATTTATATTTAACAAGAAGTTTCAATTTTTCAAACTACCCCTAACCATTGCATTTTAGTTATGGTTTCGCGAGATACGAAAGCATTGGTCAGGCTGAAGATTGTATCAGAGGCCTGGTCAGTCTTAAATACGAGGCGGGTTTTGCTCGAGTAAGTGTACCCTTCGTACAAACTTACACACTATCCAATACCTACTGATAATCATTCTAGGAATCGTTTAATGCCCGTCTTAAAACACTTGCGGACCCCAACTCTACAAATATATATGTCTCAAATCTTCCACGTAGTATGAACGAGAAGGTCTGTTTATTACCCTTTACCCTTCTTTGTCTTTTAATGTATCTCTTCATAGTCTGACAATATTTGATGAATATAGGATATGCAGGATATTTTTGAGGGATATATCGTCGTCTCCAATAGAATCTTGAGGGATACTGCTGGAAACAGCCGCGGCGTAGGATTTGCACGGTATGACCAACCCTTCTGGAATTCAAATTCACTATCCTAACCTTTATACAGTTTTGAGGATCGCAATATCTGCGATGAAATCATCAAGGTCTTCCATGGGAAGCTGGTTGGAGAAGAGCAGCTTCCCCTACAAGTTCGTTATGCCGATACCAGTGCCCAGAAACGCCTCAAAGCTACCACGACAAAAAAGAGGCAATACAGAAGCAATGAATATAACAACAGTGTCGTCAATGCTGCGTGTTATATGCCATCTAACGATTCTGTGCATCATCCCCCCGTCCAATATAGAAACCGCGTATGGCATCGGCATAACTCAATGATATCAAACTAGTAAGTTCTTATCACTTTACTGCAGAATACATATAGACTAAAATTTAAAAGTTCTAGTGACGCTGGGGTTACTTTGGAACGTGATGCCCACGAATATGATGAGAATGACGAACATTACGCAAACGAAAATGTTAAACTGGAAACCGTACACGAAAACGGAGACGACGCCTCCTCGTCTGATGACGGCTCTGATCTGACCACTGTTCCATCTCCCCTTGAGCTAATCGCGAAGTGTTCTTCTGGAAGCTTTTCGGATCCTGGAGAGAGCTATGGAGGCCTCGAGTCGGTTTAATCCTGGGTTTTTTACTTTCATTTTTTCTATTTTCTTTACCTTACCTTGTTTTCTCCGCTACTTGCTTCTAACTGAGGTCTAAGTTTTTCGAGATGATAAGGTGAAGTTTGGGTGGAAGGTTGATTTCGTTGGTTTTTTCTTTTCTTTTCGGGGTTCTTTGATGATACCAAATTAAATTTGCCAGGTGCATAAATGTTTCACAAGGCTGTAGAAATTTTGGGCGGAAATTTGTGTTTCTCCAATTAGTTCATGCAGCCCCTCTGTATACATGTACCTAACAAAAAAAAGTGTTTGCTGGGATTTTCGGGTTTTCACTTTCTAAAAAACTTATTTTCATAACAGTTCTGGAAGAGAAATGAGTGTTTCTTCAACATATGGACTTCATTGGAAGATAAAATCGATACCAAATGGTTGCAGATAAAGCTTAAGCCTTGAAATTAAATGCAGTGTTCCGCCTGCCATATGTGTCTTCTCTTGGAGTATGTAGCCAGTTCCTAGAGAAAGGAAGAAAGAAAGAAAAAAAACTCGAAAACAATCAAAGAAAGTCGTCGGTACTCGGTATTTATTAACCCAGAATATACACATAAAACACATAAATTTTAGGCGAGCTGTCTTTAGCCTTGTCAATTTGACATCTCAACCCTTTAACTCCATCAGCACAAGTGGTTTTCAAGTTGCCATGGGTTAGCTGTCCTCTTTCTGTACCCTGAAGCCTGTCAATTTACGTTTGTCGGGACCGATCTGCTAGATGAACTCCTGGTTTATAATCCCTTCTCGCCCCCCCCCTTAGCTAGTCTCGTACCGTACCGTATACGTGGTCTGTCAGTTCAGGATCTAGGACCGGTGTCAGGATCCACTTAAGCTGAAGAAGGGTAGGGGATGAGTGCTGTAGGGTAGGGGGTGGTTTAGTAGGGTATGGGTAGTTTAGTACATGTAGTTAGTTGCGATATAGCAGGAGAAGAGGTTTGAAACACATGTGATCGCCGTTAACTTCTGTGTCGGCGACGTTGAGAAGAAAAAAAGCCACAGCACACACAAGCGGGTCAGCCTTAACTAATTTGAACACACTCTCTCACTCTCCGTTTCTGTTTTTTTTTTTTTTTTTTTTTTTTTTTTACTAAGTTAGTGGGGTCACTTGGGTGGTGTGTGTTGTGAGCGGGAATTCTCTTTTTCTTTTCTTTGCTTTTTGCGACTGCTGTTTTTTTGTTTTGGGGGCGTGGGTCACGAATCCTCGCTCGGTCAGTTACCCGGTGTGTTTGTTGTTTCTTCTTGCTATTTGCATACGTCACTCAATCACTCACTGGCTGGCTGGCTTACAGTATTACAAGCGCGCGCAACCTCCATCCACCCTCCCCCTAACTCATGTTCAGGGGGATTCCAGGAGCGCTGTTGGTTTCCTACATTGTGGGAGTTTTGCGAGTGCTGTTCTATGGGCCGGTAGTGCCGTGGGTCAAGTCATGGGCGGTCAGTCGGTTGGTTACCCGGTCAATGAATCATCGTAATAATAATTGGGGCCGTCCTTGGCCCTCCGTCCTATGCTAGCAGCTAATAAACGGAACGGACATAGCTTAGCGTGGGTTGGGTTGGGTTGGGTTGGGTTGGAATAGTGAAAAAGCGCGCTAGGCTATATGTGATGCAACTATTACTTTAGTTGGACCCGCGCCGGCGGAACACAGCTTCCCTCCCTCCCTCCCTCGCTCCGGATCCCTTCCCCTTGGGTTTGATATTTACCCTGCCGATGATGATGATTATGTTGATTTTAATGTTGATAAACGTCGCCCCCCCCCCCCCCCCTTAGCTAGGGGAAGGGGGGAAGAGGGAAGGGAAGGGAATGTTAATTTCGATCTTCGGGATTGACAGCTTTTTTGACGTTGACGTTGACCGTTTACCTGAGCTCGGAGACCAGGCCCGGCGGTGGGGAGTCCGGGTTTACAACTCTACGTACCCCAGGTTTAGGGTATATTGGGGTCGTCGAGGGTGGGTGGGAAGGAGAAGGTCGAGAATGTGGTTAGAGTAACGGTTCTCTAGAGCTCTCGAGCTCTCTACAAATTAATACCCTTACCCAGCTAGCTATCTTAGCTATCTATGCCCAGCTCGTATCTCGATTAATCTTCCTCGACTTCTACCGGATATTTTCCGGTTCTTCCACCATACCCCTGACCCCTACCCACCCCTCAAGCTGCCCAGCAGAATAAGCTCATAGGGATATCCGGGAAACAACAAGAATAAAAGAAAAACGTGGGAGGGGAAGGAGGGAAGGGAAGGGAAGGGTAGGTAATTTCCCAGGTACTTTACCCTGGGACAAAAAAGCTGTACCTGCATATACAAGTGGGGTGGGGGTAGCTATGTAGAGCTAGCTTGAGGAAATGTCCGAACGAAAGGTAGGTCCCTTGATAGCCGTTTCACCGCATGCCCACTCACACACACACAAACCCAACCTCCTACATACATGCCGGAACGGAAACATTCCCGGCGGCGGCGGGTTTGCCTCTCGCTCTCCCCCCCCCCCCCTCCCTGGTAATAGGGGGTGGAGGGGGGCCGGCCGCAGTGTGTGTGTGTGTGTGTGTGATGTGATGTGATCTGGTGTGATGTGATAGATAGAGTGTTTGCTCTACTTTTGTTTTAATCTATGCAGCACAGGTACAGGTGAACTGTGACCAGTAGTACTACCGTGGAGACATGCGTACGTAAACCAACAACAATAACATTAAAAAAAGGTTACTACAATTGTTGGGGAGGTTGGGAGATTTTTCTTTCGGTTTGGTTTTTTTTTCCCTTCAGTTATTTTTGTTTTGTTTTGCTTTGGGGAGGGGATCCCGTGAGTCATGAAACATGGGAGTGAGAATTGCATTACTCTACAGAAGAGGAGCGCGGTTTTAATTTTCTTTTTTCTTTCTGTGCTTGACGTCCGGCCGGCTTCCCTGTCTTGTTTTCTGTACCTGGTGCCTCCCTACGCCCCCCGGAACAACCTCGCGTAAGTCTGTAGGGTACATGTACGATACAGTACCGTAACGTAGGGTTAGGTGTAATGCATGCAGGCAGGCTAAGAGTTATAGACTCGACCGTTGAGGTGGAGGTATCAAATGACGGAATTTTGTTTGTACCTACATATTGATGGGCGAAATGGGACACAGCCATAGGCCTCATCATGCAAGGACGGGAACAAACAGAAAACAGATAACCCATTGTATGTCGGTACAAAAAACAAAAAATAGAGCAAAACAAAACATGGCATAAAAACAAAACACAAATTCATAGGGATTAGCGAAAGGAAGGGAGGGATTCGGTTGCATCGTGAAACGAGCTGAGGTGATAGGGCTTCGTTCTTAGTCTTCAGCATCGACATCATGTAGGGTACCGACCGACTGGCTGCAAGGGTGCACGGGTACAAGTTTGTACCTGAGAGGTATTTTTTGTAAATAACATGGGCAACAGCAACAGCATCAGTACGGTACCGAGATGAAGATGATCGGTGGGATTTGATTTTACTTTGCGTATGAAGTACAATGTACCGCAGTATTATGAAGATGTATCATGTAGGCTAATCTTCCGTTTAGCTTTCTCGGGTCCCGCTATGAGCACTCATGAGCAGGCAGACAGGCAGGTCACTGACCGCGATGAGGGTGGGGGAGGGAAGTTTGGGAATTGGGAACTGGGAATTGCGCTGTTCATGTTGCTGTCACTCGGACTCTCTTCTCTGTGTATCTGTGTCTGTATCTGTATCCGTCCGTATCTGTATCTCGCTCTCTCTGATCACTTCCAACCCAGCGGAGTGTTATTGCTGCTGAGCTAGGCCCTTTCCAACCAATTCCTCCTGTCGCCCTGTCCGCCTGATCTCTCCTGCCTATCTGCCTACAAAATTGATTTGCCCTACTGGCTGTCTGTGTCTGTACTACTCACCGATATATACGCTTTGGCGACCGCGGGCGCGCGGGGGGGTAGCTATTTACGTACACGAACCCTCTCCCAAAAGTAAAATTGGTGATCAGATGGGAGGACGAAGGAAGGAGGTTTGTGTGGTTATGGTGCTCAGGTATTCCCAATTATATTTTTATAGTTTCCGGGGCGTTGTGTTTGTGGTGAATCAATTGTAGGTTGGGGGTGGTGGTTGTGGTGAATCAGGTGCCCGGCCGGAGGAGGAGGATGGGGGATCGATGGGCGTTTTTTATTAGACGGCGGCCACAGCGAGCGAGCGGCCGCGGGCGTCCCTACTCTGCGACAACATTGGCAAACTAACGAGAGTCATGGTACCGGTTCCACAGAAACCCATCCATCCACACCACCGGAAGATTAGGAGAGAGAGGCAATGTACGGTAGACACGGTAGGTACAGGTCCACAAAGGGACACAGCCAGGGACACACCACACACACACCACACAAACACCACACACTGCACAGGTACCGAAAAAAAGTAACAGATGCATGTTACGAAAGTAGAAACAAAACGGCCCCCACCCTGCCTCTCTACATACTCGGACTTTGAGGGTCACGTGTGGAATTTCTTTCTTTCTTTCTCTTTTGCTTTTTCTAGAATCTTTTATGCAGGCGTTGGAGAAAAAAAAGTTGTGTCCATGATGTACATACATGATACATGTAGGATTGAATGAATGAGTGAACATCTGATTGACTGTCTTGTCTGTCTGAGTGAAGTCTGACTGACTTGGCCCAATGTCAAAGTGCGATGCCGCTGTTGGAATTGTGATCTACCACCCCGGCGTTGCTCTGCTCGAGTAATTGAGGACAGGTAAGGTTTATCAACAACAACGGCAATACAACATTGAACTGTGCTGTGTTGTTGTGCTCATGACTGCGGTGATTGTGGTGAGCCCTGACATATGATCATGACTGACTGACTGATTGATTGATTGATTGATTGATTGATTGACTGACTGAGATTCATTGACTGAATTAATATACTCACATGTTCATATTCGCATTCATTCACACGCATACATGAACACACCGGGACAGTCTTTTTGATACGGCCCTACATACATCCTCTGCTACAGTAAGTATGTAGAATGTCATGTGCTCACGAAATTTCAATCGTATTCACCAAATCCGAATCAATTGTTCCCCTGAATTACGATTAACCTGATTACCATCGTGACCTGTTGTTGTCGTTGTCGTTACCGTTGTCTTTGGCAAGGCTGTCATATTTTTTATTTCGTTTTTCTTCGAGAATCCCCTTTCCCTTTCCCAGCTTTCCTACGATGGATATCTCCGAGAATGAGGCGTTTCGTTTCCAATTGCGATTCTGCTTTCCAGCTGCCGGCCACCACCCTGCTTCCCTTCCCCCTTCCTGCCCTTAACTCCCCGCCCGCCGCCACCATCCCCATTGGAGATCATGACACTGAGGGTTTATGTGTGTCAATGAGGGGGTGTGTGTGTTTCTCCCCGAGAGGGGTAACCATGTCTGGCCTTAGGAGAGATGTCCGTACGAGAAGCCTTCCTTCCTTTCCTTCTCTGCTGTAACCCTACCTACATGCTCTACATGACGATTGTCAAACACACCACGGTTACCACAAAACTCAAAATTGCACAATTGAAAGCCGGCCAGCCAGTCAGCCAGCCCCCCCCCCCCCCCCCCAATGCATACCGGTCCGTATGAAAAGCAATGTAGTGAGGTAGCTCATTTATCAGGATCTGATTGTAGTTTGCCAGCCTTGTTGTTGTCTGTCATTTATTCCACCCCTCCCCCCTCCACCCCCTCGATAACTTCCCGCGATGATCGACGGTACCGTCTATCCGTCGGGTTAATTGGTGGGAGATACACACTACCTGCCCTACCAGTCTGCCAGGCTACTTGGCTGGATAGCTACATAGATGTGCATAATTTCTGTACATAGAGTCGAGAGCGAGGGTTCTTGGGAACTCTAGGCTCACTCGCTCATCACATCCTCGTCCCTTGCCTACAATTTGCTAGCTAACCTTAGCTACATGCCCTACGGCCTACTCTACAAACCTGGCAGGTTGGTTGAATCGATGATAATGTAATATAACACAATGCGAGATGTCGATTGCCCCGCGCAGCATCATCATCATCATCATCATCATCATCAAGCTGCCGCTCGTGCTGGCTGGCTGTTGGGGTCGAGATATGTACTCACACAGCAACAGGCAGCTGAGGACTAGAGAGGGTTGGCCAGCTCAATTGGAGGGATGAGAAGATCGAACGGGGGGAGGCGTGGAGATGGGGTGGGAAGGAGAAGACGTCTCTGGTCCACGTAGCGTAGCGTATATGTATACGTGCATGTAGGTAGGGTTTCTTCTGTAGGCACAGAGAGAGAGGGAAGTTCTAGAGTCTGGCTGTCTGTCTCCGGGCTCCATAACCCATATCCATATTCATGTACAGACGGTCATTCATTCGGATATGCTCGCACATGATTGACATGCTGCATATATCTATGGATTGAAAAAAAGCGTACGTGCGTGCGTGCAGCAGCACAGTTGTGGAATTTAATTTATCTTGCCGATATCTATACATATGTCTTTTCTGCGAGATTTTTTTTTTTTTTTTTTTTTTTTTGTATACACGTATTTACATCGCAAAAAGAACAACAATACGAGTAACTAGAGCAACAGCAGTAAAGAAGAAGACACGCGTGTTCTATGCAGAGAACAGGCAGGCAGCTGGCATGGCATGGCATCCGCTGCTGATATGTAATGCAATGTACTCAATGTACGAGCCCCGACGTCGTTGTCGAGAACGGGCAAATGAGCGTTGGGAAATATTCTAGAATTCCGCTGCACCCAAACGGGTGTGGGTGCTGGGGTTACCCTCTGATTCCACTCTAGAGTAACCACTCTGGTTCGTTTGAACCCTTGACCTGCAACCTGAACCGCGGTATACTTTGAAAAGCAAAAGTGAAAAAAAAACACTTTTTCTTCTCTCTCTCTTTCTATCACATAAACCCTGATCACAAAAAAGCCCCCACCAGGGGGTTCGCTCTCGAACCCCATATTTGGCTGATAAGGGTTTAGTCTGTGGTGGTGGGTTCCAGGAGGGCGGGTCCTCTTCCAAATTGGACCCCAGTTCATTGATAACCCCAGTTCATTGATAACCCCCGGCCTCGGTACAATCTAGCGCAGTGGGTGCTGGTGTAGTGTACCTCTGGGTATGTGTATGGAATCTGAAATCTCAAATCTGATGGAAGACCGATTGAAATGGCCCGGCCAATTCAAGGTTTGTTTCTGAGAAGCCCCCCTCCCTCACCCCCTCCACATCTCCACTTTCCACCGTATCCACCCCTCCTCCATCGGAGGTGAATCAGAAGGGCAGTAGTCCAACTCGGAATAATTATAGAGAAAGAGGGATCGCAATCATGTGAGTGGTGGTGGCGCGCTCACTCTCACCTCGCGCGTGTATGCGCGCGCGCCGGCCGATGAAGGAGGGATTAAGATCTCGAAATTTCAAATTTTGGGAAAATGTGAAGCTGGTGGTGGTGGTGGTGGTGGTGGTGGTGGTGGTGGTGGTTGTTGCCGCTGCTGTGTTGAGTAAGCGGCATATATCTCGATCACTCAACGAGCTGGCTAGCAGTTAATAGCGCTCCCTACAGTGTCGCGAGTATATTAGGGTGTATGTAATGTATGTACAGGCGAGGTGGGTTAGGTAGGTGAGTGTAAATGGGGAATCGTTGTTCTGTATGTATTGTCACGATTAACGGTATTGGAATGGGTTAATTGCCTTGCGCTTCGTGCCTGCACATTTCGAAACCCCTCCTCCTTCCTGCCTACCTACCTACTTGATCTTGCCCCCCTCCTGCTGTCTTTCTTCCTCTATCCCCACCCCCCTTTTTCGCTTGATGAGCGTGGGCATGAAGCATAGCGGCAACTAGTAGCTGTATCTCTTTATGCTATGCCTCATTCAATTGTGACTTTCAACTCTCTAACTACAGATATCGATTCTCTCCGTGATCTGAAAATTAAAACCCAGTCCTAGCCAATGTGCGGTTCCCAAATGGCTAGGACCAACTACACGTCAGATAAATCCAGGTTAGATATACATAGATAGTTACCAAGACCCCACGAGGTAGTCATGCAGGACAGATACACAGGGGGACATACATACATCAAAGACCCAACGTACCCAACCCCAAGGGCCTTGTGTTAGCTGTGCTCTAGTGTGCGCAGTGACCCCGTCCCGAGTGAGCGGTGATCGAATCAACCTCGGAACATCTCCGTAGTAACATTCAATTAATTCTTTATTTTTGGTGCTCGAGCGTCACGCCCCCGTGTAGTTCGCCGAGGACCACAAACTCCACTCATACTACGCCTGAGGAAAGAATATTCCGGCTGGGGTTGTACGAGAGATTATACATACATGTATTTACTCACATGTAGGATGTATGTGCATGTTGTTATTACTTACTCGTCAGCAGCAGCAGAAAAGAATCATATTTTTCTGATGAGAGATCTGGGCTATATTAAAATTCTGCAGGGCCATTTTCCTCTCTTTGGTTGGTCAGGGGTTAATATCTTAACATTTATATTTCATGCCCAATTACGGTCTTTGAGGCTTCTTTGTTAGGCGACGGAATATTCTTCGAAACTCTTGCCATGCACGGGGGCTTAGCCAGGGAAGGCACACCAGGGCTGCATGACTAAACCGTAACCTCGCGCCGGAATTATCCAATTAAGAACTTTATGTAAGCCCGCAGACGCCGTGGTTGACACTTCGCGCGGCCAGGGGTGTAAAGGTCAATGAGCAGCCCAGTTGAATGGTCCTCCCAGGGCCTCCCAGCTGTGACCCGCCGAAGTTCCGGCATCCCTCATTTTCCTGCATATGCAACGCTAGATACTGCGTCATTGAACGTTTTATCGAATGCAAGCGGCTGTTGGACCTTGGGGGACTGGAGAATGAGAACGCAAATCACGGAAGAGTATTTTTAACGAGTACTGCAGGAGAGACAAAAAATATGTTGGAGTACATAGTAAATAGAGGGGGCGGGGGCAATAGAGGGGTGCGGCGGGCTGAGAGAAGGTACACTGACGGAGTCGGAGATGGAACGGAGCGGAGACGGACATATGGTGGGGGGGAGGGGGCGCGTGGAGGATCAGATACACGGAGGTTAAGAACCACTTGCAGCCACTAAATAGATTACAGAGTCGCGGAAGAGACAACACTGATCTGGCAATTATCTTGCCCTGTTGAAATTGAGTCTGACGCAAAGGCAGGCGATTAACTAGAGGAAGGACAGGCAAGTAGAAAAGAGAAAGCAGGCACGAAGTAGGCTGTGGCCGTAGCATGACGAGGGGGGGGCAGAGGAGGAGCAGCAATTACCTATGTACAGCAATAACAGCAGCGCACTGGGAGATAGGTGCAGGCAGCAGAGCAACGAGTTTTGTGTGAGAATGAGTTTTCCTGTACTCCATCACTCATTCTCACACGAGTCTTTCGTTACTCAATCATCCATGACCATCCGACCATGGATCCAACTATAGTAAAGCATAGAATAGCTACCACCTATATAGCATAACATCATCAGTGATCACTCAATTATCGAGTGAGATTTACGGGTTGACAAACAGAGACAACACTCGGCATGGCCGCCCGCGCGGTGCACAGGACCTCCTCGCAGCAGTAGGAAGGCAAGCAGGCAGGGCCTGCTTGCCTTCCTGCCTGACTCCCCTTGCACCTTGACCTCCTCCTCCTCCGGAGCATTGTGGCCCTCGCCCTCGGCGTATTCCTCGTTCTTAATGCCAATTTAATTTATACCCTCCATCCACGTACCTTGTCTGTCCCAAGGACCCCCAAACAGCCCCATCCTTGTACCAGGTCCCAGACTCCCAACATTTGTCTTTGATTCATTAGCTTACTAGCTCCTTGGGTCAAACCAAGGGAACTTGAGAGAAAAAGGAACTTGAAAAAATAAAATAAAGGATCCCCCGTTTCTGGAACCGAGAGGAATAGAATAAGAACATCAGCCTCCCGCCCTTCTGTCGCTTCTTCTAGAACACATCAAGCAGCACACTTCCATCCATTCATTCACTAAATTATAAACACCTCACCATCATTGCACTACCATCCTCAATCCCATCAATACATACTTAATACAACTACCTCCTCATCATCGGTTAACACAAACTCAACTTTTATAAAACTCACCCCCCCATACAATAATAATAATGGCGACTACAACAGTAACATTAACAGCCAACAAATACTCGAACGACCAAGTACGAGTACTCGGCATTGATGAATACAAATCAGCTGCACGAACATTAGCGGATGCCTTCTTCAAGGACGACGTAGCTTTCTACTGCCTCGAGACACCCGATAATGGCGGCATGACCCGTGAGGAGCTCTACCCATTACATTTGGAAATTCTTGAGTACATTGTTGCGGCTCATTGCTACAACGGTCTGGTATTGGGCATTGGTGAGCACAACGAGGGAATCGCACTATGGTATGATACACACTCCCTGTCCATCAATCTCCCCATCAGAGATAGTCCCCAATACTCTACCCTCAGCTTGTTCCTGAGTGAGGCGTAACCGGCAGTGTCACTCTCTCCGCCGCCGGGTGTGTGAGAGAGTGGTGTGCCGAGTGGAGATCTGCAGGCAACATCACAATTGTGCAAAAAGCAATATATGGCTGACTTTTCCGGGGTTACTCGTATATAGGATGCCACCGGGAAAAAACATGGATGACTGGTTCACAATCTTCCGCAGCGGCATGTGGAGGCTGTACTGGAAGTTGACAAAGGAGGGAAAGAAGCGGTACTTTGAGGAGTTTCTTGAGGTTCTGCACCAGACCAAGTATGTAACAACAGCCACGCGGAAATTTCTACCCTAGCCCCGATCTCATGCACTCTCTTGCCTGCGCCGTTGTCGGAACTTTGTTCAGAGAACGTCCGCAAAGGTGGAAAAAAGGAACAAATATGGCATTTGCGTAATCAGATATCTTTTTTGAGAATGTTTGCTGACTCGATATTTTTCGTTGCTACAGAGTAAATGCTATGGGTGATCAGGACAAAGATGCATGGTATGTTCCCACGTTTCCTGCAGGTTTCTAGAACGTGCAGTAGTATAGTTACACAGAACCATCTCTAATCATTCGATAGGTACCTAGTTTACCTCGGCGTCACTCCGGATGCGAGAGGAAGAGGTTACGCGAGAAAGCTCATCGAGTTTGTCACAAGAAAGGTATGCTCAAATTAAAACCTCATTCATTTTCTTTCTTTCTAGAATTTCAGGAGTTTGAGTCCCTTGGTGGGATTCATCTACACCCATCTAGTTTCATATAGTCAAAACAGCCACTAACATGCATTGTGCTTCTAGTGTGATCTCGAAGGTGGTGCACCATGCTATCTTGAGAGCAGTCATATCAACAACGTACCAATGTACCAGCGATTCGGATTCGACAAGAAGAGCCGTGTCGTTCTCGGACCAAATTGCGACAAGCCCGTCCCTCTCGATATCATGATTCGACCGGCGATGAGACTAGTTGGCGAGAAGCTCGTACCAGTACCTATCACCTCATCCATCACTGCGTCCACAGGTGGCCGTCGTCTTGCCGATTAGTGTTGTCATCCATTCGTTCGTCACCGTCGTCGTTGTCATCACCAAGCGTCGACTAAAAATGCAGAAAGCGCACCACAGGAGGGGTACGCAATAATTTTAATGGGGTGGTTGGGTTACGAAAAAAATTAGAAGGTGGGATTAGAGGTTCATCATAGACTTATTAGAGGGTTTTAGACGGTTTGTTAGCATTATGGGCGGCGACCTTTGTTATTTGCAATGTGTTGGAGTTTTCCTCACAAGGAGTTTTATTACACGGGCCGGAGTTTTTGATTTTTCCCTTTTACTTTATTATTATTATTATTGATTAATTCCCTTTCCTTTCTTTTTAGACACCTAACTGTTTAATGGCTTGTTACGGTTTTTCCTTTTGGCTTTTGCCTTCTCAGACACTCACATTGTCACTCTCTGCTCTTTCTTTTGTTTACGGGCCGGGTGGTTGGGTTCTTCCTTTCTTCTTCATTGCATCCTTATTGACTTTACACCTTATATTTCTTTATTGCATGGAGGCACGGTACTTATAGAATTTTTATGTTGGGGTTTTTGGGCTGGTCGGTATGGAATACCGCATTATTAGAATTCGCTTCGGCTGGGTTGGACTGTAACATAGAACAGGGTCGCCCCTTGGTGCGTAAGAACAGAATAATAGATTCTGGAGCATCGAAAATACTAATAAGGGCTCATTGCTCGATTATCATTATCAAACTTTTTGTTCACTTTTATTTGTGTTCTTGCATGAAACGAAAAAAGAAACATTAATCTCCAGCGCCCTTTCTCATTAAACGCTAAGATGTGTCTTGGTTATTCTCCGATATATCATCTGAGCCAAACTAAACCAAACTCACATAGAGTGCATGCACACACACACACTCACACCCTCACACACCACATAACACGCGGGAATCTCATGCGCATTCACTAGCAGGATCTTTCAAAAATGCGGTACAGCCCCTTCAGATTGGCGACCTCGGTAACGGCCCCCAGGAGTGTTTTTGGCGCTATCAATCGTTTCCTGACAACCGGGAATATGGCTGTTTCCACCACGCGCCCCAGCTCTTTTCTACGCGCGTCGACATCCCAATTACCCGCCGCCGCCACAACGTCATTTCCATCGTCAGCATCACCACTCACGCTCGGTAGTTTCTCGGGAACGTAGAACAATGCCAGTTCACGCAGAAGAGTATCAAAGCATTCCAGCTCTGATGTCCAGTCGATCTTTATTTCATCTTCCGTGTTAACCGGAGCCTCTTATGTCACTGACAGCGAGAGGAGGGAGATCTTACGTTTGGCCCTAGGCGTAGAATAAAGGAGGGAAGCTTTCCAAGACTGGGCATATACCCTTTCAGTAAGAGTGGGATACTGACAAGGTTACCATCCTCGGAAATTTCGAGACTGAGGTAATCTTTGAGCATGGGACGTTTCGAAAGGAGCAGTTGCTCGATTGTCTATGTTATATCAGCGAGACGGTCTGGGGGGGGGGGGGGAGGGGAGGGGTACGGAGAGGGATGGGGGCATACAGTTATCGCAGATTCCCAGTCGAAATCACCCTCTTCCCCCTTAGCCTTCTCCTCCTCCACCGCAATCTCGAGAATATCTCGTACACCCATCGGTGGATCTAAAACTATCCGCCCAAAGTTTGCAAAGTCGCTCAGGCCAATCTGGTAAAACAGCTCGTACGATACAGCGGCATAGTCGACAAGGTATAGGCGAAGCCCGTGTTGCACAGCTGCGAGACGTCGGTTGTCATCTATTATGCCCACAAACGTGTGGTTCTGGAACAGCTCACAGAGTTCTGTATGAGCGCTGTCACGTACGGAGGCGCGTAAAGAGTGAATGGTGGTGTAATTTATCAATGTCCACGTCGAATCATGGTTGGTCTCGTATTCTACTGAGTCGCCTGCAGATTTATTTATGGGGGGATTGTCGAACATAGTGGTTATCTTGCGATCGCGGTTATCAGTACGGACCATATTGTACTCGTATTCCTTCTTGCGTTTTGCTTTGGTATCGTTCGCTCTTATTTCCCTTGCGGTATCATCGATACTACTACTTTGGATAGGTTTCGTGCCTGGAAGGAGTGTCTGCGTAAGAGTGTACGAACGAGACGTATCTACTGCGGCCAGCTTTTCCTCAACTGTTTCCACAATTTTTGCGACAATCTCATCTTCGTGGAGGAAGTTAACTTCGCGTTTTGTAGGATGGATATTGACGTCAACACGATGAGGTTCTATCTCGAGTGATAGATATATGAATGGGTGTCCGCCCTTGGGGAGATATGTTGCATAGACATTTTCGAGTCCCTTTTTGATCGCGGAGGATTCGACCGAACGATGGTTGATGAACAGGAGTAATGTGGTCTTCTTGACATGGTAGTTGGCATTGGATATCATACCCGTTGCCTCAAAACCAAGGTGCTTTGAAGAAGTGGTGAACTCAAGGAGTTCATTGGCGACGCTGGAACCATGAATGCGACGGATTCGATCAATTACAGAGGCAGTCGCAGTTGTGGAGACACCACTATCTGCATCTCCAAACTGTGTGTAACATACCAGTATTAATAGGTACAACGGTGTAAGGATGCAAGGGGAATACCTTCTTGCATGAGAACGCCACCCCCGAACAATGCACTGCATACCGCCCAACAACGTCTAGAATCTTTGAGTACTCTTCGCCCGGGCTTCGGAATGCACGGCGTCTGGAGGGGGTATTATAGAATAAATCTTCAACCTAGGAATTGTTATGAAGCTGTCACAAGTTTTGTTTCGGTTTAACAGGACTATAAAACATACAGTAATCTGCGTCCCCTGTCTCCCTGCTACTGGTTTTGGGTCTGCACTCTGACCAGGTTTTGGTGGAACGAGTTTACCATCTGAATATACAGCTCTATACCAGATAAACAAGACCGAAGAAAGAAAGGAAGGGGTGGGCAGCAAACCTATAGGCACAACTCGAATCATTCGTTTTAGTTGTGATAGTCAAATGGGCTATATGGCTAATACTTGCTAGGGCTTCCCCTCTGAATCCGTAGGTCCCAATTGCATTAAGATCCTCGAATGATTTCAGTTTACTCGTAGTGAAACGTTCGCACAGAATAGGCATATCCTCGAGCTACAAATGTACCGAGTGAGTATCTATGATGCGCCCACAGGGCTAGCACATACGTTGATCCCATGACCGTTATCAGTGATCTGTAAGAGCTTGAGACCGCCCTCCTTCACTACAATTTCCAGTGATGTGCTACCGGCATCCACAGCATTCTCAATCAACTCCTTGAGTGCATGAACAGGCGCAACAATGATTTCACCAGCTGCAATTTTGTTTATGACTACTTGGTCAAGTGCCTAACTAAATTATTAGCTACATTCTGATAAGAGATGCCAAGAACTGGACCTTGATTCTTCTAGGGGCCTGAATGTTTTGAGGAGCGGCATCGTCCACAGCTTTTCGCTTCAAAGACCCGGTATCTGAATTCATTATTGGAAACCGGGGAACTGGGTAAGAGAATAAGGGGGGTGTACCGGGGAATGAGCGATGTTTCGGGGGTGCCAGGGAGACGCGACTGAAAGTAATTAACTAGTCGCGTAAATGACGTGTGTAACCTATTCTAGGAGGTTACCCGGATTTGTCACGTGCCCAACAAACGTTTTCTCTCATTTTTTTCTTAAGAAATGTTTCCTAAAAAATATTCCTCGTCTCATACACAACAAACGAATTATAATACAAGCCCCAAAGTCACGGAAATGGGTAAAGCAAAGAAATCTCGCTCGAGTACGGCTCGTGCCATTGCCTCTCCAACTGCGCGCCCTCTCAATCCTGCAGAAGTCGCAGCCAATGCAGCTCTCCGCGAGTCAAAGATCATTCCGGTGGTGAAGAACTTGGGTTCAACGAATACAAAGCAGCGTTCCGAAGCTTTGTCAGCAATAGTCAATTTACTGGAGGATTCCAACTGTCGTAATTTGCTACTGAGGGAACGTGTGGTGCAGAAAATCATGGAAGGGTCGCTGAATGATTCTAATCAGGAAGTCGTCGTCTACGGTTGGGGCGCGCTCAGGAATGTTGCGGCCGAGGAAGGATATGATCAGTGTATATTCATGTACAGGAAAGATATCTTGACACCGGTGGCCGCGGCGATTACTACTGTACAAACTAAACTCTGGACCGTTGTGAGAAACCGGCTAATTAAGTGTAGCTTACTACTGCGATTGGGAATATTACAAATAACCCGAGTGCTCTCAGCACTCCAGAGAAAAAGCTATTATGGCAGTACGCCGAGAACGTCATCGGGCTGATTACAAGCCTCTGGTACCACCCACTCCCACATTATGATTATGATATCATGTGCAGTCGCTGACTTCCCTAGCGAAACATCCCAAGAAGTGGTGGATGCGATTACCAAAATATCTCACCTTCTTCATTTTCTAATCTCCATCCTCTATCCGTCACAAATAATACCCTCAGGTGTACAAGAAGCCGCTGCCCAATGCCTCCACGCACTCACTGAAGAAAACGTTGTCATCGTCGAACAAATTATCGAGAACGAAAACTACGTCTCTCTTCTTCTCAAGCTTAAAGATGATATCCAACCCGAGGCCGCCATCAAAACTATTTTCGTTTGCGGTAATAATGTCTCACTTCCCTTGTAGAATTCTTGCTAAATTTAGTGTACCCAGGCACGCTACACAACGTATCACTCGCCACCCCCGATACCCACCAAATTTCAGACTCACTGACTCTTCCAACTCTCACAAATCTTGTTAAAATCACATCTACATCTCAAGACCCTGAAGATATATCCCTTACCCCGCTCTCCCTTACTCCCGATCAGCGAATTCTCGCTGTCGAAACCGCCCTTGAAATCCTTGCTTCCATTGCCACAGCCGTCCAGTCAAACGATGAGAACGAGTTCAGAACTGATGCTGACGGTGACGTCGAGCTTGGTGATGAAGAGGGGCCAGAAGATATTGACGAGGATGTGTTGGCTGATATGGACAATGTTGTTGGCGCGGAATCCGGTGGTATCGACGACATGGATGGCAGTGCTGAGGATATCCTAGCTTACTTGCTAACATCCACTGCCCAATTATTACTTCCATTGGCACAGGGTGGCAATGGATCACCTCTAGCTCTACAGACACGTGCTATTAGTGTATTAAACAATATTGCATGGACTGCCAATGTCACAATTCCCCCAGAGTCTTCACTGTGGGGCACATGGGAGAAATTGGCGTATGCAATTTGGGATGAGGTCGTTGTAAAGATTTTAAGGGCCAACACGGCAGATATCGAGTTGGCGGATGCGGTATCAGGTCTGGCATGGGCTGTTGCCAAGGGGACACACGGAAAGGTGAATATAGAAGGTGGGGTAGTGGGTGCATTTATTGCGCTATATGGAGCCGCTCGTGGAGCAGGTGGAAAGGCAGTAGCAGGTGTGGACGGCCTTGAGGGCAAGTGTGTAGGTGTGCTTGGATGCCTAGCCATGGCCGAAGGGAGATTAGATGTGAATAAGGTACGTTTGGTATATCCGGCTTTTGGAATAATCGTCTAATCCTCCGGGTGCAGGAGATTGGGGTATTCCTCATGACGCTTATTGCTGCTGCACCAAACACTCCAGCGGAACCAACAGTCGAGGCGATCAATGCCATTATGGACATATACGCTGACGCTGACTTTGACTATGACGGGCCTGTGTTTGTCAACTGCGGTTTCTTGGCGCATTTGCAAAAAGCGTTGCCTAACGTCAGAACGATGGTAAGTAATCGTCTAATCTTTTGTTTTCTTTTGATCTGCCGAATTCCAAACCATCCGTTATTTTCCCGCTTTTGGTTTCGTTTCAACTTTTGTTGCATGCGGGACTTTCCTGAGTACCTGGCTGCTGGGTCAGCCCTGGTAAAACCATCTGGTACAGAGGCGTTTATTCATCTGAATTGGTTGGCTATACTGGAGCCCGGTAGTATGGGGCCCTGTCAAGGCTACTATTGGGATCACGATCCTTCTGCATTGGCGGGATCTTTGACCCACCTTGAAGGCCCACTAGTGCACTCTACTCCATAAGGCTGAGGGCATCGCACAAGGCTTAGCCTATGTACTCCTGCAACCTTGTTGATGCATTATACAATTCCGCATGCGGAACTTGTGTGCATCGATGACAGTCCTACCTGACCCAATGGGACTTGGCCAGTCGGGAGTGTAGAGCCAATGTAACATTTTACATTGGGCATTCTGGCACTGGTGCTCAGAATGTTCGTACGTGCGTTGACGCATCAAGCATCGTCACCTGTGTGCGCTTGGTTTATTTCTTTTTGCGATTCTTTTTGCTTGTTGCTTGCACACACCCCCGCCGAATTTTGTTGGCACCTACCAAGAAATCTCCGATATATACCTTGCCTTGCCTAGCAGTGGATGATACCACTATGCGTTAATGAAAAATGCGTTCATATGATTAGAAATCACTCTACTCTATCTTCCCCCTCATTATGCCCTACATACCCGCGCGGATCCGTAAGAACAATAATGAGGCTGAGAGGGCAAATACTAACTGAGATGACACCACTGCAGGTTAAGAGAATCGACAAGAAAAAATTGCCTGATGACCGGCACAGGGCGGACGAGGCGGTGCTGAATATGCAAAGGTTCATAACGTACAAAATGAAAGAGAGATCTTGAGTGGGTGCAAGGTGGGGTGATCATGATGTGTGTAGGGATCGATCCTATTTTTACAAACCAAGTAGAATACAGTAGCATGGGCCAGGGTCCAGGAGAAAAACGCACATGGGAATGATGACCAAGGGTATGGAGAATTTAATTTGTAGATTACTTCAGCATCAGCCATTTCATGACTCAAGATTGTAAGGAGGGAGGGAGGGGTAAAAAGGAATATTAAGAACAAAGGTCAAATAAGCTTCTGTTACACGGTGCTCCGGGAAGCGAAGTAGATCTGCCTGGCTGTGTGACAGGGTGGAGTGCGGCGTGGCTGCAGAAATAGCAGGGCAGGGTACAGTCAGCCATTATTGATTTTTATTGATTTATTTTTTTGCGTGGGGTGTGTGTGTGGGGGCGTGTGACTTTTGTGACCGGGGGAATGAATTCGTCGGACCGGGAATGGTGTCACGAGATATCACTCGGTGTGCTGTGAGTTGGTGGGACTTTAAACACCAAAACACCTGGCGCCACGGGATTACAAAAGTAGGAAGTATACATATATAATTAATCTTATTTTGATAGTCTATGGGTCCTGATTTATTGTAAACGCCACACCAACCCCCCAGCCACGCACCCACGATATTCACTTGGTGACTGGATCTACTGATTTCGATGCAATCCCTTTCGCCGGTTGAGATACCAGCCCGTCCCCAGTAAGCGTTCACCCAAATCCTAGTAGGTAGTGATTCAAGAGCATCTCATGGGCTCAACCAACAATTCGTCAACCACACTTTAAGTTGGCGTTGAAGCTGACGTTGGCCTAGCAGAGCGGGACCCAATCATTTTCGTTTACCAATGTTTACTCCAGATTCTGACGTATTCAAGTATATTATATACAGGGTCATCCCTGTGCCTATATATACAATACACCCTCCTGGCTAGGTAAAACGACTATCGCACCTGGAGAAATTCCACCAGACTACAGCATCATGGCTAGAATGCCACCCCGCCTCCTCATCATTTCACAACTATGCGTTACTATAATATAGGCTCATGGGCTGGCTCAAATCAAGCATGACCAAAATCCCAGGCCGGTCGGGTTCTTTGGTGGTCGAGACTCACATGGTCCGAGCTGATAGGTCAATGATCGATATTACAGGATATTCTTCCGACAAGTTCTGCGAAAGAGCCACCCAGTGAAAAGGTTACCGTCAAATTAACGTACAAAAAATAAGACCTGTTTAAAACCTTACTCACTTCACGTTTGGCCTCAACAGGGCTTAGTAAGGACCTTGTATAAGTACAGGCCTCCTTAAAGTCTTTTAATAGCCGTAGGATCGACACCTTACCAACATCCCGCAGGGCTAAATGGAGGAAGAAGTCTTTATAAAGCCCTCAGTATAAAGGCAAAAGCTAAGCAAGGTTTAAACAGATGCTATTTTCTTATATGGTTCGGCAGTGAATGAAATACTTTAATTCGAGGTAGCCATATATGCGTTTCCCAAAGATTACACGATATCAGTAACCCCAACGTTACTCCTCATAGCCCTTGTATCTCACTAGTAGCTATATTTCATTAAAAAAAAAAGAACTAATTTTACTCGAGCCAGCTCCGGCTCGCCGGAGGACAAGGTTAGTGAACCACATTAATATAGTAATATCACATCTCCCTTTTGGCATCGTATTGCGAAAGTTATGATGTGAGTTAGTTTCCATCATTCAGACTGTAGAACCAGGGTCTATGAGATTTATATATGGATCTATTGCGCGCTTAAAGTTGCGTGTCGATTTATGACTTCCGAGCGCGCCTAGGAGGATGTGATTGTCAACAGTACCAGTACTCTCCACATTTATCTCGTCTTCTGGTCACAAAAGACGTCCAAGCTGACTTTTCGAGCTAGCATGAGGAGAGATTAGGAGACGTGTTCAAGATAAAAACCCATATAAGGGAGTTTCAACGTCTTGAGTAACCGGCCGCCGAGACGAATTAATGCGATAATGGAGGTTTCTAATATTTAGAATACCACGAATCTATCACAGTATGAAATTTATGCGCATAGTTTTTCTATGTACCGTACCTCGTCTGTAGGTAATCAATCCAAACACAGTACATCCCAAGACTTGAAAATAACACGTCTAGAAAATTAATCGAGTGATTATTCATGACGCAACAATCAGTCGAGAATTTAGGTCATGACTGATCACTCGACATATCTCCACACTGAAATGTCTTCCGAGTTCAGATGAATAAGACATTTTACACTGTTTAAGGATTATCCCGAGCCTGGTAGAGCGCTTTCGCTGGATACCGCAGCAACCCGTGGACGATAATTGCTATTATACTAATTAGGTCTGATCTGGGTGAATTCATGAGTACTTATGGAGGTTAGATATTAAAAAACACGCCAAAGACGTTAAGCAAACATAATATGTAAGAACGAGAAAAAAAAAGGGGAGGGGATATCTGGGACAAAGAAATTACAAGACGATACAATTTTTTGATAACACAAGGTCCATTCCTCCAAGATAACGCCATCCTAAATCTATAGTGTGTGATACGATAGCGATAAATTTTGATACCATAACAAGCGCTTCCCATTCTCGTCACAAAACAGGTCACCAGCATCAAAACTGAACCCCGCTGTCAGGGAGGTAGGGCAAGAGGAAGTGGCTTGTCGGTAACGTAGAGCGTCTAGCTCTAGCTTGTCCCATTGCATTGATCTGCCCCACCAGTCTACCAGTGCTATCGTGTTGTAAATTGGTAAAGCTTGGGCGGGAAGGTCTCTCATAACATTGTTTTTGTCCATCAGGGTCTTTTCGAAGCCATGTTTTGTTCGGGTGTAAGATGGTGTTTCATTGTGGACTATAGCAAGCGCTTCTTTATGGAATGAAGGGTAAAGCATGACGTATCCCCGGGAACGTATGAGGTTTATAAATGAGGTCGACCAGGAGTCTGAGATCTCCTTTGACATTGTAAGACGAGTTAAATTTGTTTGGTTCGTGAAAGCTGCTCCCATAGTCGGAAATAGGAGACTTTGGGAAAAGTATGAGTGAAATTCAATCCAATGTTGTGGGAAATAGAGTGCTGCGCGGCTACTTGGCGCTGTGTAGAGAAACGGGGATGGCTCTCCGGAGGGAGTGGTGAATGGTTTTGTTCCATTTATAAACGACGGCGGTTCTTCGAGAGAGATTCCGAATAAAGATGCTGTTCGCAATTTCTGGTAAAGGGAATATTTATATTCAAGTGTTGTCCACAGAATGTAATGGAAGTACCATTTCGAGAGTTCAACGTTTGCGTCAAGTACTAGAAGGAAAGTATCATCATTACTGGGGTAGAAGGATTCCATGAACCGCTTTGCGGTATCTTCGGCGGATGAGGCCGGATTGATGGGCCTTCGAATAAAAGTGCGAGTGCGTGATGGGAATGAGTAATCCGAAAGGAATGATTTGGTGAAGCCATGGAAGGGAGAAGACGGGTCGAGAATAACTGTAAGGCTCTTGGGATGGTGGCCAAAAGGATAGGCGGCGGTTTGAAGGGATTTTAGAAGACGCTCTAGGTTTCCAGAATGCTTATCGGCGTGTATCACAATTTCGAAAGATGGCTTTCTAAACGCTGGGGGATTTAGCAACGAATCAGCTTATTTCTCCCTTGGAGCCACGGCAGAGATATAGCATAATTGGAAAAGGGTCCAAAGAAATCAAATACCCTCGAGAGAACCACTATCAAGTCGTGTAATCCATCTTAATTCATCGATTGTGTTGCTCGGAAGCTCTAGCATCTGCATTTGTAGCTGTCCAGCTGTCTTACGTGCCATGTCCATGAACCATTCCTCCTCATGTTCCACAGAGAAAAAGACAGCTTGAGGATGTATAAATTCATGCAAATGCCTTAGCCCAAACCTCATCGCCAGCTTCATTCGATTCTTTGTCATCAAGCTAACCATTTCTGCCCGTGCATCGTGAAATGCGACGTTACAGCCTCCCAATTCAGTAGAAATTCCGTTGAGCTGTTTAAACACCTCAATATCGATATCATCCCTTCCCAAAAGCGCAAAGTGCACGTTGTTTCTTTTGAAATTTGCCATTTCACAGGCAACCACGGCGAGTTTACTCGCAGCTTCCAAACTCTCCGCCGCAAAGAGAACATTCCGGTTTTGAAATCTTGACCCGCCCACAGCTCTGGGAGCGGTGTCGTAGAGATTTAGAAAGTTAATGGGAATAATTTCTTTGGGCCTATAAAGCCCTGCTGGGTTCGGTATGTGTGTCCATGTGGTGACTGAATTCAAAATGAGGTAAAGCAGACATATTATCAATGCATAGCAGAGATATGTCGCTCGACGGCTGCGACGGGGGAGACGAAAACCTGAATAAGTCAAACCGGCACGTCGTTTCCATGGATGCTCATGAAGGTCTCTGCGGTCTAAAGGGGGAGGAGCCATCTATTCAGCATCAACACAAACTGAGACTCGAGAATAAAAGCTGTGTGTGTATTGCAGGTGCGGGGGTAGTGGCAGTAAAGAGCTGTAACAATCACAATTAGATTGAGAACAAGGATGATGATGTGAATGATGTACCAAATTGCTCAAAAATATTAAGCGAGCGACTGTTTTCCTGTGGATAAAGCTGTATGCCCCTCTGCACAGCTCTGTGATGGGCGCATTGGTGGTGGTGGGTGTCCATGGCAATTCTTACTAAGACGTGGGGCCAAGCGACGCGAGAGGTTACACCGCTACCTCCCGCGAAACTATCATCATCTCTCCCACCTTACACTTTATCCTAGCATCACAACCTCTACTCCACTCTCCATCAACTCATTCATCAACCATCCATCCATTTTCATCATCTTCGTGTATCCCATCCGTCCTATATCAAATTACCTACTCCCCCAGCATCATGGTCAAGGAGGACGATAAGTCGACAAAGCTCGACAAGGGCAAGGGAAAGGCCGTTGACACCCCGGATAAGAAGGATGGCGACCCCTCCAAACAGAATACCGGCAAATCTTCAACCGGCGCAAAGAAAGACAAGAAAGATGAACCACAAGAAGGTATTATTACACTCGGGAAAGCGGGTTTATAATTTGATGAAGCTGATGATGGCACAGAGGAACTATCTGAGGAGGACCAGCAGCTGAAGTCAGAGCTCGAAATGCTCGTGGAGCGGTTAATGGTTATTACTCTTTTTCTATCAAGTATGAAGAATGCGATGTCTGATTATCTTCCGATCTAGGAACTAAATACCGAACTCTACAAGCCTTCCTTGGAAGCCATCAAGAACTTCATCCGAACATCGACCTCTTCAATGACGGCCGTTCCCAAGCCCCTAAAATTTCTACGATCTCACTACCCATCAATGACAGAGCTTTATGAAAAATGGCCCGTTGGAGATGATAAGGTTAGCTTTTGCTTGAAATTCAGTTTCGGAGCTCATGACTAATTCTAGAAGGTTGCGCTTGCCGATGTTCTTTCAGTACTAGGAATGACCTACTCCGACGAAGACACCTTGGACTCTCTTAAGTATAGGCTGCTTGCTCCTACCGAAGACTTGGGTTCGTGGGGTCACGAGTATGTTCGGCATTTGGCCCTCGAGATTGGGGCGGAATATGCGTCTCGCTCAGAGAAAGAGGCAGATACAAAAGATCTTACTGATCTTGCGCTGTCCCTTGTACCTTTCTTCCTCAAACATAACGCAGAGGCGGATGCAGTAGATCTGTTATTGGAGCTAGAAATTATTGAGGAGCTACCACCCTTCCTAGATGAGAACACCTACCAAAGAGTAGGTTTGTACATGGTTAGGTATGACAAAAACAAGTTATTTGCGATAGTGAGGTTCGTGGCTAACCTTGGTCTCTTTTTTTCTTTTTGTTTTTAGCATGGTTCCACTCCTATCCCCGCCCGACGATAAAACTACCCTCGAAACCGCACACAGCATTTACCGAAAGTTCAACAAGTTGGCGCAAGCCATCACACTTGCTATACGCCTTAATGATTTGGACCTGATCCAAGAGGATTTTGATGCGACAGATGACCAAGTCCTTAAGAAACAGCTCGCTTTCCTTGTTTCTCGACAGCAAATTTGGCTTGATACTCCCGATGAAGATATTGGCGAGTGTCTAAATAATACCAACTTGTCAAAGTATTTCGCCGCTCTCGGCAAGGAACTGAACATTCTCGACCCCAAGACTCCCGAAGACATATATAAATCACACTTGGAAAGCTCTCGCGGTGGACCTGGTGTAACTGTGGATTCGGCAAAGCAGAATTTAGCAAACAGTTTTGTTAACTCGTTTGTCAATGCTGGGTTTGGGACTGACAAATTGATGCTGGTAGAGGATGAAAGTAATAGCTGGGTTTTTAAGAACAAGGATCTTGGTATGTTGAGTGCTACGGCTAGTATTGGAATGCTGCACCAATGGAACGTAGATGTTGGATTGGGTGTTATTGATAAGTACACATACGCCAACGAGGATTATATCAAGGCCGGAGCAGCTCTCGCTATTGGTATCCTCAATTCCGGCGTCCGAACTGAGGCCGACTCGGCGTTGGCCCTGCTTGCTGATGACTCCTACATTGACAGCAAGAGTCCTCATATAAGAGTAAGCGCGATCATGGGTCTTGGACTGGCGTACGCAGGATCGCAGCGTGCTGAACTCCTGGACCTCCTTCTACCCATTGTTAGCGACACGTCGCTGTCGATGCATATCTCAGCTATGGCAGCTTTGTCTCTTGGGTTGATATTTGTTGGTTCGAGCAATGGTGATATAACTAGCACAATCTTGCAAACCCTCATGGAAAGAGAGGACGCTCAGTTGAAGGACAAATGGGGACGCTTCCTTGCACTTGGTTTGGCCCTTCTTTTCATTGGCCGACAAGAGGATGCAGATGCCACTCTGGAGACCTTGAAGGCCGTCGACCACCCAATTGCCAAGCACACCGGTGTATTGGTAGATGCTTGTGCTTACGCGGGGACCGGAAATGTGCTCAAATTCCAGAGTATGCTGCACCTTTGCAACGAGCACATTGATTCATCAGAAGACGAAAAGAAAGATGATGACCTTTTCCAGTCATATGCCGTAATTGGGCTGGCTCTTATCGCCATGGGAGAGGATATTGGCGCTGAGATGGCTCTGCGACAATTCGGGCATTTAATGCATTATGGCGATGGCGTGATTCGCAAGACTGTACCTTTGGCTATGGGTCTTCTAAGCGCATCAAACCCTCAAATAAAGGTCTACGATACATTATCTAGGTATTCTCACGACAACGATATTGATGTGGCGATAAACGCGATATTTGCCATGGGATTGGTTGGTGCAGGAACAAACAACGCCCGCCTGGCACAGCTGTTGAGACAGCTTGCGAGCTATTACCACCGAGACCCCAATTCTTTGTTTATGGTCAGGATAGCCCAAGGACTGCTGCACATGGGCAAGGGAACGTTGAGTGTCAACCCGTTCCATACCGACCGCAGTGTCTTGAGCAGAGTGGCTACAGCTGGGCTGGTTACAGTGCTCGTTAGCTTGGTCGATGCTAAGAGTTGTAAGTAACATGACCCCCGGGGTCTTCCGGCACCATGTCAAGTGACTTTTACTAATATTTGCGACAGTTGTTCTTGACTCCGCACATTACCTGCTATACTTCCTTGTAACGGCTATGCACCCTCGATTCCTCATCACCCTGGACGAGAACCTCGAGCCTCTTCCTGTGAATGTCCGGGTTGGGCAGGCTGTAGATGTTGTCGGGCAGGCTGGAAGGCCAAAGACTATTACGGGATGGCAGACGCAAAATACCCCTGTTCTGCTAGCCTATGGCGAGAGGGCAGAGCTGGAAGATGACGAGTACATTTCTCTCAGTAACACCCTTGAAGGGCTTGTGATTCTGAAAAAAGTAAGCCACCTCGCCTCCCTCCCCGCCTTTGTGCAAAAGGGAATCAATAGATGCTAACTACCTTTTTTTCTTCTTCAGAATCCTAACTGGCAAGGGAGAGACTAAGAAAAAATTGTTCCTTGGGGTTTGACATTAAGTAGCTTCTGTTGATATATCTTTCCGAACAGAGTGTTATTCTTTCGAAAAAGAGATTCCTTCCTTCGTATAGACGAGAAACACACACTATTTATGGTGTATTTGTAGATATATATTATGTGAATGATGCTTTCTTTGCCCGGCACTTTGTCTTGATGGTCCACGATTGTTACGGTGTAGCTTCCGAGTGATAGTTTGTGACGCAGATGAAGTTCCCCATAACTCCAATTGTCAGTACACTTGCTCACCTGGTGACACGGATCCTGCCTGGTGGCGGTCAGCGGTTTGAAGCCAACGGTATGTAGAATTGACTTTGTGACGCCAAGGCTAAATTACTGCAAACACAACTAAACCAGCTATTTCTTTTCGTCAGCCAGCACCGGAATATAAGAAACTACAAGGCAACTAATTCTATGTTGGTATCTCTCTTTCTGCTAAATCTCTTTTACAGATAGACTGTATCAAACTACCCATTATTACGGGAGTTAATAGCCCTGTATCCTTCTCCCAGTTTACTAATTATAAATAAAGCTCTACATCTCTACGTATCCTACAAAAAGAACAGAAAAACACAGCTAAAAACTCCAAAGCAAAAAGAAGAAAGCAGAAAAAAAAAACCACCCATTACAACCATCTCTACTCCATCCTCCTATTCAAAACCTCCTGCACATCCACCCCACCCCCCAACTCCCCCATCAACCTGCCCCTCACCCTCTTCCCCACCTCCTCCCTCCTCCTCGCCTCCTTCACCCCCTCCCTCTTCTTCACAACCCCCGCCCCCGCCGCCACCGCACCGCCCTTCCGCTTCTTGACCCCCACACCAAACTTGTCATCCTTCGGCACCGTCTTCAGCGGGTACCGCATCCCCTCCCCCTCCTTCCCCAGCCCCACGCGCGCGTCCGGGTCCCACCCGGACTCCATCAGCACCTTGAGACCCTTGCTCGAGCGGTCATACGGGTGCGGCGGGTGCGCGTGCGGGAGGGCCGCGAGGTGCGCGGTTGACGTGGCGTGCGTGGCCGCGTCGGTGATTGGGAGGGCGCAGTCCGGGCAGGTCTCTGGCGGCGGGGCGGGGCCGGGGCGGGGCGTGGAGAGCCCGACGAGGGAGAGGTAGAGGTTTGAGACCTCGGCGCCGGTTTTGGTGGATTTGGGTGCGGGGGTGGTTGTGGTGGTGGAGGAGAGGGAGGTGTCGGTGGCGGGGACGAACTTGACGAGGCGTTTGCGCTTCAGGCCGGCGCCGAAGGGTTTTTGAAGGCGCCAGTCGGGGGTTTCGGAGTCTGAGTCGGGGGAGCGGGGGCGGGAGTGGGAGTGGGGGCGGTGGGAGGGCTGTTTGAAGGGGACAAAGGTCGTTTGCATCTTTAGAGCTGAGCTGGGCGGGCTTGGATGGGTTGAGGTGCTGTTGGAATATGGTTGCGGGCTTGTCCAACGGAGCTGAGGCTCAAATCCCGTGATAGATAACAATAACAGGGATTATAGCTAGACAGCTAACTAGAATCTATTGGCTAACCCTACAGCCGTGCAGTGAAGGTAAACCGTATGTAAAGTACTTATGTAGATGCAAGTATCCAGTTTGTGCAGACAAACGACCTGTACTGGGCGTAGTAGTTATTGTTTAGCTGCTGTTGTTAACCCATTGATTGGGCGCAGTAATGCCTAGTTACAGTCTTTTAAAGCTTCAGTTAGCTATCTATCCCTTATGCTGTTAGAGCTGCCAACTTTGCCAAGCATCATGTCTCAATTCTGTGGCTTTCGTGCGAGGCTCGCCTGATGTTACCATGTCCCAAGTATTATTACAGCGTAAGGGATAACTGCCCATTAGTTACTACATCGCTTATCCACAAGGCAGAACATGATCCAGCACTCGAACGAGCGAGAGCTCACGAGGGCCGGTTGGCTTACTCACCGTCCCCAACTCGGCATGATATTGCAAACACCGAATGATTTTAATTTTGCTTACGCGGTCTTTGCATAAATAGTGAATCTGCACCACGCCGGTTACTTAGTAATACGGCCGGAAAACAACCCCCCAATCCAAGCTATCCGAGGATGTTGAAATCTCCCTTTATCTGTGGTCTATATGTATAAAAAAGCATTCACAGGTGCCGTGCAGTTGTGTTTATAATCGCTTCTCCTCGGGAGGTTGGAGGGTGTCGATATCGAACTACACCGCTTCTATTATATTGTGTGGTCGGCAACTTGGTTGTGTCGATATCGATCAGCTGGCTAAGGCTGCGCCGAGTGATTCGGTGTGAACGATACTGGCTATGTCTGGAGGAGAGGAATTAGCGGGTTGTGGGGTAATGATAGATTAGGCACCGGCTTACCCACGCGGTAGCTAATCGGCGTGACTACCGCAGTAGCAAGTCCTCCCGGATAGGTTTATCTCAATGAGACAAACGCAAGGCCTCTGATAAACGCACCTATAGCCTACAGATATCGAAGCGAGAGACGTAAGAAACTCAGGGTTTGGTTGCATGAGCATGAGCATGAGCATGAGCAGCGTCCAAGATTAGCAAGCGACAGAGTAAACAGACACAGATTTGCACTCAGTATTAATAACTATCTATTAGCCACCTCACCCTCCACGCACGCACGCACGTACATAAATACATAAATAAGCAAACGAGCCCGTTAATGTTAATCCACATGTGATGGCACCCAGCGTCCCTGTCACGTCAGCGCCAGAGAGCCGGGTCGCCCCTCCCTCCCCCCCTCCCTCCCTCCCTCCCTCCCTCCCTCCAGCCCAGTCCCGCCCAGCCCCGCCCAGCCCAGCCAGCGAGTGACACCCCATGACGGAACATCCCTCACCTCACCTCACCGCACCTCACCTCACCGCACACATCCTAACCCCGAGCCGACCCACCCCAATCTTCTTATCCCACCACAGCTCCGAGGGCCGACGTCGACTGCTACCCTGGTATTTGTTTTTCGGCAATAACAAAATTTAAAAAGATATATGCAAACAGCAAGACAGTCGATCCATTCCACGGAAATAGACTATGTAGGTCGGGCTGCATAGCAATTGATAATCGAAACACCCCGTATCCATATCGCCCCGGCGCCGACGCCATTACCCCAGTTTTTGTTTGTTGCCAAGACATGTCAAGAGGGTTGGGGGACCAGGGCGTTTTTTTTTTTTTTTTTTTTTTTTTGCTTTGCTTTGCTTTACATGTCGACCTTCCTGGAAGTGCAATGCTCGCAGAGATCCATCTCGATTCCCTACATGGGCCCCGGAGCGATGGGCCAATCGCTACAAAATACTTGTTTTGATATGGGGGGGAAAAAAATGGGTTTGTGAGAGATATCACATATCAGTGTCACTTCTCACCCACTTTTCTGAGCACGCAATTTTTTTTTTTCTTTCAATGGCTTTTAGGGTGGAGGTGGAGGGAGAGTAAAACATGAGTATTTAGTCAAGAAGTAGCAGTAAACGAATTCCCACCGCGATGAATATATAGAGGACCTGCCGCTGCTGCTGCACAGGTTATCACTCGGCCAGCGTTCCGTATCATCTCTTTGCAACTAACTTTAAGTATTCGCCCGCTCTTCCTTCCCCCGCAAGAATATGAAGAAAACAAGAAAATCATAAAATCATAATCCAAGCCCCTAGAAAGAAAGAAAAAAAAACCCTTCGCAAAAACCCAATCTATATACCACAAATTTTGGTTGTGAAATGACGCCCAACCCCAACAGAACAAGAAACAAAAACATTCCAAACCTACCAATATGCCACAGTCAATATATGCCACCTATAACCAAATAGAGGCTTCAAAAAAAAAATAACACAAGCTAAACCAACAATAAACAAGATGAAAAAAAAAAAGCTATCGTGAACAGGGAAATACCCCGTTCACACACAAAAAAGCCCGGAGCCGGCAACATCCAGATCTGGGAGCAAGCAGCCAATATCTCAAGCCGCCCTTGCAGGCTCCCCCCAAAACCTACCCATCCAGTCGCGGTCCTCCTCCTCATCCTCCATCTTATCCCCCGCAATAAACGCCAGCACCCTGCTAACCTTCTCGTTCAGCAAATAGGCGCTATTATTGCCATGCTCCTTGACGCCCACCGCCGTCCACCCCGCCTGCTTCGCCCGCCACTCCCGCTCCTCCTTGCGCTGCAGCGCGCGGTCAACCCGCACCGGCACCGCCAACGTCACGCGCACGAGCTGCATGGTGAGCCGCACGCGCCCGATGACATCAAAGTACCCGAGCGAGAGCAGCTTCTTCTGCACGCGGTGGATCCGCCCCAGCTCGATGGAGATAAGGAGGGCGTAGGTGCGGGTTGTGAGGATCAACTCGCGGATGCGGCCAAACGCACGCTCAATGGCAACTGTCACCCACCGCACGTTAGATTCTCAATTCGCCCGCCGTTTTGATAAGACATGCGTCTGTATGTTTAGGGTGTGTGGGTGGGTTGTGTGGGAGGACAAGGTGAAACAGGGCGGGATAGAGAAAGGGAGGGTGGTAAAGGGGGGGAGTAACTAACCAATAACCTCCTCATTCACAAGGCTTGGGTACTGCTTGTTCAGCGCCTCCAGTAGCTTCCTCACCAGCCCGAAATCGCCATTGAGGAACTCGTTGAGTATGCTGACCACGGCGCCCCTGAACGTCTGGTCGCCCGAGATGAATGACGTCTCGCCGGGGTAGAACTCCCGGTGCTCGCCATTCCAGCTCTTTGATTCGCGGTCGTAGTGGGCCCGCAGGCTGGGCTTCCGCAGGATCTCGTATGCATGCGAGAGCCGCTGGAAGGCTTCCGTGCTGTCGGGATGCGCGGGCAGCTTGTCGGGGTGCACGATCTTGCTGCGGTCGAGGTAGTGGCGGCGGAGCTCTGATTCGGTGGCTCGGCTGGTGACGCCCAGGACTTTGTAGAGTGAGGGCTCGGTGAGGATTTCTAAGTGGAGGAAACTCGTGAGTTAGTGTGTTTGTAAGGGGTGGGTTTTTTGACGATGTCATCGTATATTTAGGAAAGACATGGGGGGGGGGGGGGGAGGGATTGTATTTTACCATTGATAAGTAAGGCCTTTCGTTGAAGGCCACTGCGGGACCGGATTTCCGGTTCCATTAAGGATGGTGAATATAAATTCGAACAACGAGATTCTAGGTTCACGAGAGAAAGGAGGTTTTATATATGATGTTATATAATCGTCACTATGGGGTGTGTGTGTCCTTGCTGCAAAAAAGGATTATGTACCGGGCAACAACGACCAGGCAGTAATATAATACGGGGTACAGCGAGTGTGGGGATTATTAAGAGGCAGAAGGGGGAAGTGAAGGCTGTTGGAGTAGCTGCTGCTGCTGCTGCTGCTGCTGCTGCTGCTGCAAACAAGGTCTCCGAACTGATGTTTGAATGGGCAGAGAGAACGTTGTGAGGAGGTAATGGGTGTGCGTGTCGGTGGGGGCACAAAGTGACGAGGATCGAGGGAGAATCGGAGAATCGCACCCACAGAAACGACGGTAGTTGGTGATGGACGGTGAAATGGTCTGGATTATCTGAATTGAAGAAGGAGGAGGAGCTTTGATTTCATTATATCAGAAATCGCAAGCACTGCAAGTTACGTATGTAGTAGAGATATGGGAAACAGCCCACCTCAATTGCACCACCACCATGGCCACCTCCATCACCTACTCTACCTCCAACTACATCATCATCCCCCATGATTCTCCCCTCTTTCCTCCGAGCAGCACCTCTTCCGCTGGGATAATTCCTTCCCAATTCAATTCCACCCTACTACTTCTTTCTCCGTATCCGACGCTCGAATCCACGTTTGCTGTCTGAATTGTCTACCCGACTGTTCCTTATCCTATGCCTCTCCTATCCTATCACATCCCATCCCATCCCTTCTTTCCTCCTGACTGACCGGAATATTCGTTTGACTGACACGTGAAAATACCCAGTCAAATAACCTCACCCCCCTTCAGCCTAGCCTTGAAAAAGCCTAATCATGCATGTTTCCAGCCTGGCGTTGAACCTCCCTTGGAAAAGCATGTGCTTCGAGCTAGGATTGTGGGGAGAAGGGAGGCGGGTTCCCGATGCACTGGGAAACCCACCGTTCCTTCGTTCCTTTTTTTGTGTATTTTTATTTTTTATGATTCTGATACGAAGCGACAGACAGAACCGTGGAGCAACCAGCTTTCTTGATTCTTGGTAACGAGGCTGTCTGTTCGGGGTGAATTTCCATCGAATTGATAGGACGTGCTGGATTGATTACCTACAACAACACATTGAAAAAGTATAGAGACTACCCACAAGTTACGTAGTCTACAACACTCATGCTGTAATATACCCCCTGTCAACCGCTTGATTTACACGTGTGCATCAATGCTCTATCTCAGCACGCATATATGTAGGGTGGTTAA